TGCAGGGTGCTGTGCATGGTGCTGTCCAGACTGCGGTGGCGAAGTCTGGCGAAGTCTGGCAAAGGTGCTGTGCAGGGTGCTGTGCAGGGTGCTGTGCAGGGTGCTGTGCAGGGCGCTGTGCAGGGTGCTGTGCAGACTGCGGTGGCGAAGTCTGGCAAAGGTGCTGTGCAGGGTGCTGTGCAGGGGCTGTGCACGGTGTTGTCCAGACTGCAGTGGCGAAGTCTGGCAAAGGTGCTGTGCAGGGTGCTGTCAGGGTGCTCTGCAGGGTGTTGTCCAGAGTGCGGTGGGGCAAAGGTGCTGTGCAGGGTGCTGTGCAGGGTGCTGTGCAGGGTGCTGTGCAGGGTGCTGTGCAGGGCTGTCCAGACTGCGGTGGCGAAGTCTAGCAAAGGTGCTGTGCAGGGTGCTGTGCAGGGTGGTGTCCAGACTGCGGTGGCGAAGTCTGGCAAAGGTGCTGTGCAGGGTGCTGTGCAGGGTGCTGTGCAGGGTGCTGTCTTGCGGTGGCGAAGTCTGGCAAAGGTGCTGTGCAGGGTGCTGTTCAGGGTGCTGTGCAGGGTGCTGTCCAGACTGCGGTGGCGAAGTCTGGCAAAGGTGGTGTGCACGGTGCTGTCCAGACTGCAGTGGCGAAGTCTGGCAAAGGTGCTGTGCAGGGTGCTGTGCAGGGTGCTGTGCAGGGTGCTGGGCAGGGTGCTGCGCAGGGTGCTGTGCAGGGTGCTGTCCAGACTGCGGTGGCGAAGTCTGGCAAAGGTGCTGTGCAGGGTGCTGTGCACGGTGTTGTCCAGACTGCGGTGGCGAAGTCTGGCAAAGGTGCTGTGCAGGGTGCTGTGCAGGGTGCTGTGCAGGGTGTTGTCCAGACTGCGGTGGCGAAGTCTGGCGAAGGTGCTGTGCAGGGTGCTGTGCAGGGTGTTGTCCAGACTGCGGTGGCGAAGTCTGGCAAAGAAGCTGTGCAGGGTGCTGTGCAGGTTGCTGTGCAGGGTGTTGTCCAGACTGCGGTGGCGAAGTCTGGCAAAGGTGCTGTGCAGGGTGCTGTGCAGGGTGCTGTGCAGGGTGGTGCCCAGACTGCGGTGGCAAAGTCTGGCAAAGGTGCTGTGCAGGGTGCTGTGCAGACTGCGGTGGCGAAGTCTGGCAAAGGTGCTGTGCAGGGTGCTGTGCAGGGTGTGCTGTGCAGGGTGCTGTGCAGGGTGCTGTGTGCAGGGTGCTGTGCAGGGTGCTGTCCAGACTGCGGTGGCGAAGTCTGGCAAAGGTGCGCTATCCAGACTGCGGTGGCGAAGTCTCGCAAAGGTGCTGTGCAGGGTGGTGTGAAGGGTGCTGTGAAGTGCTGTGCAGGGTGCTTTGCAGCGTGCTGTGCTTTGGTTCCCACGTTGGGAACCATCAGTTCCAACCTCTGGTAACCGGCAGTTTCTTGCAATGGTAACGCATGGTTCCCAGGTTGGGAACCAGGAGTTCCAACCTCTGGGAACCGGCAGTTCCTTGCAATGGTAACCTGTGGTTCCTACGTTGGCAACCGTGAGTTCCATACTTTGGAAACCGGCAGTTCCTTGCCATGAACCAAACGCAAACATTCCGGTACCGGTCCATTAAGCAAAACAAAGCGTTCTTTACCGGTCCATTAAGCAAAACCATAAAATTGTAAAGAAACTGTTTTCATATCATTTTGACATGCACCTTTTTCGTGCAAAAACATTTTTATGCCGGCCCAGCAGCCGAACGCAAACATTCCGCTACCGGTCCATTAAGCAAAACAAAAGGTTCTGTTACCGGCTCAGTGAACGAAACAAAACAACATTAAGCACCATGAGTTCTAGCTGTTTGCAATCAACAGGTCCTTCCACTGGTAACGTTACTTTTTCAGTCTTGGAACCATGAGTTTCAAGCTATGGGAACCCGCAGTTCCTTACAATGATAGCCGCTTAGCTTCGAAAACATAAATTCCAACTTCTGGGAACCGGCAATTCCTTGCAATGGTAACCTCTGGTTCCCAGGTTGGGAACCGTAAGTTTCAAGGTCTGGGAATCGGCAGTTCCTTGCCATGGTAACCTTTGGTTCCCACGTTGGGAACCATCAGTTCCAACCTTTAAGAACTGGAAGTTCTTTGCAATGGTAACCTATGGTTCCCAGGTTGGGAAGCATGAGTTCCAACCTCTGGTAACCGGCAGTTGCTTGCAATGGCAACCTTTGGTTCCCAGGTTGGGAACCATGACTTCTAACCTGTGGGAACCGGCAGTTCCTTGCAATGGTAACCTGTGGTTCCCACGTTGGCAACAGTGAGTTCCAACCTTTGGGACCCGGCAGTTCCTTGCCATGAACCAAACGCAAACATTCTGGTACCGGTCCATTAAGCAAAACAAAGCGTTCTTTACCGGTCCATTAAGCAAAACCAAAAAATTGTAAAGAAACTGTTTTCATATCATTTTGACATGCACCTTTTTCGTGCAAAAACATTTTTTTGCCGGCCCAGCAGCCGAACGCAAACATTCCGCTACCGGTCCATTAAGCAAAACAAAAGGTTCTGTTACCGGCTCAGTAAACAAAGCAAAACAACATTAAGAACCATGAGTTCAAACTTTTTGGAATCAACAGATCCTTCCACTGGTAACGTATGCTTGTTCAGGTTTGGAACCATGAGTTTCAAGCTTTCGCAACTGGCAATTCCTTACAATGATAGTTGCTTAGCTGTGAAAACATAAGTTCTAACCTCTGGGAACCGGCAATTCCTTGCAATGGGAACCTCTGGTTCCCAGGTTGGGAAGCATGAGTTCCAACCTCTGGTAACCGGCAGTTTCTTGCAATGGTAACCCATGGTTCCCAGGTTGGGAACCAGGAGTTCCAACCTCTGGGAACCGGCAGTTCCTTGCCATGGTAACCTTTGGTTCCCACGTTGGCAACCTTGAGTTCTAACCTTTGGAAACCGGCAGTTCCTTGCCATGAACCAAAAGCAAACATTCCGGTACCGGTCCATCAAGCAAAACAAAAGGTTCTGTTACCGGCTCAGTAAACAAAACAAAACAACATTAAGAACCATGAGTTCTAACTTTTTGCAATCAACAGATCCTTCCACTGGTAACGTTACTTTTTCAGGTTTGGAACCATGAGTTTCAAACTTTGGGAACCCGCAGTTCCTTACAATGATTGCCCCTTAGCTTCGAACACATAAATTCTAACTTCTAGGAACCGGCAATTCCTTGCAATGGGAACCTCTGGTTCCCAGGTTGGGAACCGTAAATTTCAAGCTCTGGGAACCGGCAGTTCCTTGCCATGGTAACCTTTGGTTCCCACGTTGGGAACCATCAGTTCCAACCTTTAGGAATTGGAAGTTCTTTGCAATGGTAACCTATGGTTCCCAGGAAGCATGAGTTCCAACCTCTGGTAACCGGCAGTTTCTTGCAATGGTAACCTCTGGTTCCCAGGTTGGGAACCATGACTTCTAACTTGTGGGAACCGGCAGTTCCTTGCAATGGTAACCTGTGGTTCCCACGTTGGCAACAGTGAGTTCCAACCTTTGGGAACCGGCAGTTCCTTGCCATGAACCAAACGCAAACATTCTGGTACCGGTCCATTAAGCAAAACAAAGCGTTCTGTACCGGTCCATTAAGCAAAACCATAAAGTTGTTGGTTTAAAGAATTTTTTTTCCTATCATTTTATATGCAACACCAGGTTTTTCCGTGCCAAAACATTTTGTGCGTCAGGGTATACTGCCGCCACAGCAAGCCAACCACCAACATTCCCGCTACCTGGGGCATCGCTTAAGCAAAACAAAAGGTTCTGTTACCGGCTCAGTAAACAAAACAAAACAACATTAAGAACCATGAGTTCTAACTTTTTGCAATCAACAGATCCTTCCACTGGTAACGTTACTTTTTCAGGCTTGGAACCATGAGTTTCAAGCTTTGGGAACCCGCAGTTCCTTACAATGATAGCCGCTTAGCTTCGAAAACATAAATTCCAACTTCTGGGAACCGGCAATTCCTTGCAATGGTAACCTCTGGTTCCCAGGTTGGGAACCGTAAGTTTCAAGGTCTGGGAATCGGCAGTTCCTTGCCATGGTAACCTTTGGTTCCCACGTTGGGAACCATCAGTTCCAACCTTTAGGAACTGGAAGTTCTTTGCAATGGTAACCTATGGTTCCCAGGTTGGGAAGCATGAGTTCCAACCTCTGGTAACCGGCAGTTGCTTGCAATGGTAACCCATGGTTCCCAGGTTGTGAACCCCGCAGTCGTTTTTTTGCAATGGTAACCCATGGATTCCCAGGTTGGGAACCAGGAGTTCCAACCTCTGGGAACCGGCAGTTCCTTGCAATGGTAACCTGTGGTTCCCACGTTGGCAACCGTGAGTTCCAACCTTTGGGAACCGGCAGTTCCTTGCCATGAACCAAACGCAAACATTCCGGTACCGGTCCATTAAGCAAAACAAAGCGTTCTTTACCGGTCCATGAAGCAAAACCAAAAAATTGTAAAGAAACTGTTTTCATATCATTTTAACATGCACCTTTTTCGTGCAAAAACATTTTTATGCCGGCCCAGCAGCCGAACGCACACATTCCGCTACCGGTCCATTAAGCAAAACAAAAGGTTCTGTTACCGGCTCAGTAAACAAAACAAAACAACATTAAGAACCATGAGTTCTAACTTTTTGCAATCAACAGATCCTTCCACTGGTAACGTTACTTTTTCAGGCTTGGAACCATGAGTTTCAAGCTTTGGGAACCCGCAGTTCCTTACAATGATAGCCGCTTAGCTTCGAAAACATAAATTCCAACTTCTGGGAACCGGCAATTCCTTGCAATGGTAACCTCTGGTTCCCAGGTTGGGAACCGTAAGTTTCAAGGTCTGGGAATCGGCAGTTCCTTGCCATGGTAACCTTTGGTTCCCACGTTGGGAACCATCAGTTCCAACCTTTTCTATCTGGGGTCTATGCCGGTGTAATTTCCTCCAATAAAAGTGAACAAGTGCAGCTGGTGAACTTCCTGTGAAATCGCTATCCGGAGGCATCCTGTTGATGTCAACGGTCACTAAAAGGTGATCCTTCAGTGCCGCTGGGCTTTTACATGCTTGGAGCCAAGCCATGGTCGTGCCAGAGCACCTGCAGCTATCCCTTGGGGGTGATACTCTTGTGCCTTTGTGTGAGCGTGTGCGGAGTTGCACTGGATTATATAGAGACGCGGCTGGAGAGAGAGAGAGAGTGTATAAGTGAGGCCGGAGGCTTTGACATGTCTTTAAGTGTCAGGAGCCGTACTCAAGAGGCATGAGACAGGTCTGAAAGAGGTCACATGTTTGCTGCTTATCAACCAACTTTTACCGTTTAAGCCAGGAACCGTCGAATACTAAAGGGTACAGGAACCTCTTAGAGATTTCCGTGCTGTTCACTTCTATGTGTTTAGCTGTACCATTTCTTTGTCGGTTCCCACTGCCTGACACTCCTTTATTCACAGAGCTCACCTAGCTTCACCCATGGTTCGGTGGCCCACAACCCCTAAAAGGTGGGAGTCGGGGTCCGAGGAAATTGGCACTGCGGACTTCGACACCTTGGCACAGCAGTTGCATGGCACAGATGCGGTTGGTCTTTCCATCGAGCCGGTGGAGGAACACTTCCAGCAGCTGCCAGTGAAGGAGACCTCAGAGACCAAAATCGGGCAACGCAAGCTCTGGGCCGCTGTGGCTGAGCAGGATGGAGAAGCCGATCTTTACGTGGTGCGCCCAGACTCTCAGCAGAACACGCTGCATGGGTGTTTGGCAGGGGTAAAAGTATGCAGCAAATGCAGCACAAAACAGGCTGAAGAAGACTAATTTGACTTCATAGAGTGAGCCAGTATCCTGGCATGTTTGAGCCCAAGACTGTAGAGCCGTACCTGCTGGATTTTTCACAGGGCCACTTGTCATCCGTCATGCCTGCATGCATTGGACACAGATTCTGCATCACCTTCCTTTTTTAAGTGTGAAGCTGAGTAGGCAAAAAGGAAGAACTACGACAAACATTCACGGGATTTCTGTGGGTTAAATGCCGTTACGTCCTTGGTCTATGGATATATGGCGTGATGCACAATATTGCTGACAATTCAATGCTGATCGTGAGAGAAAGCAACCACGGCCGACTGAGGAGTACATGGAACCCCAGTGCAGCAATGCTACGGTTAGACAACTGGGCTTGTGGCTTTGCTTGACTTTGTCATTTCTGGGTTAGATTTTGTTCCCATTGCTTCCAAACCTGTTCTGCAAGTCTTCGTAGAGGACATGAGACAAGAAGACAAGAAGTATGACCCCAAAGGGACCGAAAGATCTATCAGTCACACCCCGAAATATTTTACCCTTTAATGCTGATGTATTTTGCTACTTGTATCAGCAGGATGCTGAACTCATGTTTTTCAACTTCTTGCTTGAGAAAGAGAGTTCTGAATTGAGGCAATATTGCTTGCCCTGGTGGTTCAGAGCCACAGCCAGCCTTCATAAACCTGCTGCCCTGGTCGATGTGCATGCGGGAGAAAAGGCCGTGGAAGCACAGATGGTGGTGAAGGTTCCCACGGTGAGCTATGCCTCTTTGATGGAACGCTTCGATGTAACCAGTCTTCACCTTCTGAAAATTGACACCGAAGGCTTCGACGTTTTTATTCTGAGACAAATGTTGAAGTGGGGAAAAACCACTTCACAGTATCCAGAAAGGGTGCAGTTTGAACGGAACAATCTGACTGATGCTCGCGAAGCAGAGGAATTATTTTTTGAGTTGCAAGCTGTTTACGATTGCTGGGCTCCAGCCACTGAAGATGATGTGCAATGTCTTCGCCTTGGCAATATTGCTGCGGGGGACCGATTGCCCACAGCCTCAAGTGGATGGTTCCACATGGAGATTCCATCGTGGTGGAGGATGGAACTTCCAGACCGTTTGACCGTGGCGGCTGTGCAGCTGGCAACTTCGACCAGTCCCTCCGGTCCCATGGAAGTGACTGTAGGTGACTCTCCGGTGGTGCATCAAAATCGGCGTTGTGGCCACCGCAGCCATGGTCGTTCGGATGACTTGGTGGCCTTGGTGGCGCATTGTGCTTTGGAAGGGCGTTATGTGGGGCTCTTAGGCTCCTCCAAGGCGGAAGATGTGGAGATCTTAGTGCCTCTTCTAGGAGAAGCGTTTCGCTTGTCCATGGGCAGAGTCTGTTGTCACAGGGAGTGCAACAGCACGGACACCCATTTGTTCGAAGGTTATGATCCCCGCTGTGAAGAACGATGTCGAAACGACCGCAACTGCAGATTCTTCACCAGCTTTAGCTCACTCTGGTGCATTACATACGCAGACTGCGATGAAGAACTTCTGAGCCTGCTTCCGGGCACCACATTTGGAATAGCTCAGAATGAGTTCTTACCTCTTCCATTGAATGAAGCACGTCAATCGTCACTGGACTGGGGGGGCGAGCCAGAGCGTGCTATTGATGGCAAGTTCGACCCTCACTTTCTGATGGGCAGCTGCAGCCATACAGCGGAGGAGACAAGTGGGCTGTGGGCTGTCCTTCAATGCCTTTGCTGCAAGGGTGGCATTTCTGTACGAAACATGCTCAAACGCAAAAGAATCAACATGCGCGGTGCAACATCATGGTGTCCTAAGTCCCAACATGAGCATGTCTAGAGTCTAGACAGCAAGATAAGTCCGTGAAATGTGGAAGCTTTATCAACTCTGCACAAATATTTTGACATATTTGAAGATTCAACATGGCTATCCGTGGTTTTCCCATGTTGAAGAATGCAACTTTGTCTCAACCAGCTTGGATTTGGACAGTTGAGTTTCAAAAGTCAGTCCAGGACTATTGAAGCATGTATCGAAAATGATCAGAATCTGCTTCTGCAGGAAACTGACAGCAATGGCACCTGGTGGGCAGCCAGCACTGCCCTGCCTTTTCACGCGATATCTGCTGTGAGGGTATTGGGCCGGTGGGACTGCTGCCATGAGCGTTTGGATGGCTGGGAGGTGGAGGGCCGTGGGGGTTCACTAAATCGGTTGCAACACAGTGCAACCTTTCTTTTTTCAAAGTGCATGTGCTGCAGCAGTCGTGAAAGGTAGCGAAAAGCGCGGCGAAAGCGCGGGGACAATTTTTTCGAAAGGTACACAATGTTTCCTAGGTTTCTACTCAGACGAGAACGAAGTGCATGAAATTTAGGTTTGGGAAAGGTTGCGAAAGTGCGACGAACGGGCAAGTTTCAGGAACCAGTATTTCAAACAATATGTGGGATATATGCAGAAATCATATTATATAGATGTGAATTTATGCATAATGCACATATGCAATGTATATATATATATAATTATATTATATTATATAAAATTATATATATAATTATATATTATATCATATTATATAATATACATTTCGTATAAATATCTAGGAAGTTTTTAGGAATATGCTTGCAGCTCACATTCCAAGGTGTTTCAATGGGGGATGCTGTATGGCACCCCCACACTACCAACGACCGCAGGTCCGGATTGGCTTTGACCCAGACCCACGGCAAAATCCCCTGTGCGGCATGCAGCAACGCGTGCTGCCAGCTGGATCTCGACGATTGGTGAAATGCGGAGAACCCCTACCAGGCAACGTTGTAGGTGTGGTGCTGCCTAGTGGACAAGCACTCACTTTGTGTGAGGTTGAAGCATTTGGACCCTTTCGCTGGTAGACAGCTGTACACTGTCTGGAAGGGATGAAGGATGGGTGTGATGGTCCTGCTTGAGCACTACAAGATCGCTGTGTGATCCAGGATCCTCAGGAGTTGGAATAGTCCTGAATAGACTGATATTCTGGGCCTTCGCCTTAACCCAACAAGGTCCATCAAGTATTTGACAGAAATCGCCTCTAAGTTTGAATAAACTGGATGTGCTTGGTGATGTTCAAGCCGGTCCGATGTTGGCTTAGAGTGCAGAGTACGAAGAGAACAAGATTGAAGCGAACCATTTTCCTGGGTGGTTTTTCCCTGGCTTAAGTCCAGAATGACTCTGCGCCAGCGCCAACCGGTGGAGGAAATGGAAAGATGATTCAGATCACTTGCGCGAAGTTGGGGCATCGGCATAGGGCAGTCTTCTCACGCTCTCACCTCCGTCGGCCAGTTTCCGAGAACTGCAAGATTTCCGAGAACTAGACAAAGACATCACACAGCAGAGATAGCCCACCTGCGAGGGAAAAGGAGTGGCAGCTAAAGGCTAAGATCCATTCAAAATCGAGGACATTCAAGGATCGAAACGAAGACAAGGTGCAATTCACACGTTTCTCCATTGTTGGTAGAAGAAATTCATAACGCTTCAATACATTTGAAACATTTTGAAACATCACTGGAGTACATGGTTTGATTAGCCTCCGGGAATTGGCTGCACCGAGGTCTTCTGGGTGGTGTTGGTTCCAATGGCCCCAATGGCCAATGCCCTTGAGGTCGAGCTGTCTGAGATGTGAGCCTTTGACAGAAAACAATCAGTTGTGATGGCCTTTTGCAAGAGCCTCATTCTGGGACAAATTCAGCTACAGACATGTTGTGGAACAGCATTTTGAATCTTTTAAGAAGCAAGCACATTTTTTTTTGCTCTGGCTGAACAATTGAACAGCAAAAAGAACAAATCACAGCAACAGCTGCATTTGAAGTTGGATGAATAGATGGTGGTTTTCAGTTTATGGGGCTGTAGCAGCTGTAGCACATTCCAAAAGTGACATGGACTGGTCGACTGGGGGACTGGGCAGCCTGGGCCCTGGGCAGGCTCGAGGGCAATCACCAGTACTGATGCAGGTGGTGTGGGGGCTCAGCAGCTCAGCATCAATCCGGTTGGATCCGGTTGGATCCGGGCACGGCAGCACAGCTGCACAGCTTTTCCACGCAGATATTGTTGCGCAGGAAGAAATGACATGGATATAATATGATATAATAATATGATATAATTCTCTTCGAACCTCTGCAGCTATCAGACAGGCGCAGACAGCCCAAAACGGGCTGCATTCCAGCGTTTCATGCTGTGACCACATAAGGTACATAAGTGCATAGTTGCAGAACTTGTATTGCACTTGAGGAAGATAGGTCACATGAATCTTCTCAAATGCTCAAGTGGACTCGAACAGATTGTTTGCAAGGTAGCTTTTGAAGCCAGAACTCCTGGCAGTTGCCTTTGGAGCCATTTTGAGCGCCAAATTGGCATGTGACCGGACAGCAGTGCAACGGGACACAGCTTCGAACGATGCCGATTCACGTTCGCCTACTCAGCGGTCGGACGGCCTCGGTTGACTGCAACCAGAAGAACTTCGTCTACGACTTGCGCTGCACAGCTGAAAAGGAGCTGGGAGTTGGCATTGCATCTCTTTCAAGTCGAAGTAAAGCGCCTTGGCGTTTGGATTGTCCTTGGGACTTGAGATTAGTTTATAATGTTATGTTAGTTTTCGCTTGTATCTCTTCACACAAGAACTTGCACTGTTTGGAAAGAGATGGACAAAGTAATCTGTTTGGCCTGCCTGCACTGAAGATTTTGAGGAGTACGCTGACATGCGAAAAGAGTAGTCCTTAGCTGGACTTTTTCAAAGCTTGTGTACAAAACCACAGGATGGACCCCCTGCTTTGTAGTGGTTGGAATGCTGAAGATTTATCACGTCGGATTCCATCAAGAAAGATACTTTCATTCCAGCACCTTGTCCAGCCCTGGTTGCAGATGTTGGTACCCGTAGGTGCTGAGCGGAACATCCACTCTGGCTGAAGCGGGTCTTCAAGATGGCGATACAGTCAATGCACTTGTGCGGCGGCCTACGTTGACATCGAATATACGATCACCGACGTTTGTGACTTGCCAAAGCTTTGAAGTCCAAGTGCGGGTGGGGTGCGAGTGGGGCGCTAGTGGGGCGCGGGACGTGTGTGTTTTTTTTGTGGAAAAGCAACCGTCAACTATACTTAAAAGCAATAGCTGCTTGATACTGCTTGTACTAATCTTGCTTGATGGCTTGATCCCTTGTTTTCAGCGACGCAGCCTGCCCCTCCTTTTTCAGACTTCAAAGGACGAGTGACAATTACAAGCTATTACAAGTGTCTTTTCTCAGATTCATGTCATTTTTTCCCTGATCAGGGTATGGTTGGTGTATCTAGTCACCAGTGGTGCAGCCTGTTTGCATGGTATAGCCTCAGAAGGATTTCTTTAGTCTTTGTTCACCCTCCATCAGTGCAACATGAGAAGCCTCAGGCCCTCAGGCCCCACTTTCGATCTTTTATTATATGTACATTTTAAACATCATTTTTCACACGAAAACATAGGTCTGGTATGCTCTGGTGCAGGGTGAACGGGACCATAACTGACCAATGGTCCATAGCTTAGCTCAGGTGCTGATTGAAGCTGATGGCAGTTTACTCGCTTGGGGGGCACAGACCGCCTGGCAACCGCCTTGCTTTCAGCAAGCCGCTTCGTCGGCTGAGGGCACGTGGGCAGCTGTGCGAGAGATTGGAGATGTGATGACGTGGGGTGAACCCAACCATTGCGACATACGCCTGGCACCTTTGCCAAGATGGTGCTTTTTTTACTACGGAATTGATGGCAAGTGCTAAGTGCTGGCTTGGTCGGGATTTACATAAAGACATGGGGATACATAAGGTCATATGAGGAAGTTACAATTCTTAGTAGAGATACTAGTAATAGAGACAGTCAGTGAATACCTACAACATGTTTGTCTACTTTAAGTTGTAGTGTAATATTGATGAGCATTGTTCCTTTTCCCCAAGCGTATTTCAAGATTTCTTCCGGTCCAGGGGGTTGAAGATCTTGAGGAGACTTCTTGTCTCCCAGGATTCAAGATTGTAGGGACCTTTTGAATCTCAGGCTTGGGAGTCTTGAGTCTTTCTTTTACGCACAATGTCCTCAGTACAAGTCCTCTGGGTGTTCCTACTAAATTCTAAGAAAAGGATGTTGCTTGGTTGTCAACCTATCTCTTTTAAAGGAATGCCCTGCTTTTTCACATATTCTTTCGCAGAAGAGTGCTGTGTTTTCGAAAAGAATAGACTACAGTAATATGCCTAATGTGTAAAATTGCATCGAGCTTGTTGGAAGGAACGCTGTCTAGGTTTTACTGGTGCACATGCTACAAGACATGCACTTTTTTGTATGGGTACAGTACTGGAAGTTTCCAAAGGCATCCTGCCTAGGTTCAGAGTTTTGAGAACTATACTACACCTTGTTGAAGGCTTCATGCAGTTCTTCAAATGCTGCTGTCTTTTCCCACTGAATAGCTTCTCTTTTCTGAGCGAAGACTTGACTTTGTCCAATGCAAAGCTACGCTTTTGTGGAAAGCACCGCACTTCAATTCAATTGTTAAAGAATGATATTTCTTTAGAGATGCCATGCTTTGTTAAAAACAAGACACTTTGAATCTTTTTGAAAGGCATGCCGTGTGTGCTTGCTACGGTGCAATTGTGCGAAGCAATCTGCTTTCTGACATGAATATTACACGGTTTGGAACGCACTTTTGTCCTGGCGTTGGTCTTTTTGAAAGTGAGGCTACAATTTGTGAACCATTTGTCTTTCCCCTTTTTTCGTTAAACCGGTTGGTTCAAGAATTACTTTATATATATATATTATATACATTCTTCATCATTCTTCAGTGAACACTACATTTCGATAGAACTATTGCACTTTCAGTCAGTTAAAAGCACTGGGCTTAAAGGTCATTTCTCATAGTATTGCCTGCCATTTTCCACATTTTCTTACAGCTACCAATGGAGTTGCACATTCTGAACAATTATGAGCTTTGAAACCCGAACACAGTACTTTCGCAAAAAGTAGTTTCACGAAATACGCACTGCATTTGTAAGATATTGCCACAATTTCTTTCATTAAGGGCACATTTTCCGGAAGGAATGCAGTACTCTTCCACAGAATGCACTTTTTAGACTCGTTTGAACAAGTATTGCGGGAGGCTTCTTTGGAGGTTAGTGTGTAAATAAGTATACAATAGTATACATATAAATACGAATTGTTGGAACATTTCTGCGTGCAGAGTTCCATTTGGTTGACTTCCAAGGTCCAGGATCGTCTCAGAAAAGTGCAGGAAGTGGTGGCAACAGGCCATGCATTTGCTGCACTCACAGAGGATGGTGATGTAGTCACCTGGGGTCACATTGTGAGTGGCGGAGAAAGCGTTTCGGTCCGAGACAAACTTCACGCAGTTCAGCAGATTTCTTCATCAATGCATGCGTTTGCTGCTGTCCGCCGGGATGGAACAGTCGTCACGTGGGGTGAAGCTGAGTCTGGTGGTGACAGTAGCAAAGTGAAGGATCAATTGCAGAGAGTGAAGCAGGCAGGGGCACAAGAAAGTAGTTCACATCTCTGAGATATGGGTGCCAAAATGGTGCCAAAACAGATCATGATGCGCCAGTCTTAGGGACGTGTCCCATCAAACAACTGTAGTTTCCTGTGCTGCCAAAGACCCTAAAGTCCCGAAAATGATTCCAAAGAAAACAACTCAACACTTATAATATTTAAATATATTTAATGTTACATATCAAGAATGATCAAGAAGGATCACCACTGGGTGCCAACCAGCTCCTCACAGGTCATTGGCGCGGACACCGCTTTCACAGCTGTCCGAGTTGATGGGACAGTGGTGACCTGGGGTGATGACGCTGGTGGTGCAGACAGCAGCGAAGTACAGAGGGATCTTTTCGCCGTGAAGCAGGTTGTCGCGTCGTTTTATGCATTTGCAGCTGTTCGAAGCTAGGGCTTATTGAGCCAAGGTGGGAGAAAACTGTGCCAAGAAGAGTGTGGCGGGAAAGTTGATCACCTTTATGCTTGCAGCATCTTGCAGCTGCGGGTAAGCGAGACATGCGGAAAAACCAGGAATTGACCCAGACCTGGATCTTAAGGTTCTTTCACCGATTGCTGCAAAATGCAACAAAATACCAATCATGTTTGTTATTTCTCTCTAGATTCCATCGAAGATGACTAGATTTCAATATTTTGATCATTTCACTGTGGAAGCTTCCGTTTGCACTTAAATGCCGAGTTGTTGACATACATTCGACTGAATGGCACTCTTTTTACGCGCAGTTCATTTACCAATGGCTTCAAAAAGAAACATGAATTAGGCAATGAAACGAGTGAGAGTGTGCTTTGCTTGTCCAGACGTGCGTGTCATGAGTGAATGACCAAAGTAGGAGTATGGTTGATGAGCTTCCTTCCCTCACCAAGATCGCAGGTATCACCCCTAGACAGGATCGACAGATAGGCCGTTTTCTCCAACTCTTGCAATAGCTACGATGTAGCTTCGAATCTGTGCTCCCATAGTGACCCAGCCATCATGACCATTAAATATCATTAAATGCCATATGTGCCGGGGGCCCTGCCCAGGAAAAGATGGTTGTGTCGTCACATGGGGTGATGCAGCAGCTGGCGGCGATAGCAGCACTGTGCAGGATCAACTCCATGAAGTTCGACAGGTGGAGAATTTGGGGGTGGCAAGTGCTGTGGCAAGTGCTGTGGCAAATGTTGTCATCTGGTTTCTACATGTTTCTACTGTAATTAAGGTCCTCAGTCCTGGGCAGCGCTAGTTTCAGGCTAAAGTTAAAGCAAACCCATTTCACCCTCATTTGCCCATCTTGAACGGTTTCATAGATTCACCAATGTTGAATTTCCGCAGATTGCATGGGTCATCTTGCAGACGCACCACAAAATATCTGTTTGCCATCCATGCATTTTTGGCAGCCTCGATTTTGAAGGAGAATTCAAATGCAGAAAATGAGCGAGTTGGACGGTTGCTTCCTTTTTTCGACATCTTTCTAGAATTTAGCAGACAAATCTCAGCCCCTTCTTCATCCCTTCTCTCAGAATTTCGGGGATATCTACTGTACTATCTACTTGCATAGTATTCTTGGACAGGGCAACTTTGAGACCACTCTTTCCTGTACACAGCTAGACTTGATCAGGATACCGGGCCTGTTTTGGTGAGAGCAGGGGATAGACCCAAAGAAGCGAACAAATTCCATCAATTCCAACTGAGGCGCTTCAAGTCAGATGGCATGTCAACCAGCAATGACATTTGTTTCAGGATTGCGCAACATGGTTCGACCCAGAAAACTGTCCAAGTCATTCCAAGTCGAAGTCGCAATCATTTCTAGAATATATTTCACAGTAGGATTCTATTACAAGATATTACAAGTCTTTCTTGTACAGTGACTTCCCTCTTTCTTTGGGCCGGGAATTTTGTGCCGTCGACATGTCAACCATCTCATGGAACTGGCAGCATGGCAGCGCAGGTCACAGCATCGTCCTATGCATTCGCAGCTGTTCGACAGGATGGAACTGTGGTCACCTGGGGAGACGCAGCTTGTGGTGGCGATAGTAGCTGCTTGTCTTCAAGGAATGTCTGAGTACCTGTGATATCTGTGCTTTGCTTGAGCTCCATCACTCATGTTGTGGGGACAGAACTTGAAACGTCCAAAGATCCTCGCCATCCCCAACTATACATCTTTTTACTTTTTCTAACATTTTTATCATGTCATCATGTTTCCACCCTGAAATGTTACAGTCTCTTCTTGCTGGGAATGCCTTCATGGCGATGCAACAATGACGCATGGATCAGGGCAGCATGCATGAATCAGATCGGTTTAAACATCATTCAACCCATGAAATCTCATGATAGCCATGCATTGCCATGCTATGTCATGCTTATCCTGCATGTCTACCTGTAGCAACACCAAGATGCAAACAGTATGGAAGCTCTCCAGCTGAGGTGCAGTCCGAGATCAGTTGCAAGGTGTCAGAGAGATTGCAGCGTCTTCCCAAGCGTTTGCTGCTATCCGAGATGATGGAAGTGTTGTTACCTGGGGAAACAAGGCTGGAAGTGAATGAAGTATGAGACAAAACTTGCAGCATTTTTTTTTGCCGTTTGCGTTCCTCAAAAGAGTTAGGTTCTTGCTGCACCATGCAACATTCTCGAATTATAGTAGATTAAAGATACAAAAGACAAAGCATGTTGTCGATAGGAACCAAAAACATCCAACAGATTTCAAGCAAACAATCAATGATATTCAGACAAAATGCGTTGAGAGGCAAGTGCTTGCCTTCATATCCTGCAGGCTTCGGGCGGAGACAGTCAACGAGTTCAGCCGCAGCTTCACTCAGTTGAGCAGATCCAAGGTGTCTTCGTTTGGCATTGATGACCAACCAATTTGGACACACTAAGCCAGGGCTGGATGTGCCTGTTCATGATTCCTCTGCACTTCTGCATGATGTGGAGCTGTTTGAAATTGTTTGAAATGTCCGGCAGGGATAGACGGAACAAATTGAGTCTGAGTCAAAATCATTCAGCTCCTCAATTACATAGTAAGTATTCAAAAAATCCCAAAACGCGACCAGCCATTTGGGGTCGTTCAAAGAAACACCTTTTGACTCATCCCCGGGAAGCTGCCAACTTCGCCAGGCTCAAGAGGTGCCTTTGCAGCACTGCGAGAAGATGGCGAGCTGATCACGTGGGGTCATGCTGCGTTTGGCGGTTTCTCGTCAGCTATCCCAGCCAGTTGATCTTCACCGGGTCTCCGGTCCTAACTCGGTGTGGGTCAACGAGAGCCATGGTCACCCTGGTAAAAGTCACAACTGGTGCCTGACTCTTTGTGTTTGGACAAGCCATTATCGCATAGAACTATAGATATATAATATATAATATATTACATAGTATAATATAATATATTGCATAATATAATATATTACATAATATAATATAATATATTACATAATATAATATAATATAATATATTACATAATATAATATAATGTAATATGATATAATATGAAATAATATAATATATTAAAATATAGTTATACTATACTATACTATAATATAATATAATATAATTATACAACATATATAATATAATTATACAACATATAATATAATATAATATAATGTAATATAATATAATATAATATAATATTATTTTATTATAATATAATTATACCATAATATAATACAATTATACTATACTAATTACAATATAATATAATATGATATAATACAGTATAATTATATAATATATATATACATAATACACTATAATATTTATAATATAATATAATATAATTTAATATAATATGATATAAGACAGAATAATTGTAATATATATAATACACTATAATATATATATATAATATAATATAATATGATATAATATGATATAATATGATATAATATGATATAATATGATATAATACAATATAATACAATATAATACAATATAGCATAATATAATACACTACAATATAACATAATATAATACACTATAACAAAATGTAATATAATATAGTATAGTATAGTATAGTATCATATAATATAATATCATATGATAGGATAGGATATATGATATGATATAATACAATACAATATAACATAATATGATATAATACAATATAATATAATATAATATGATATAATACAGTATAATATATAATACACTATAATATATATATATATAATAAAATAAAATATAATATAATAAAATAAAATATAATATAATAAAATAAAATAAAATATAATATAAAATAATACAATATAATATAATATAATACACTATAGTATAATATAATATCTAATATAATAGAATATCTAATCTAATCTAATCTAATATAATATAGTATAATATAATAAAATATAATATAATGTAATGTAATGTAATGTAATGTAATGTAATGTATTATATACATAGTGTGTATAATATATATATATATTTGTTGGTTCACACTTTCCATCGCTTTCCTAAGTTTGTTTTTTTGGATCTTTTTGGAGACGCTTGGACAAGGGCATTTGGCATCACCACATCTCGGATCTGGTTCAGCGCAAGACTAAGGCAGTGCACCCCCAGGTCGGAAACCGGCGGGTCGTTTGATTGATGCGGCCTGAGCCGTGCAACGGTTCACAGAGTGTGGTGGGTGGAAGTTGACAGTGCGAAGTTATTCCAGTGCAAGATGATACTGCCAGGAAGCCTTTTGGACCTTAGCTTTGGCTTGTAGTGGATAGTTTAGTCTTCATTCACTTTCATCAACACACTCAACCACTACAGCCAAAAGAACCCGGGCGAAATGCAGACAATGTGCCAGTGTTGTGAAAGGTTCAGGGTGTCTTGGCGCAAACACAATTTCAAAGAGAAGGATCAAAAGTGGCAATCTTGTTGGAACTTGTACAAGTTCTAACCAGTAGCATCAACATTTTTAGTATCTTCTGCTTTGTTGGAACACAAACGTGACTGCGACGCAAGTGCTTCATGAAACACTATTTGCCAGAACAAGAGAAACTAAGTAGCCACCAAAGAGATTTTGTGTTTGAGACGCAACGACGCACCTGCAACTACAAGATCGTGCAAACTTTCTCATGCTCGGTCATGTATCTTGGCTTTGGTCCCTACGACATTTGAATTCCAGGGCCCAATAGGTTGGTGCCCAAATCTTACGGGTGCTGCGTTCATTTTGTTCCAGCTTTGTAGACAGTCTTCAAGCTACGTGCTGATGATCACTGATGCTTTCCTGAAAATGTCACAGAAACTCTGGGCCCAGCGGAACTTGTGGAAGTTCGTTGCAGCTTGTGCAGAGCTCCAGCAAAGCTGCGGCTCGGCTCAGGGCGTTTACTCAAATGGGCCAATGGGGTGCCTTCGCATGGCGAGGGCCTCCAATTTGGTCCTCCGTTTTGAGAACGCCCACACCAAATCACACCAACGGATTTAGACTCCAATCTGAATTGTGAACCTGCTTGGGCTACAAAATGCCCAGGAAGTCGCTTGTCAGGAGACAGAAAAGTATGCCGTAGCAGGGAAGAGCATAGGATTGACAATCTGGTGGTATGGGTATCCAGAATCCCTATTAAATGGGGAGCCAAGGAGCTACCAACAGTTTCCCAACCAAACAATACACTGTTGCCTTTCTTTTGCTCATCAAGTTGGTGCCTTGACACTTCTTGCACTACGGTGTGTTGGTTTGATGAACGTATCATACACGTACGGTCAAGCTGAACTCAGGAAGCAGGAGGCTATAATAGCGCCGCACATTGATCAAAGACGGGAAAATTCAAACACTGACCAGGAATACAGGTTGCCCCCTGATCCCTACTTCTAAATTGTCCAACTTCCGACCTCGCATTCAATAAAGTCAAGGACATTTGTGCCGGTTTACTGTGTGGCCGCGTGAGAAGCAGGATTGATTCCCTATGATTCCCTCCAAATTGGATCCTCACTGAACCTGAGGCCTCTTCTCGTTCACCACCAAATGCAGGGTTCTTCTTGGATGAGGCAAGTGCTCTGTCATCCATCTCCTCTATAGAATTACAACAGAGTTTCACTTTTCAACAGACGGATTAGGTGATGCTAGCTGAGTTGAAAGCAGAATTCACACACAATTCCGAAGGATTCAGGCCTGCATTTGCCTGAAGGTCACAGGCAGTTCAACAGCGGACAGCAAGGTCCTTGACGTTTGCTTTTGGTCCAACCGAGGTGCATGCCAAGTGTATCAGGATTTCATGTATAATTTGTATAATACATATTTTCATAGTTTTGTGATGTCTTTGTGAGTCTTTTGGCAGAGCTTGCCTTCGACACTTTCAGGGCTTCGCATTTGTCTTGCTTGATTGTTGCACTAGATTACAACAACGCTGCTTTTTCCTGGCTGCTCTGACCGGAAAGGGCTAGATTCAGATGACCCTTGCCATTAGTCATGTGTGAACTTGTCCTGCAAGGGAAGCTCTGCTCCAGTCCTTGGTTATTAGCACATGGGAGGCAACCATTGATGGCAACGGAACATGTGTATATATATATAATACATATTATAGATAGTTGGACATATGACATATGCTATTTTGATGACATTTCATTACAGTAATCACCACAAGATGTCCGTAAAGGCAACCGTGGCAAGCTTGCTGGGTTGAAGGACACAGCGAGCAAAAATAACAACTCTGGAGTGCCAAGCAAGAGATTCTGAGCCATGGTGGCAGCGGGCATACGAGTTATGCTGCTTTGCCAAGTTGTTTGAATGGCAGGTGCCGTGCCACATCATGAACTTTCATTCTTTTTGATTCTTTTTGAACAGTTTACTGCGCCAGATTTCAGCGTTGCTTTGACTTTTTGCTGGAGCTTCCGCTATCATTGCAGTGGTCACAATGGTCACAGGCACCATGCAGCTAGAGCAAGCTGCTGGGGAGAGTGGTTGGCAACTGGAGATATTGGAGGATCCAGCGAGGCAACGATGCCTCAAAGAGGGCATTCGGGACATTCGGGTATGAAAAAATGGGAATCATCCATTAGATTGGCTACTTACTTTGGCTAAACTAGAGGCAAGGCCATTGGGATTTCTCAACTTTGTTTGTACCAACCCTCCAACATCCTCCAACTATGGAAACAAACAGGTTGATTTTGTGGCGATTCGCATCGGGTCCAGTTGCTGGGCGGGCGGCGGATATTGCGGATGTTGCTTGTACAGAGCTGAGGCAAGGAAAGCGCTTGGATTCAGTGGCAGAGTTCATGGACTTTCTTCGTTGCTCATCAGAATAGTTTTGAAGAGCACATTTAATGCATGAGGACACTCTCTGCGATTTGCCGGAAGTGGTGCTGTACTTGCGGTTTGGGTGCCATCTGCCATATTTCTTGGTGATTAAAAACCATTCGACTTAGAGTTGGTGCCTGAGGTTGTGGTAAGCACTCGGATGGAGAAATGTACATCCTCACGGAAGGTTGGGGGCTACAGTCACGGATCTCCACAGGACTGGACCAGGGCACGAATTTCTGCCACACTTGATGAACGCGAAATTATCACTGCCTAACTGCCTAACTTGATTTCATTTTTTTTCAACCCGAGAAACCGAGATGTTCTGGTCATGAAAAACAGCACTGGCCATGTTGGCCCGAGTTGGCCTTGGAATTCTTTGACCTGACAGCCAAAGGCATCTCCAAATTGAAGCTTGAGACCTCACTACCAGAGACCTTGCACCAGGCAGGGCTGGGTGGATCAGGTAAAATCTGGTCCGATAGCTGAGTTTTCCGCGGCTAGGTCCAATTGAAAATGATGGGACACATCAGCTGTAGTCAACACTTAGTCAACCTGCCACAGCTCTTTGACTCAAGAAGCCTTGTGGCTCAAGACAGACAACTTAAATGCAGCAAATTGAGAGGACTATGACTTCAATGCATGGCAAGTCGCTCTGTAGCCAGGGTGGTATGGAGGTGAGTGCTGCACGAAGGAAGGCATTGAAGTGCCACAAGTACCACATGACTGAGTTCCATGTGCAGCCCAAAGAAAGGCTGGTCAAAGTGGAAATTGGGGCCTTGATGCGTCAAGAGACAGCGGAAGAGAAGAAGCCACAGGTGACTTCTGCTAGAAGAAAGGCGTTGAACTGCCACAAGTACAGCACGGCTGAGTTCAATATGCAGCCCAAAGAATGGCTGGCCAAAATGGAGATTGACGGCTTGTCGGGTCAAGAGACAACTGAAGGAAAGAAATGGAAAGAAACTATGCTGTCCAACCTCCCACTTGCGCTGGTGGAAATGTGTTCTACCTGGCTTCCAGCGGTGGAGGTGAGCCACTTTCGTGCGGCTTTCCGAAAAGCTTCTCGATTGCAGGCCTTCTTGTTCCACTTGGTGCGCGAATCTGATGTGGCTCAGCCCGTGATTTTCGCGAGCTGGAATCGGCAGAAAGCCCGGGGCGGATCTCCCATATCCTTTGAGCATGGTGAGCATTTTGCACTTCGAAGCATAGCGACACTGGCAAGGAGTCTGCCGCATTGGTACTGGCGCTACCCACAGCTGGCTTCTGAAATTATAGGTGGTGTCAGGCGGTACCGCTTCAGTGATGAACCTGCAGTACGAATTTCAGCACATGCTTTTTTGTCATCCTTTTATGGCAGAGTGTGGAAGTGTACGGAAGTGCCAGAAGACTTGAACGCGGCATTGGATTTCTTTGCTTCTTTTCCATTCGAATTTCCGTTTTCGCGCACGTCAGTCTTCTTTCCTCATGGAGGACCGGCAAGCCATCACCCACCGCACACATTTTACCCACACCCATTCTATGGTTTTTATCTGCACCCCTTTCATCCACCGGACCCGTTTTTCGGGGGGCCCTTCTATTCAACCCCTGCTACAGCTTTTTGAAAGCGGTCGCCGACCACAGCCTTGGACCCACTGGCAACTGTTCTTTTTCATTTCACATTGAAGCTGTGCCTTTCTACTACCGGTGCTAGCAGGTGCTAGTTGAAGTCCAAAACTGTCTGTATCAACGAGAGGCTTGAGGTACCCTGTGGAAATAGCAGACTTGGCCACAACCATCACCCTTAGGGCCGAAGAGGCAGTTCTTTGAACGCAATTGACTTTTAGTTCCACTGCCTTTGAGGGCAAGCAACAAACTGCGTAAAAGTGCTGATGGAACCGAAGGGAAGGGTTTGAAAAACCACGTGGTCTGCCCTCGAAGGACGAACCATGTTTCTGCTGGAGCTGTGAGGGGAAAGATGCCTGAACAACCACCAAAAACCATGAAGGTTTATATCAAAATGCATAGAAGTACTGGTAGTCAAAGGAAACCTCAGGAACTGCTCTGGACCCACTTACTTACCCACAAGTTTGTCCCATTGTCTGTCCATTCATCATATTCACCCAGAAACCGAAGAAGAGGGGGGGCACATCAGCTGCTTTGCTGTTTGCGTGTAGCAAGGACTACAATGAGGGAATCCCAAAATTTTGGGCTCCCAAAGCTACAAGGAATTCCATGGCTCGGGGAGTCCCAATTTAGAGACACACCAGCACGTTTAAATGCACATGTTTGACCCAATGTTTGACTACTATTTTGCTCAAGTGAAAGTAGTGCTGGAAGCAGAATCCGATGCATTGAACATCATTTGAATACATTATGCACACCTGTTTTGGCTGCCTTTGGCTTGGGTGCCAGCAACAAAGGCGTGTTTGACCAAGCAATCCACGGTCGAAGCGCTCTTGAATACGCTTGACCGAGGTCCAGTGGGCATTGAGTGATGATTCTTCGGAAAGAAAACATAAATTATTTGTGTTTCTTCATTTGACGACGAAAATTGAGTATAGTAGACCTACTGTAGAAAGTGGTTGATGATATTTCAGCTGCCCTCCCCATCAGTTCGATTGTGTGATTGATGCAACTCCCTTCACAGGTGACCCTTGGGCTGGCGAACTTTTCTGGTGGCCGCAGCTTGGTTTCAGATAGGATTTGGGATTTGGGAGTTGAGTCAACTCGAAACTTTTCCGTGAGGCGATTGCTTGTTCTGCAAAAAATATTTTCTGGCTATCGTCAAACAGAGACAGTGCCATGATGCGCAAGGCCGGGAGAAACCAAACGCGAAGAAGTTTGTGGAGTTGATCTGTGCAACTTGGAATTAGACGAGTGTGAGCATCATCCAGTCAACACACCTGATGAACACAATGTGTATGGCGTTGCCAAACTCCCGAATTGTCACATCAGCCCTTTTGATTTTAATGCATGAGTGGTCTTGGTAACAACCTTGGTCCAGTCTGAACGGAAAATTGAAGTGACAAGTTGTGAAATCACCAGCGACTCACCTCTCCTCATCCGCCAACTGCAGGCAACAAACTCTTGCGATATCGTGTCTCAGCTGGACAATCCACCCTGAGGGTGCCCCAGACATGCTTGAAACATGTAGAGATTTGGAAGAACTGTGTAATGTAATGACTCCAACTAGCTGAGGAGGTTTTTGGAAGGTGAGCATGGCAGCATAGCCCCCCGACGGCACCAATAAGGCCCGTTCGCTGAGACATGCTACGTTGCGGAAATGCGAAGATCGAAGAGGCAGGGTAGAAACGGGAAATGGTCAGCCTTGCAACCTGGTAGAAAGCTAGTGTTGATATGAAGACCTTCGATATCCTAATGTTCTATGATTTGTTCAGCAACTTCCAAGTTCAAGGCATGCTTTTGAGCTTAAAGGGAGGGGTTCTGGCAACGTTGGCGTTTTGGATGAGCAGACATACCAGGTTGTTTACGGGCAAAGGATTGTCAATTCGGGCAAGACACATGACAACTAGCAATCCACTTGCAAACCAAACATAGAGCCATAGCTTGTGATGGAATTAAAGCAGTGGAACGAAGCTGGAAAACAACAAGAACAGAGCCCATCATAGCTCTGTATCAAAGACAGATTTCGTTTGCCATAACCACTCCATGTCCATTTTTCAGGCGATCCGAAAGGAACCATAAACATTCCATCATCCACTTCAAATTTTTTCAAGGGGTCCTGACACTATGTTCCTCTTGGAATCCAAAGCCATGAGTCTTTTTGACCTTGGGTGCTTGAAAAAATCAGCAGTGAGAGTGCAGCTCCCGCTAATGACACGAGGGCATTGCACGGCCAAAGTCTCGAGATGACCGATACATTGACACTCACTGATGTCAAGGAGCGGGCTGTTGTTCATGGAAGTGAAAAGATGCTTTGAAGATTTTTGAACTGATACAGTACCGACCATGATTGTTGCTGTGACATGCCTGCGTCACAGTTTGGCGCGCTCCCAATCAGTCGATTGTTGTTGCCAACAGTCCCTGGTGTTTTGGGTACTTAGACGGTGATTACCATGGCATGCCGCTTGGCTTTCGATGTTTACCATGCTGTAAATCATCCAACTCCCAAGCCGCACCAGTGAGGACTTGGCTTCCTTTCAGCTTCCGTTCTGGGACCGTGGACATGGCTTTCTGGGATCCGCTGGCGCAGGCATTTGTCTACACGTGGATCAGGCACAGCGGGCCAGCGGGCCTGCGGGCTGCTTGGGTGACGCACGGGCTGCCCCGATTTCGACTCGAGACAAACATTATGTCATTATGAATCATGGTATTCATGGTCTGCCTTTGAATGATGACCGATGTTTCCAAGTTCACTTCATTCACCTCAGTGAGAGAAAAATGATGTTTCGGTACTCTGGGCTTCAATGAACTCAGGCCTTTGCTGAGGACGCTGTTTTGCAATGTGTTCTGCCACGCCAGCCTGAGGCCTGGTGGAGCAACGTTGCAAAAAACTTCTTTGGCAACAAGCTGGTAGCACTCTGGGGTCCAGGAGAGAAAATCCTGGGATCTCCAGTGCACAACTTGTAGCAAGACCTGTGCCTTTTTCTCATTCTACCTGGACTTTCCGATGCATATCATTTGGCAAATATCACTGTTTTATACTGTTTTGATCATTTTTTCTCTGGGAGGGATGGTATAGTATAGTTTGCATTTGTTGTGCGTTGTGTGTGTGTGCCTGTGTGTCTGTGTGATTCTGTGTGTATATTCATTTATGTTTTGTTTCAAATCTACCCAGCGTGACAACCCTTTGGTGTTGCGTCAAACAAACGGGATAGAACAAACTTATTATGCAGGATATTCTCATCCTTGTCATAATATTCAATGATTTTAATGCTTGTTCTCAGTATTTGTCAGAACTACTCTCCTTTCTTTAGTCAGATGACCTCTAGCCAACATTCTTTTTCTTCCCTTCAAGGTTTTCAAAACAAAAAGGCGGATCAATTCTGGCTGCAGAGGAACACGGGTGCTGGACACTTGCGGCGGCGAACTCTTCAGAAAACCATTATGTCCCGTGCTTGGAGAGTGGCCAGTAGATTATAGTGATTGAACAAACTCAAATCGGTGGCTTCAGGCAACAGACCCTACTGTTTCATCAGATGTATTCCATGCCCGCTTTCTCGGAGTTCGATAGGTGAGCGGCACCTAGCTGCGTTGGCTGAATGCAGACGAGTGGCTTTGCTCCGCCCTGGAGATGTGGCATGCTTCACGGGAGGCCGCTTGGCAGATCTTGGTCGAGGTGGGGAGACATGACCACCTTTTTTGCTTTAACCGAAAGGCGTAGAAGCCATGCCTGCTCTTGGCCTGCCCTTTGCTTGGAACAAGCATGACCATTTGGAACGCCTAGCAGAATTTCCCAGTCCAACAGCTGGTAGTCTGCTTGGCCGACCCATTGAATGTGAACCGACGTGTGAGGTTTGCCACACACTACACTGGTTCTGGGATCAGCATTGAATCTCACCTTTTATGAGTCTCTCGGCCAGAAAGTCCGGATAGCATCCCAAAGCAAGTTTCAGAAAATGGCCTACTGCGGAGAGAAAATGCTTCAAAGAATGGGGATGCGTCCAATTTGGTTGAATTTGTGAATTGGTGAGAAGGTCAAACTCTCTGGGACTGGTTACTAGTGGCTTTTGATTTGACTTGATTGAAGTTGCCTTCAGCTGGAGCTCGCTTCAGGAGCTTTCTGAACTGGAACTGCCCCAGCCTCAGTCCTCGAAATTCACGCGCGCCTGGTTGCGCAGCCTGGGCCGGCTTGTTACCACCATGATTTACAAGCAGCTAGGCGAGGCAAAGTTGTTGTCCTCGATGACCTTCAGGGACATGTTCCAACCCCACGTTCCTAATTTACCCATGATTGAGAACAGCCCCCACCACCCTTTTTAATTGATCTAAAGTGTCTTGTCCTTCCACTCCTATTTAAGTGCCGCGTTCTTTTAGTATCATTATCCCCCCCCGGGTGTCGCAACTTCGCAATCCTGGCTTTTCTTTCATTGTTGCGCTCTTCATTTATCATCCCATGATTGATGCCCCTCACCCAAAAAGGTCGCACCCTCCTTTTCTGTCAAAGTTATTTTCTTAATTTATCGACCCACCATTCATAAACCCTCTTCCGCGCCCTAAATTGTTTCAACCTTCCCAATAGTCGTTCATAAGTTCCTAACGTATCAGAATATGACTCTTAGGCACACTCTAGTGGCACAACGGAAACGTCCTTTGCCACTCTTGTTTCACAACATATCATCGTATATCGTACGGCTCTTTGGCGCGTTGAACGGGCACGAGTGAAATTTCGAAAGCAAAAAGCAAAAGTTAGTTTATTTCAGACCTTTTATCGGCAAAACGCGCTTGCACAAGCGAGCGGATTTGCAGCGCTGCAGGTGAAACATTAAGCAACAAATACCTTCAATACCATGCGGCTGCAAATATAGGGTGTAACTCTTTGTTGGATCAGTGCATGTGAATCAGCTGATTTGGTCAACACGTGCCGTTTTTTGACGTCCGGACTGGGGCAAAACGAGCCTTCCAACTTGAAACTGGTATTTCTAATTTGCCTTGCAAACAAAGACATGTTCTTGACCGAGTATTGATTGTATTGCAGAATTGTGTTCGTGGCCCCAGTTTGTATGTAACCTAACTTCATCGTAGATGGGAAACATGAGTAGCCGGTATACACCTCGCCTCATACCCTTTCAGGTCCAGGCCAAGGAAAATACCAGGGAAAACATCCTTTTTGGCCATAAGGTGACAACTTGGATCTTCTCCTTTCAGGGCTTCAGAGAAGGGTCGACCAAGCTTGGTGGCAGCAACTTGGCGATGGTGGGCGTGGAATTTCATGGAAACATGGCAGTCATTGGCGAAAAAGCGCGCAACAACAATTCAATAAGGCTGATGAAGGAGTCGTTGGATTTTCTGTTTGTTGCTTCAAGTTCGACCATGTTGTGCAAGTTGTTGTTGACTGTCAACAGATCTTGAGGAACAATATGGAGCCAAAGTTTGTGGAGACGGTATCTTGTTTGCATTTGGATTGAGTGGGGTTCGTTCCGTTGTCGCAATACTCGAGACCATCCTTGCTGCTCCTATTTGTTTGTCTGCTGTTCTGCAAGGTGCTTGGGGACATTGTTCGCGTGGCAGGCGACGTGCGAGATGCGCCCTCATCTTGTCTTCACCTAGTGAGCAGTGAGGCTCTTCCGCCAAGCAACGCTGAACTCAGAAAGGGATTGAGTCGGCCTTGCAACGGTACCAAGGGTTTGCTGCCAAGTCAGCACTGCAAAGCGGCAGGAGATTTCATCGAGGACTCTGAGGATCACGAGAAATTCGTATCGTTGCTGCGTACAAGGCCTGCTGCAATACACTCTGATGCTGTCTTTTGAAAAGAATGATAAAGCTTGCTGCAGCTTGCTCATCTGTGAGAAGTGCGAGATGGGATTCAAGACTTTGAGTGTGGCCGTCAACATTCACAACATTGCAGTGTACTGTTTTCATCTGTTTTCTATGCTTGTGCGACTGCTGAGCATTTCATGATTCTTGATTAGATTGTCCGCTAGATCACAGATCCCTCTTTTTGCCATTAAGTCCCGATTGTTTGCTGGTTGAATTGGGATGTAGTCAGTGGTGCTGTCGCAAGCCCTTTGTTGGGGAACACACCAAATGGCTGAACCTTCAAATTTGACAGGGAAAGTACATCACGAATCATGGTTTACATGCTGAAAGCGGACCATGAAATCCAAACATGCTTGCACATATACTTTATTATACTATATTTTTAATATTATACATTATATTGTGTTATATTAAATTCTATTGTATTATATTATATTATTCTATATTACATTACATTAAACTACATTTGTTACATTACATGATGTTATATTTTCTAATTTTACATTGTTTTGACTTATCTTGAATTAAGCCATCTCATAGTGTATTATAGTAACCTTTTTTTTATGTTTTATTTCATTACATTGTATTGTATTAAGTAACATTAGATTGTTTTATATTACATTGAATTATGTTACATTGTATTATGTTACATGGTTCTATACTACATTGTATTGTATGATTTTTTTTTTTATGTTTCGTATGGTATTACATATTATTATGTTTTTTTTTGATTGCATCTTATTATTTCTGTCAATTTTACCATATTGATTTTGATTTTTTGTCATTATGTCAAGGTGTATGTTATAAGACAAGGTATTTTTGGACGAAATAAACAACATGTTATTTTAAGTTGTATTAAATTATGTTAATTTGTAACATCTTGCATGCACGTGATTTATTTTATTGTTTTATATTGTGAGACCCTTTATACATGTGCAATCTATTATATTATATATATATTGTATTGAATTTTGTGTTGTATTGTCCTGGATTGTGTTGTATTTTATATAAGCTATAATTTGTAGTATCTTATATTGTGTCATATGAAAGTGAATCAAATCCCATGTGCATACAAATTTCTTGTATTTCGTGTAAAATGTTTTTTTTCCTGTACAAGAAATAAAATGTATGTGTTTACACACACACATATATATATATAAACCGTGTTTTAAAAATACTTGATCTATTTAATGTATATATATATGACTATTTCAATATACACATACTGTACAGTTGTAATACTAGATGCATATATCATAAAATCACATTTCCATTATATGAACTTAAGTTAGATCATTTTCAAATGTACATTTGTATTTGTTGAATTAAACCATATTCAACTATATTTTGTTTTTCTTTAATAATGTTTTTTTGAATGTGTAAACAAATAAGTATATATATAAATATATCTTTCCAAATATCATATTTGTTTGTTTTTCTTCTTTACTGTACCAAATTATGTTATGTTATTGTTTTTGTTTTAGTCTACCATGTTATATATTGTTTTTCTCAATTATATTGTATTTTATTTTATGGTATCTATTTTTTAAAAGTATTTTTTTCATGATATTTGAAGAATCGTATAGTTTTTGAATCATATTTTACTGCATTTTTTCCGACAGAAAATAGCGGTCTGAACATTGCTTTTTGGGCCTGTGTGAAAACGAGCATTTGGATGGTGTTCGCTTGCAGGCCGTTGACCGCTGCTCGTTTGGTGCAAGCAGGCAGTGATTGGGCATTGAAACTTATATAAACCGGAATCAATCTATCGGGTGTCATCAGCAAATCATCAAACTGATTCAACCATTTTTGGCTGTGGCACTTGGATGGCTCAGTGGGTTTTTGAGTTTTTGTGTGTGTTGGGTTCAGCAAGTCTAGAACTGGAAACCACTGTTCCTTTTGTTGCGGCCACTAGCTGCCAACCAAAAATAGAAAATCTTGCATTCGGCAGAAACACTGACTGACCAGGCATACAAGAGCGCTTGCGGCCAGGGACAGCCAAAAGGCACGCTTGGATGGTGGCATGGGCTAAATCATCGATGGTCATCGATGGTCATGTTAGCTTTCCATGAGCACATCCTGGATGCTGTGGTAAGATACATCTAAATGCAGCATCTTGGCAAACAATACAGGCCACCTCTTGGGGCCGCCTTTCCACTTGTCCTTTCTATTGGGCAGAAGCGTCGGCCAGGGTTCATTTGATTGGATGCTGAGAACATTGTGCCAAGCATCGTAAAGTTTTTAAATCACCTTTCCACGTACTGGTCATGCTCTTTGCTCCGATGTTGAGGCGCTGCTTGCGATGAACACAGCGGCGACGCTAGGAACCCAGAGTTGGAGCAAGGGTGGCAAGGGCTGGCAAGAACTGCACTAGGTCTATCAGCAGCTCAGATCACGGAAGTGCATCGCAAAGTTTGTTGTTTTGGAGAGGCGATCTCGGGGGATCGTGAAAGATGATGGCAATGATATTCTTGCCATAGTATCTGAAAAGACTTTCAGGCCTCCTTTGGCAGTGATTCTATTTCACACACTCACAGATTCGTCTACAACCCAAAAGATCTGTCCAGCTTGCCGGCTAGCATTACGCTCAAGCTGGCAACTAGACGCCCCAAATCTATCCAACTCTTACGAACAGAAATCATGGCGGACTCCAAAGTCAAGGACATGGGCCTGGCCGAGTTTGGCCGCAAGGAGCTGACTCTTGCTGAGCATGAAATGCCAGGTCTCATGGCAGCCAGGAAGGAGTACGGACCTGGACAGCCTTTCAAGGGATTGAACATCAACGGCTCCCTCCACATGACCATCCAGACCGGCGTCCTCATTGAGACTTTGGCTGCCTTGGGTGCCAAGGTGCGTTGGTGCTCATGCAACATCTTCAGCACTCAGGATCATGCTGCCGCTGCCATTGCCAAGGCCAACACTGCCACTGTCTTTGCATGGAAGGGTGAGACCTTGCAAGAATACTGGTGGTGCACTGAGCAGATGATGACAGTGCCAGGTGCGGATGGATGCGATCAGCTTGTGGATGACGGAGGTGATGCCACCCTGTTGGTTCACAAGGGCAAGGAGTTGGAGGAGAAGTTTGCCAAGGACGGCAGCCTGCCAGATCCAGCCAGCACCACCAACGCCGAGTTCAAGTGTGTCTTGCAGGTGTTGAGGGACTCCATCCAGGCGGACAAGACCAAGTACACACGAATGGCTGCCAAGTGCAAGGGTGTTAGCGAGGAGACTACCGCTGGTGTGCACCGCCTTCGTGAGATGGCAGCCAAGGGCGAGCTGCTCTTCCCTGCCATCAACGTGAACGACTGCGTGACCAAGTCCAAGTTCGACAACGTCTATGGTTGCCGACACTCTCTGCCAGACAGCATCATGCGCGCCACCGATGTGATGATTGGCGGCAAGCGCGCCCTTGTGGCAGGCTACGGAGATGTCGGAAAGGGCTGCGCCTTCGCCATGAGGGGTGCTGGTGCCAGAGTCTTAATCACGGAAATCGATCCCATCTGCGCTTTGTAGGCGTGCATGGAGGGTTTCCAGGTGGGGGAGGGCAAGTTCAGCCTCCTGAACCTTCTTTGGTTCTCGGACCTCCCGGGCCCTTGTCTTGGGGTACAAATTGAACAAGGAGATGAAGTTTCAAGCGATGATGAGGTGGGCTCGAAGATGGGCATTGACAACATCATTGACTTCCCGGAGGTGAACAAGGGAGGAAACTTGTTCCATGTGCCTGGTGAGAGTTTACAAGAACATTGTCTTCAAGCAAAGACCTCTGGTTGCTCTGTGGGATGTGCATCTGAGAGCGACTTGCTGTGTCACCCTTTGGCCAACAAGAAGAAGACCAAGAACAAAAGATTGCGAAGGAGAAATCAAAAGGCTATGATTGACAGAGAACGCGGCTTACCCATTTGTGAGCCCTTCGTCTCTGGACATGTACTTAGTATGAATCCGGTTGACATTCTCCCTTCACGGCATGGTGACTCTGTGGGTGAGAACAACCTTGATGGCGTGAAGTTTGTCAATGGCGACAACAAGATCCATGAAATTGGAGGGTTTGACTGTTTTTGCTCTGATTATTTTTCCCTTGAAGCGTGTTCCCGTGTGCTTCATGGATGCGGTGTTTGGACAGAATGGGGCTCTTTGATCCCCACTGATGAAGCTTTTGAATGGTGCTACGTCAGAGGTGGGAGCTCAAGACGCAAAACCAAGAACAAGCTTCTTAGGAAAAAGATGGAGCTCAAGATGAAGCGAACCGTTCCAATTTCAAATCAATTTGAAGCCTTGGAGGAGGAAGAAGAGGAAGAAGAGGGCGAAAGTGACAGCGAAGTCTTCTTTGAGTCTGAGGATGCTGGAGAAGACTACACTAGCTGCACTGAGGAGCTGGCTGACGAAACTCTTGAGAGTTTGTTGGAGCCGACTTGGATAGATAATGGACCAACATACTATGCACAAGAGGCAAATTTTTGGATGAACCTTGATGAGGCAGCTGCTTTGGCTGACTCCAATGATGAGGACATTGCCATTTGTCCAGATCCATGGCGATTTCTTCCCATGTTTTCTGAATTTGAGGATGTACAAACTGCATGTTTTGAGGCTGACGAGGGGCCTCTGGCTCTGAGGTGTCTGGCTGGACTGAGACACTACTTGGCCAAAAGGGGATTGAATCTATGAAGGGATGTGAGATGCAGCACATGGCGGTTGATGCAATTCCTTGTTCCACGGGGGTGTTTGTCCCACTCTCGACTGATTGCATCTGCCCATGCAAACTGGCTCCAGAGTTCACGAGCATCACTGAGCATGTGGGAGATGACTGTGATGACAATTTGAAAGATCTCTGTACGTCTGTTAGCGAAATTTTGCCTAGCATCAACAATACGGTTGCGAGCCTTGCGATTGATGACCATTCCCTTGAGTGCAGTGTCACTGACGCTGAGGAGGATGAAATCATTGAGTGCTTTATTTCTTGCTTACGTAGGGATGAAAGCCACGATGAGGCACCCAATTTGTCTGTGCGAGACTTTGACCTCAGAGGAGGAACCGGTGGCGCCCATGCCACCAAGAAGAAAAGAGAGATGAGAGAGCTGATTGAAAAAATGAGGAAAGCGTTGGATGGAGAAGGCATTGCTGAGGAGCGGAAAAAAGACCTTGCTGAATGTTTGAATGAGTTTGAGAAGGTTTTGAGCGGTGGAGATGAGGAGCAAACTTTTTATCAAAAAGAAACACCAAAGAGAGATCGTGAGGAGACCAGCAAAGGAAAGAGCAAAGGGAAAGGGAAAGGTAAAGCCAAAGGAGGTGAAATGCTGCCCAGATTTGATCTTGCGAGACAATGGCCTAGGAGAGACATTGTCCCTGGCAGTTGGTCAAGGCATGACTTGAGAATGGAGAAGCACCGAAGGGTGGAGTTTGCATTTGCAGACACGCTGAGCAAATTGAAGAATTTCAGACGATTGCTGCGGCCTTGAACATCAAAAAGGATTTGGTTTTGGTTTGCAAATTTTGTGAAGAGGATAGCGTCCCGAAGGGCGCCACCAAGACCCTTATGCCTTATCTGGGCAACTTGGCGATGATTTCTGCCACTGTTGCGAATCTCAATGGATGCGATTCAAAAATCAATGAAGTCCAAGCCAAGGAAACCACAATTGATCCAAAAGCACAAGACCATGTCACCTTGCGTGTCGTTGTCACTATGGTATATGTCCCAAAAGAGCATCACAGAACCTTGTATGGGAGACCTGAACTTGCCCTGAAATTGGCGGAGATTAAGAAGGAGATGAAGACTTACAAATGGGAAAGTGCGCATGGGTGCATCATAGGCTATTTGAACTGCTGCGAGGATGACTACGAAGAGATCCTTTCCAAAAGTGGACTCAATGCAGTCTTTTTCTCCAGACTTGCCCAGGACATCACTTCGAAACCTGCTGTTAGTTGGATTGACCGGACTCCTGATGAATCTGATGAGGAATATGTCTTGCGTGTCAAGGAGCTTGCCATCAAGAACAAAGTGTCCATGGCTCATCGACGTGGAGGAAAGAGTGACCTTGATATCCACAAAAAACCTGTAGGTGATTTTGAGAGATCTTGTGCTATGTGGGGTACCCCTGGTTGGATGGGGACCTACAGCCGTGAAAGGTTGGCTGACTGCACAGGGATGGAATGTGGAGGGATCTCCCTCTGAACCCAGATCAAGGAATGGCCCATGGAAGATTTTTGCGAAGCATCTCCATGAACCTGAACGTGATGAGCATGTCTATACAATGGAATGCAGCGGAAAGACCAAGCACATCACCTTGGTGCCTTGGAAGCCAATTGGAAAGCGAGCTATGCAGAAAGATGCTGAATCCATTTGCAGACACAAGTGGTACAACGAGAATGCGGAGTTTACCATTTCTCCTACGCTGAAATTTGAGCCTGAGATCGCACCCACTGTTCCTGATAGTTCCATGGAGCCTGAGGATGAGAAAAACGGAAAAGGAAAGAAGACAGCTGCGGGGGCCATTATTTCCCCGATGAAGAAAATGAAAGTGGCAGATGAATGCAAGGTTGTTGGAGGAGTTCAAGGGCCTGATGGCACGAGAACCTTGGACTTGGGAGGTGCTGGCGACTGTGCCTGGCGTTGTTTAGCTTTTCAATTAGCGATGACCAATTGCCAGTGGCGCAAGGCGGTGTCCGAGATCAGACCCAAAGTGGAGCAATTGTCAAAAGCACTGAGGGCACAAACTTTGCACTACCTGCTCAACATTGACACTTCTTGGAAGGAGAGCTGGTGCCCTGACCCCAAATGGAACAAAATCACTGAAGATGGAATCCCAGCTACCACTTTGAATGAATTTGAGCAGGTGATCACGCGAGAACATAGATGGATTTGTCACTTTGGATTGCAGGCAAGTTGTTGCCTCAAACGAGTTTGCATTGCGATTTGGAGAATGACCTCATCAGGGTGGGTGAAAATTGCGGTTATGAAACCAAAAGAGAAAAGTGAAAAAGCACCGGTGCTTGGACTGGTGCTTGCTGGGGGCCACTATTTCGCTTTGGTTCGAACATCCGAAAAAAGTGGACTGCCAAATGAGTGGGCGCAGAAACCTGGACCTTGCATGTGGCAGACTGCTGGCATTTCTACTGACCCGATTGAACGTGCATCCCAAGAAAAATTGGATACTAGCATGTTTAGAGGAGCGGGAAAATTCACTACACCTTCCACGAAGAAGACTGATGGAGATGATCTGGACGTAGCGAAGTGCGATCCATCATCGATTTTCGTTGGCGCCTCGCTGTCTTGAAGTTGCTTACTATGTTTAGGGTCGCATTTTTTCTTTGCCTCCTTGAGATGCCTGATGACTACACTGACATTGCTGAGATTTTGCGCATCAGTCATTTGGCGTCTAGGATCCAAGATGGCCGTTGTGAGGTCTCCAGAACTAAACGTGATTTCCCTGTCAATCGTGCACCTATTCCCATGGCCATTAGGAAAGCCCGCAACCTTCTTGGTCGCGCATATGAACTTCAACGACATTTGAGCATTGGTAGATTTGACAAAAAGACCAGGCAAATGATTTGGAAGATCTTTGGTAGCGAATGTGTCCCTTCTGGTGAGGTTCTTCAAAATGTCGAATTATGCAGCAGTTGAGAAAGAGGACAAGGCCAATGCCCTCCGTAGATGGAAGGCTAGAATGAGAAGTGACTGCAGTGCACGTGCGTGCTGGCTCACCAAGAAGAGGATCTGCCTTCACCCTGCTATCGCTAAGGACATTGGGGCTTCTACGACCAAAATTGAAGCCACTTCTGAATTATTTGAACATTGGATGACGCTTCACCGTCATGTTTCTTGGGATCATGGTGAATTTGAGGAGCGCTCTGCTCAAACCTTCATTCAGTGCGTGGTGAGCCGGCCGACCTGGCTCTCTTCACCAAGCAGCTTGCAAAAGCTAAGGGTGGACCTGGACTTGATCAATGGGCATCTTTGGAACTGAGATACCTTGCTAGGGTTGTGCCTGCTTGCGCGTTTGTATGGGATGAAATGCAACTTTGGATGGAATCTGGAATCACCCCATCTAGTATCAAACAAGTCAAAGTTAGCTTCGTGCCGAAAGCCAACAAAGTGCAAGATGGATGCATCAAGCCTGATTGCTTGCGACCCATCACGGTTTTTAGTGCGTGGTGGAGATCATTTAGCGCCACTTGGGTGCAATGTGACCTTGTGAAGAATTTACAGGCCATTCTGCCTCACAATATGATGTCTGGATTTGGGGGGCACGGTCCTGAAGTCCAAGCTGCAACCATTGATTCCATCTTTCACGAATTTGGCTGCGCTGCTACGTTGGATTATAAACTATGTTTTGACACTGTCAATGTTGAGCTAATAGAGAAAAGTCTTTGTGTTGCGCTTCCTCCTGCCCTTGTGCCTTGGGCCAAATGCATTTGCCAGCAATGGAGGAACAGACAAAAGTGGATTGTTTACAATAAGCACCCTCATTCGACTCCGTTCATTTCTGTGACTGGTATCCCTCAAGGTGATCCTGCGTCTCCGCTCTTCTTAGGTCTCCTACTGTGGTATGGCTATTATAAAGTTCAAAACTGCGAGTATCAAGGGCGAGTCTACCAGGGACTCTACATGGATGACAGAACTGTTGTAACTGAATGCACTGCTGATTTGGAGATCGCAGTCAATGCTTGGAACCAATTTTCGCTTGATTTCCACCTTCTTGAGAATATGAACAAACTACAGCAAGCTGATTTGGATAAGGAGTGCAAAACACTGGAGGTCCTTGGGGCTATCATTGGAAAGCCTGCGAAATGGGGCTTTGGCACCTACCCCAAACACCAACAACAAATTGAAAAAGCCAAGAAATGGATGAGAAGAGTTGCTCTACTGCCCTTCGGTTGGAAAGGTCGCCTGAGGGACATCGCTGTCTTTTGTAAGTCTGCTATGGTTTATGGATGGATCTCTGGATTGCCTACGAAAGAGAGGAGATCGGCGTACAACATTCTCATATGGAAAGTTTTGGGGCACTTCAGATTTGCCCCTGTTCCCTTGCGCTCTCTTGTGGGAAGCTGCCACATTGACTTTGAGAAAGCCAACCTGCTACGACAATTGCATGTGCTTGCGCATAGAAACAAAGAGCTGCTGAAGTACAATCTGGGATGTCGCACTAACTTGGACCAGATGGTGCATGATGGCCTGGAGGAGTTTGGTTGGTTTTTGGATCAGGATAACGCTTGGCAGCATCAATACTTTGACTTCAAATTCAACGAGCACGAGGTGACAAACAAACAAAAATGGAAGAAAATCTCCCATGAGATCAGAATGAGTATGAGATATAAAGAATATCAAGCCTTAGCTGCGTCTGAGAGGCATGAAATTGCTGGATGCGAACTTCCTGAATTTTGCTCTTCTAGATTCCAATTGATGCGAAAGTGGATCAAAGGGGACAAGCATATCGATGGTCGCAGAATTGCCTTTGCGATTGGGTCGGTTCAGTCCCCTTACAATGCTGCTGAGAATCACTACAAACCGGGCACGGAGTGCCATGTGTGCGGGACCAAGCATGCACTGGGATCATATCTGGACTTGCTGCTTGAATATGCAGATCCCGTCGGATCAGCTTTTCAGAAGATTTCTTTGGCCACGTTCCTTCGCTGACTTTCCTCTTTGCGAAATGTTCATGCAAGAGTTTGGGAAAATCCGACCTTCCAAATAGATGGCTACGTCTTGGCTACATCTTCGGCTGCAGTCAAGTGCAAAGAATCTAAGGGTTTCCAGGTGGTTACCATTGAGGAATGCGTGGGTGAGGTGGACATTTTCACTTCCGCCACTGGCAACCGGTTCAGATGGCACTGACGAGTTTCATGACACTGAGGATGAGGGAGCTGAAGTGGTCAGCGTCGTGCACTCTGAAACCAACTCCTTTTTTAGCATGCCAAATTTCATCAAAGGTTGGGTCCTTGAAGCTGAACAAGCAGAATGGGATCGTGAAGACTTTGTACAGTGGCTTCACACCTTTGAGAATGACGAGAACAATTTTTTGCCGCCCATTGATGCCACCTGGGTATCAACGTCTGACATCAACGCAGAGATCTCAGACCTGGGCCTGCTACAAGAGGAAACCGAGAAAAGAAGGGAACCAGGAGATCAAAAGGATCATGAAGTTGTGAATGCAGCTGACGATCCATCAACCTCTCTTGAAGCTTCCCAAGAAGATATTGCACACTTTTTGAAACCCGCAGAGGAAGACGATGAATCAGAGATTGCGAAGGAGGATGAAGATGAGGACACAAAAGACAGCGATATCACTGGCATTGAGAATACCATCAGCCGCATTGATCTGGATGACGAGCCAAAGATCGATGACAAAGACCAGGGATCCATCATCAACACCTTTTGCTTGCTTTTTGAGAAAGATGACATATCATGGGCTGACATCAGTGAGGATGGATCCGAAGACTTGCATTTGATGCGAAGAGGAGGAGATGAAAGCACAGATGAAGTCGTCAGAGGTGGTGCCGGAGCTTCAAACGCCACCAAAAAAGAAAAGAGATCTCAATGAATGTTTGGAGAGACTTGCAGATTTGATCAAAGCCAATGTGAAGGACGAGGACTATCCACAGGTCGAAGAGCTGATCAACGAAGCGAAGAGCCATATTGGAAAAAGCGAGGAACAGAAAGCTGGTGGACATGGCACTCCAGCCAAAGTTGATGCGAAAGGAGGCGGAAAGGGAAAAGGTAAATCTAAAAATAAAGGCAAGAAGGAGATTGATGAACTCCCCAGATTTGACCTCTCGAGAACATGGCCAAAAGCTTTGCAAACTACATGGCAAGCTGTCTCCAAATCTCTTGAAGAGGGAGAGAAGCCCAGAGGAGAAATTTGCATTGTCAAAAACGTCCAACATTTGAAGCAATTGCAGATTTGCAGCTGACTTGGAGATCAACAAGAACATGCTCTTGGTTGCCAAGAAAACTATGATGGATGAGGTACCAGATACCTGTCAGATTTTGCTCCTTCCTTGGATTGGCAACCTTGCCATGATCGAAGCCGTTGTTGGGAACCTCAACAAAGAGACTCCAAAGCTCGAAGGAGAGAAGATCACTGAATGCAAAATGCAGTTCACAAAAAGGGAGGACCTTGTCACTTTGCGACTCACTGCGCCTTGGAGCTGCATCCCGGAGAAAGACAAGCAAATCCTCAAAAAGAAGCCTGAATATGCTGCCCATTTGCTCAACCCTGAATTGAAGGAAGTCAAGACCAACAAATGGGAAACCACTGACACTTTGCTCACTGGTTATGTGCTTGTCGACAAAGCTGTACTACAGAGGACCTTGGGATGTTCAGGCAACAATGGAATCTTTGTGACGCGTTTGGCACAGGATATCATCACCAAACCAAATGCCCTTTGGATCAGCCGCAGTGAAAACGAGACTGATGAAAGCTACTTTGCAAGAGCACGCAAAGAGGCCAATGGGGCACCAATGACATGGAGAAGAGGTGGAGGTAATGACCTTGGATATCAATGCAGTGACGATGAAATTCAGGAGAAGAGTTGGGCACTTTGGGGAGTTCCAGCATTCAATGGACCAGGCCTTGTTGAAGAATGGCTTGAACAGAAAGGTTGGAAACTCAAATCCAAGCCTCTCCCACCGAGAAATCGAAATGGACCTTGGAAAATCTTTGGAACTTGCAATGAAAAGCAGAGTGCATATGCGTTTCAGGCTGACTTTGACGGCAAGATCAGACGATTGTCAATTGTTCCTTGGAAAACCAGTAGAAAAATTCATGAAGATGTACAGCCAATCACAACTGGCCCAAGATGGTTCTGTGAGCATTTTGCGTATGATTCTGTTGGACCAACACAAGTCATTGATGCCACGATGCCTGACAGTCCAACATGAAGCCAACAAATCAATTGAAGTCAAATCGCCTCCCAAAAAGAAGGCGAAAGCAGCAGGACTCCGAGGAGGACAAACTGGACCTGAAGGGACCAACCTTCGAACCATTGAACTGGGAGGAACAGGAGATCGCGGATGGCGAAGTCTTGCATTTCAGCTTGCTGCACTCAATTCAGGTGGCGGCAACCTTGCTGACAGTGTTATGACGAAGCTTCCTACGCTTGGCAAGGCCTTGAGGAGTCAAGCCCTTTATCATTTATGTGAAACAGACAAAGAATGGCAAGCTTCATGGGCGCCTGACAATGCTTGGGACAACATCACTGAAGGCGGCCCACCTGCAAAGGACCTCAAAACCTTTGTCAGCGAAGTCCTACATCGTGAACATCGTTGGATTTTCCACTACGGGCTCATGGCAGTTGCTGTAATCAAGAAGATCCACCTGGTCATTTGGCAATATCGTGGAGAAGACGAAGATCCTTGGACCAAGATTGCAGTCATTTCCCCTGATGACACCGACAAGGGCAAGAAGAAATTCCAATTGTCCACTTGGCAAAGGACAAAGGTCACTATATGCCCCTTATCTCTGACAGCACCATGAAGCCCAACTATGATTTTCTGGAAGGAGGAAGAATTTGGAAATCCAAGGGTATCCAAAACAGAGACCAGGAATCAAAGAAAGTTTTTCGAGCTGCTGGCGATGAAGAACCTCCACGCGCACCATCATGCAAACATGCCCCATCATCGCCGACAATTGCAGACCTTCTCAAGACTCCCAATTCAACTCCAAAAAGTGCAAAGACTGATGTGGCATCTCTACTTCGACCTCCAGCCACTCCTATTAGCGCCAAGAATGAGCAGAACTCCAATTTCTCTGTGAAGCATCATCAGGACAAGACTTGTAGCTGGCATTGTCCCTTTTGCAGCTTCAAAACCATCGAAAGCAACTCTACGCGAAGAAGCCATGAAATCCGAGATCATCTTGGACGATGCCATCCATTTGAATTTAAGAAAGCACAGCAAGAATCCTCTGAAAGTCAAGCTTCAAACCAGCTGAGACATGGACTTGGCATCATGAAGCAGGTCAAACCTCTGGAGTTTGTGAAGATCAAGAAGGAGGACGCTGGCTTCTCATGCCCTTATTGCAGATTGGGAACCGTTCACATGCCTAGCAACTCAACGCTGCGACGAAAGACCTGAAGCACCACCTCAAGCAGTGCAAGAAAGCTCCAAAAGATTGCAGCATTCGGCAACTGAGGACTGACATCATGAAAAAAGACAAGAAAGTCTCTCTGGTTGCAGATGACCAGAAACAAAAACAAAAGATGAAGGAAGGCATCCAAAGAAAAGCGCATGCACGAGCTTGCAAATTGGGGCATACGCCTATCCATATTTCTTTCTTGAAGCAGAAGAAGTGCCAGACGATTCAGTTTTGCACTACCTGCCTTCAAGCTGCGTCTCATTCCAGAAAGTGGGGAACTCCTTGCAAAGGGCATGCCGATCTCCAACTTCGAATTCCCCCATCTCTGCAATGGTGGAAGCACCACTTCAAGTTGATCGGCAAGGACAAGCTGCGCAATGAGATTGGACTCTCTTTCTCACAGCTGAAAATGATTGAGGCAAGTTTGGAAAAGTTTGAGATTGACAGAAAGAAGAGGATCACCGACAAGAAGCGAAGACTCATCAAAGGCATCTTCACGAAGAAAGAATGCAAAGCCAGAAGACTTGCTGGACTCCGAAAAAGATCCGTTGACATTGCGATCAACTACGGCCATTCTCCCTTGCGCCTTCATGCACAGAAAATCTGGCAACCCACTGCTTGCACCAATTTGGTTTGTGGGAAGTGTTGGAAGAGCTCAACAAACAAGCTTTACCTGGAAGCAGCAATGTTCTGGATATCCTTTGATTGGTGACAGCCATTTTCCCCCGTCTCGAGCTTGGTGGAAGTTTTTCATCAACAAGATTGGCGCCAAAAAGTTGTTCAAACTCATGAAGATTGGCAAGCGTGACCAAGAGATGATTTTGGATGGCATCAATCACTACGACAAGCGCAGGGCAGAAGGTAAAAGAGGAAAGCAGGAAGAGTGAAAAGTTGGGTACCCCTCTCCTTCCTTGCTGAGAGGAGGTGCCACTGAGGAAAATCATGAGATTTGTGCTAATGTTTGGACCATTAATGTGGCTGGCCTTCCTGGACTTTGGAAGCTTCTTTGGCTCCTTGAATCGACAAAGAAATGCAAAAGATCTGCGGTCATCCACATTCAAGAAGTCATGTGCAATCTTGAAGAATGGAAGGCAACACTCAATAGGATTGGTTTTTCTCGGTTTTCAGGCCTTTGCTTCTACTACCATTGCGAAAGGCATGCGAAAACGTGGATGCCTGACTTTGGTCAGCCTCCAAATTTTTTTTCGAGGATGATTGATGAATTTTGCACTGAAAGAGGCTATGCTGCCCTTGCCATTATCGTTGACGATATTTTGATGGTCAATTCTTACTGCCCACCATCACCCACTGATCTCAAATCCCATGCTATCTCAATGGAGGAAATGCTCATCCGGATCAATTGGAACGGTGATAGGTTATTTTGCGGCGATTTCAATCAGGAGCCTCATGAGGCTTGGATAGTCACTATCAGTGCGCAATTTGACTGCAATGTTCCGCCTTGCAATACCTCTTGCTCGCGATGGGATGGGAACAGATTGATTGACTTTTTCGTCACGAACATTCAGGGACTTCACATTGAAGCTTTGGAACATAGGATTTCTGACCACAAGATTATGCAAATAACCACTCCTTTGAAACTTGGTGCAACTCATGACTGCAGATTCAGCAAAGGCATGGCCCTTGACAAGCCCAATTGGCTCACTCTCCAGCGTTGGCCTCTCCTTTTGGAGGAAGCTTCGAACATTGAACAGCGATCTGGATGGCAACATGCGTGCTCACTTGTCCTTCAACCTGACATTAGCAACTCCTATGTTGATGATCTTGACCATGATCAGGAGATGATCGATTTCACTTGGGAGCTTACTATGGCGAAAGCTTTGACTGTCTATCAAACTGCATTCAAACTTTCCTTATTATTGATCATTCCTGATGGGTTTACACAACAACATGAACTACGACGAGTGGAAAGATTGGCGCACAAGGTCCAAACTTCCAGATTGACCACAAAACGACAGCAGGTCGACCTTGGCCACAGCAAGTGCAATATCCCTATGGCCAGAAGGAAGCTCAGGAACAAGATTAGCCGCGCTGATGAACTACTTCGACAACTACGCAAGGAAAACCCTCTTCCACAAACTCGTTTCAAGATCCAGCGAATGAAGGAGAAGCTTTTCAGAAAATCGGATGACATCGATGAGGAAGATATCCTGAACTCTATCCATATTTGGGAAGATGAACTCCTGAAACTTGAAGACCAGGATAAAGATGCTGCCATCACTTTGTGGAAACAACGTATCAGCAAAGACCGTGGATATAGATGCAACTGGGTCACCAAGAAGAAGATTAGCTATTATCCTCAAGTCCTTCACAATGATCAAATTTCCAGCACCAAAGCCATGGCTGTCAGGTTTATCAAAGAGTTTGACGACGAGATGAAACAGCAGATTGCAATGTCAGATGCGGAGCGTGCCAAAAGAATCCAGGAGATCACAGAGCACTATGCCCCATACAAACCTCAGCGCAAAGGCAGAGGACCAAATATGACTGCCTTCTGCAAAGCTCTCAAACGTGCAAAAAGGTGGACCAGGACTAGATCAGTGGTGCTCTACTGAACTCAGACAGCTTGCAAAGATCCCAATTTTATCTCGGGAAATTGCCACAAGAATTCAACTCTGGATCAGTTTGCAGAAGACTCCTGGTATTCTCAAACAGATCAAGCTTGTTTATTTGCCAAAAGTTAGCAAGACTCAGATGGGCACCATCTCTGTGAATGGCTTGCGACCAATCACAGTTTTTTCCCGAGAGCGCCTGCGAAGGGTTCTTCGTAAAAAAGCAGCCGTTATACTACATCTTCACACCTTCACATCTGCTGATCTAGATCTTCACACCTTCACACCTGCAGATCTAGATCTTCACACCTTCACACCTGCAGATCTAGATCTTCACACCTTCACATCTGCAGATCTAGATCTTCACACCTTCACATCTGCAGATTTAGATCTTCACACCTTGACACCTGCAGATCTAGATCTTCACACCCTCACATCTGCAGATCTACATCATCACACCTTCACACCTGCAGATCTAGATCTTCACACCCTCACATCTGCAGATCTAGATCTTCACACCTTCACACCTGCAGATCTAGATCTTCACACCCTCACATCTGCAGATCTAGATCTTCACACCTTCACACCTGCAGATCTAGATCTTCACACCCTCACACCTGCAGATCTAGATCTTCACACCCCCACAGATCTAGATCTTCACACCTCACACCTGCAGATCTAGATCTTCACACCTCACACCTGCAGATCTAGATCTTCACACCCTCACATCTGCAGATCTATCATTCATCTGCAGATCCTTCACACCCTCACACCTGCAGATCAGATCTTCACACCCTCACACCTGCAGATCTACAGATCTTCACACCTTCACATCTGCAGATCTCCTCTCGCTCTTCTTCTATTCTCTCTTAAGGCGGGGGCGGTGCCGCCGGAGCGCCACGAAACGCAACCCTTTCGCACGAAATGGACGTTGGACGTCAAAAACCTAGGTAAAATTGCGATTTTGAAGCGTCCCCGGCAACCCTTTCGCACGAAATGGACGTTGGACGTCAAAAACTGAGGAAAAGTTGCAACTTTTATTGGTCGCGCGCAACCCTTTCGCACGAAATGGACGTTGGACGTCAAAAACTGAGGAAAACTTGCAACTTTGAGGTGTCCCGCGCAACCCTTACGCACGAAATGGACGTTGGACGTCAAAAACTGAGGAAAAGTTGCAACTTTGAGGTGTCCCGCGCAACCCTTACGCACGAAATGGACGTTGGACGTTAAAAACTGAGGAAAAATTGCGACTTTGAGTTGTCAATCGCAACCCTTACACACGAAATGGACGTTGGACGTCAAAAACTGAAGCAAAATTGCGATTTTACTTATTCAATCGCAACCCTTACGCACGAAATGGACGTTGGACGTCAAAAATTGAGGAAAAATTGCGATTTTACTTGGTCAATCGTAACCCTTTCGCACGAAATGGACGTTGGACGTCAAAAACTGAGGAAAAATTGCGATGGACGCTTTCGTTTGTGTAAAAGTGTCTGTGTGTAAAAGCGTCTATGTGTAAAAGCGTTTGTGTGTGAAAGCGTGTGTGCGTGTGTAAAAAGCATCTGCGTGTAAAAGCGTCTGTGTGTAAAAGCGTCTGTGTGTGCGTCTGTGTGTAAAAGCGTTTGTGTGTGAAAGCGTGTGTGCGTGTGTAAAACGCATCTGCGTGTAAAAGCTTCTGCGTGTAGAAGCGTCTGTGTGTAAAACCGTCTGTGTTTTGAAATCAAGCATGTCATGGCATTGTTTTGAACTCAAGCGAACAGATATGCATGTCTCGGAATTTCTGAATGCAAAATGTTTGGTTGAAGTCACGCACCCGTGACGTTTGTGGACGTTTTGTGGTCACTGTTTCATTTGCTGACGGGGGGAATGTCTGTGCGAATGGAGCATGCGACCGCGTCATCCGCGTCGTCCGATGCCGTGGAACTTCGGTTGCAGAGGCATTGCGGGATGATGCAAGATGGTGTTGCCGAGCTGCTGAGTTTTTTGTTACCCAGCTTTGTTAAACTAGTTTTTTGTTGATGTGTTCAGCCTTCAGTTTGCAGGTCTCTGCGACAGTGGTTCTTTGCCATGTCAAACTCATGAGTGGTGTTCGCAGTTTGGAAGTCAGAGAACAAATGCTTTGCAGACTAGTTTTTTGTTGGTGCGTTCAGCCTTCAGTTTGCAGGTCTCTGCGACAGTGGTGTTCTCAGTTTGGAAGTCCGAGAACAAATGCTTTGCAGTGGATTGTGCAACTCTGCAGCGACAAGCATAGTTTACCTCTTTACCTCTTTCCTGGGCTCAGACGTGAACGTAGAGACAAGATGCAGAGACAAGATGCATTGTGCACAGAGTGAACATCCATATTCTTAGCGTTTCCATTGCGACTATGTTTGCCCACCTGTGTTGGCAACTGAGGTCATCCACGGCATCATGGTGCCGAGCTTATTTTGTATCTCAAAGAGCGGATGCCTTGCATTGGATTGTGCGTTGATCATGGTACTGAGCCTGGTCTTGTGCACTTTTGCGATTTTTAAGCATTTCCATTGCAACTATGTTTGCGCACCTTTGTTTGCAACTGAGGTCACCCAGTGGTGCCGCGCTTTGTGAGCGTCTCTGTGTAAAAGTCTCTGTGGAAGCGTCTGTGTGTAAAAGTGTTTGTGTGTAAAAGCGTCTGTGTGTAAAAGGGTCTGTGTGGAAAAGCGTCTGTGTGTAAAAGTGTCTGTATGTAAAAGTGTTTGCGTGTAAAAGCGTCCGTGTGTAAAAGCGTATGTGTGTAAAAGTGTTTGTGTGTAAAAACGTCTGTGTGTAAAAGGGTCTGTGTGGAAAAGCGTCTGTGTCTGTGTGCAAAAGCGTCTGTGTGTAAAAGCGTTTGTGTGTGAAAGTGTGTGTGCGTCTGTAAAAAGGCATCTGCATGTAAAAGCGTATGTGTGTAAAAGAGTCTGTGTATAAAAGCGTCTGTGTGTTAAAGTGTTTTCGTGTAAAAGTCTCTGTGTGGAAATGCGTCTGTGTGTGTGTGCATGAAAAACGTCTCTGTGTGAAAGCGTCTGTGTTTAAAAGTGTTTATGTGTAAAAGATTCTGTGTGTAAAAGCGTCTCTGTATAAAAGCGTCGCGTTTCTTCGCGTTCACGGAATGATGGTGCCGCGCCTTTTTCCGCAATGTGTGTGGGAATTACCATAATAAAATGAGATAGAACATGTCATTCGCAGACTCATGGCACTGAGCCTCCTGTGCACTTTTGTTGCTCACATTACATTTCTCCATGTTTTCTTTCTACCCCACCCCTTTCATTCTCTCTCTCTCTCTCTTGCTTTCTCTTTCTCTCTCTCTCTCTCTCTCTTTCTCTCTCTCTCTCTTTATCTCTGCCCCCTCTTTCTCTCTCTCTGGTTGCAAGACACATGTCATCTGATGCCCTTTACCAAATATTCTCTTCTTGATCAATCTTACTTTTTCACATCATATCTTTCCATAGCTCATATAAAATTCATCAACTATTCACCGACTATCTTTTACGACTACCATCCTCAGAGCTGCTTGAAAAACATCTTTTTCGCTCTCGGGCCAACCGTCGTCTAGTAGTCGCTGGTGGCGAGCATTCAGTGCAATGTGGCTTGACAGTCCACGACTTCAAACGCTACACAACATATTGCCTAAAGATATCGCATGTAGGTCCTCTCATGGCCCTGAAGTTCAAGCTTGTGTGGCCGATTTTCTGCTTTCCAAATGGCATTTTGGTGCCACACTTGACTTTAGCTTGTGCTTTGACACTATCGATGTGGAGATGTTGCGCGACGGACTTCTTGGAGGTTTTCCCAAAGATTTTCATAGCTGGGACCTAACGATGTGTAATCACTTGCTGAGCTGCGAACGTTGGGTTCATTTCAACAAGTATGTTGGTGACAAACTGTCTCCAAGGATTGGCATCCACAAGGAGATCCTGCTTCACCACTCTTTTTGACCCTTCTGCTTTGGCTAGGATACAACAGAGTTGAACAAAATCGACCACCTGGAAACTTGTTTCAATGCATTTGGATGGACGATAGGACAATCATTTGCGACAATCAGCACCTTTTGGACACCGCCATTTCGAGATGGTCTGAATTTGCCAAACATTTTCATCTTATGGATAATTTGAATAAGACTCAGACTGTTTTTCCGAAAGGCAACAGATCTATGGAGGTTCTTGGGGCTATCATCGGGAAGCCCAACAAGCGCACCTTCAATCAAACCACTTTGAATAAGGACCGTTTTGCCAGAGCCAACCACAATTCCAAAAGAATTGCATTGCTGCCAGACAAACAGCACAGGCTGAACGACCTGGCAACACTGACACGTCCTGCGATTGATAGCTGGATCTCCTTCTAAGACTGCCATGACTAGCTACGATAGGACACTTTGGAAATCGCTTGGCAATTTATCCTTTTCTCCTCCCTCCCTGCGGAGGATCATCTGTGGCGCACACCTTGAAGCGAAACCTGCTCTGTGGATAAGATTGACTAGATTACAGGCTTGTAGAAATCTTAGATTGCGTCAACTGGGACTCTTGGACGACACGAAGACTCATTTGGATCAAACTGTGGCTGAGTGCTTCACTTTCTATGGTTGGAATTTCAATCGCGCATGCCCATTGTGAGTCTTTCCTGGAAACTGACATTCTTGATTCCAAAAGCTGGAAGCATATTGCCCATCAAATGCGATGCTCTGTCCGTTGGCATGCTTGGACAGAATTTGGAATTTCAGGTCGACACGAGATCCAACATCTGCATCTTCCTGAGATGACCATTGAGCGCATTGAACAGGTGAGGAAATGGAGCTCAACCTGCTCTACTAGGAGAAGCTTTGTGATCGGAGCTGTCAAAAGCCCTTTAGCCTCTCATTACATCCATGGTGAAGATTTCATTTGCAATCAGTGCGGCGCTCGCAACCCAGATTGGGACCATGGGTGGACCTGCTTGCTTAGCAGGGACCCACCTAAGGATACTATGATGCGTCGTTTTCTTTGGGTTCAAAACCGAGATGACCAACTTCTTGCCCAACACTTCATTGATGCGGTGAGCAAGTTTTACGTGATGAACTAATTGGGAACCTTTGGCATTATTTCAGACTGCTCTGCTTTGGGATTGCTGTTCTGGCTGGTCAAGTCAAAAAGAGTACCAACTTCAAGATCAGTGGGCTTGAGCAGCGCCTCCACTTGGCGCCCACGGGCCCCTTTGGGGTGCAGAGGTTGCAAGGACAATTTGCACGTTCTCTTGTGAACCTGCTGAACATTGTTGTGTTTGCCATAACTTTCAAATTTGTGTACTTTATTCTGAATGCCTTGGTTGCAAAGGCGATTGACATTGGACAGAATGACATCCTTATTGAGGACAAGCGCGATGAGAACTTGATGTGGGCCACAAGCGGCGTTGCTTTGACCCTGGAGGATGTGGGGTTACACAATTTGAGAGGTGGCACATGGTGCAGGAAGACAAAGAACAAAAGGAATCGCATCAAAGCTCTTAGGAAAATAGCTTTTGCCCAACAAGCTCCAACATCATCCGATGAATCCTGCGCCAATCTTTCCCTATTGGAGCCTTCTTGGATCAAAGATGGAGAAAGTAATGGAGAAGATGAAGGAGAAACGTATGAAACGACCTTGACCTGCAACAACTGCAGAGCAGAACATCAGCTTGAGCCTAGTCAGATTTCTGACCTCACAAGTGGAAGATTGGATCCGAAAAACTTCTGCTGTGATTTATTTGGCCGTAGTTGCATCTCTGACGTTTCGTCTGATTCAGACTATGGCATTTTTGATGAAAGATCGTCTGAGGACGACAACAACTTTGCGACTGAGGGGGTCAGCAAAGACTTTCAGCAATTTATCCCAAAATACATCAAAACTTGGATCCAGGAAGCCAAAGAGTGCGACTGGGATGAGTCTATTTTTGTACAGTGGCTCAGAGATTTTGATGAGACAGAAGACAATTTGCACATAAATATGCGCATCACAGAAGATTCATGGCTGACAACTTCTGTGATTGACAAAACCGCTGAGTATATTGAAGCCGAGGAAAGCATCAGCATAGAGGACCTACTGAAACCTTGCGAGGGAGATGAGGAAGATGACAATTTCAATGAGGAGAATGCCAAGTTCTCAGAAAGTGAGGAGGTTGCAGGAAAAGAGGAAGGGATACTTTCTCACCCTGATGCGTCGGATGGGGTCGAGACTATCTCTTTTGAGACTATTGGAAGGGAGGAGACTGCAGAAGAGAAGCTTTCAATTATTTCCTTTGACAGTGAGACTGCCAAATGTTTGAGAAGGTTTTAGAGAAGAAGGACGAGGGGCAAGGTGCTCCTGACAAAAACATTGGAAGTGAGGAGATTGCGGCAGAGAAAGAGGAGATTGCAGAGAAGAAGGACGAGGGACATTGCGTCCCTAACAAGACTGAGGAAAGAATTGAAGCGGCCCTTTTTGGTGAGGCTGCCAAAGCATTTGAGGAGGTTGCAGAGAAGAAGGACGAGGGGCACCGTGTCCCTAACAAGATTGAGCAAAGAATCGAGGCGCCTGACAGCGAGGATAATGCCAAATCATTTGAGGAGGATGCAGAGAAGAAGGACGAGGGGCAGTGTGCTCCTGACAAAAACATTGGAAGTGAGGAGATTGCGGCAGAGAAAGAGGAGATTGCAGAGAAGAAGGACGAGGGACATTGCGTCCCTAACAAGACTGAGGAAAGAATTGAAGCGGCCCTTTTTGGTGAGGCTGCCAAAGCATTTGAGGAGGTTGCAGAGAAGAAGGACGAGGGGCACCGTGTCCCTAACAAGATTGAGCAAAGAATCGAGGCGCCTGACAGCGAGGATAATGCCAAATCATTTGAGGAGGATGCAGAGAAGAAGGACGAGGGGCAGTGTTGTGTCCCTTAACAAGACTGAGGAAAGAATTGAAGCGGCCCTTTTTGGTGAGGCTGCCAAAGCATTTGAGGAGGTTGCAGAGAGGAAGGATGAGGGACAAGTTGTCCCTTGGGAGACTGAGGAAAGAATTGAAGCGGCCCTTTTTGGTGAGGCTGCCAAAGCATTTGAGGAGGTTGCAGAGAGGAAGGATGAGGGACAAGTTGTCCCTTGGGAGACTGAGGAAAGAATTGAAGCGGCCCTTTTTGGTGAGGCTGCCAAAGCATTTGAGGAGGTTGCAGAGAAGAAGGACGAGGGGCAGTGTGCTCCTGACAAAAACATTGGAAGTGAGGAGATTGCGGCAGAGAAAGAGGAGATTGCAGAGAAGAAGGACGAGGGACATTGCGTCCCTAACAAGACTGAGGAAAGAATTGAAGCGGCCCTTTTTGGTGAGGCTGCCAAAGCATTTGAGGAGGTTGCAGAGAAGAAGGAAGAGGGGCACCGTGTCCCTAACAAGATAGAGCAAAGAATGGAAGCGGCCCTTTTTGGTGAGACTGCCAAAGCATTTGTGGAGATTGCAGAGAAGAAGGATGAGGGACAAGTTGTCCCTTGTAAGACTGAAGAAAGAATTGAAGCAGTTGATTTTGAGGCCGCCAAAGCACTTGAGGAGGCTGCAGAGAAGAAGGACGAGGGGCACTGTGTCCCTAACAAGATTGAGCAAAGAGTCGACGCGCCTGACAGCGAGGATAATGCCAAACCATTTGCAGAGAAGAAGGACGAGGGGCAAAGTGCTCCTGACAAAAGCATTAGAAGTGAGGAGATTGCGGCAGTGAAAGAGGAGATTGCAGAGAAGAAGGACGAGAGACATTGCGTCCCTAACAAGACTGAAGGAAGAATTGATGCGCTTGACAGTGAAAAGACCGCCAAATTGTCAGAGGAGGTTGCAGAGAAGAATGAGGAGGAGAATTTTGCGCCTGACAAAAGCATTGGAAGTGAGGAAACTGCTGTAAAGAAAGAAGAGATTGCGGAGAAGAAGGATGAGGGGCATGATGTCCCTTGTAAGACTGACGAAAGAATTGAAGCGGCCCTTTTTGGTGAGGCTGCCAAAGCATTTAAGGAGGTTGCAGAGAAGAAGGACGAGGGGCATTATGTCCCTAACAAGACTGAGCAAAGAATTGACGCGCCTGACAGCGAGGAGATTGCCAAATCATCTGAGGAAGTTGCTGAGAAGAAGGATGAAGGGCAATTTGGCCCAGGAAAGCTGGAGAGCCAGCCAAATCTTGAAGCAGAAGACATTATCGAGACCTTCTGTATCGACTATGGTTGCTCCCGCGATCATTTGCCTGATCTCAGAGGAGCTGGGAGCCTCGATGGAAACAAGGAAGAAGAATTTAGAGGAGGTGCTGGTGGATCAAATGCCACCAAAAAGAAGAGAGATATTGGCGACTGTCTGGACAAGATAGCCTCCCTTTTGAAAGACAAGAAGGTCGAAGATGCCAAGGAATTGGAGGAGTTAATCCAAGAAGCAAAAGGTCACCTTGGAGGCCAGAAACAGGGTGATCAAGGACAAAGTTTTTATGGCTTGTTTCGAAATCAAAACAGAGAAGATGGAAAAGGAGGAGGAAAAGGGAAATCTATATAAAACTAAGTCAAAAGGAAAGATCACGAAAGAAGACGAGTTGCCTCGTTTTGACCTTTCTCGCAGATTGCCGAAGGCACAACAAACCACATGGCAATCGTTGCACAAAGCGCTTGAAGAAGGAGAGATCCCCAGAGGAGAAATAGCTATTGTTAAGGATGTTCAACAGCTTAGGCAATTGCAAACTTTGGCTCACGACCTCAAGATCAACAAGTCCCTGCTTCTTGTCGCAAAGAAAGTTGGCAATGATGACATCCCGGATACTTGCCACAGCTTGTTATTGCCTTGGATGGGTAATCTTGCAATGATCGATGCCGTGGTTGGGAACCTCAACAAGCAGAAACCCAATTTGGAGCTTGAGAAAATTCAGAACTGCAAAATGGAAACTGCCAAGAGAGATGACTTGGTTTCACTGCGTTTGACGGCACCATGGAAATATATCTCTGAGAAGAACAAGCAGATCTTGCTTCAGAAGCCGGAGTTTTCTGCACGGCTACTCAATGACAGCTTGAAAGAAGCAAGGACCAATAGGTGGGAGAATTCCGAGTCACTTCTCACTGGCTTCTCCTGATCAGCAAGCATGAGATCAACAAGATGATGAACTGCTCTGGCAAGAATGGTATCTTTGTGACACGCTTGTCACAAGACATCACTACAAAACCTGCTGCGCTTTGGGTTACAAAATTGGAGGGAGAAAGTCATGAAGAATATCTACAGAGAACCCTGCAGGAAGCAAAAGGAGCTCCTTTGACCTGGCGAAGAGGAGACGGCAACGATCTTGGATATCATTGCAGTGAAAATGATATCACTGACAAATCCTGGGCTCTGTGGGGCATCCCTCCTTTGAATGGCCCGGGAATGGTCGAAGATTGGCTTGGACAACAGGGCTGGACTTTAAAAACAAGACCCCAGCCACCGCGAGGGAAAGGAAGTCCTTGGAAAATTTTTGGGCAATGCAGCGAGAAACAGAGCGCCTACGCTTGCCAGGTTGAGATTGATGACCGCATCAGGCGTTTGTCGATTGTCCCATGGAAGACAAGCCGCAAACCCAAAGAAGAAATCTTTCAGGTCAGTGGGCCAAGATGGTTTAGTAAGAATTTTCAATATGAGAGGATTGGTCCTACGCAAGTTTTGGAACCAACACAGATTGATGCCAACATGGAAGATGGCCAAACCGAAATTGAAGACAATCACAAGGTTATCTCACCGCCGAAGAAGAAGGTCAAACCTTCGAAATTGCGAGGGGGTGAACCTGGACCAGAAGGTTCGAATCTTCGTACCCTTGAGCTTGGGGGTACGGGGGATTGCGGTTGGCGCTCTATTGCACATCAGCTGGCTGCTATCAATTCCAAATCCAGCAACTTGGCGGACAATGTCATTTCCAAAATCGCGGTCCTGGGCAAAGCTTTACGGAGTCAAGCCTTATTTCACTTGTGCGAAGTCGACCGCGAGTGGCAGAAGTTTTGGGCACCAGATGATGCATGGACTCCATTGACAGAAGACGGACCACCAGCAAAGGACATCAAAAGCTTTGCGACAGATGTCTTGCACCGCGACAACCGATGGATCTGTCACTATTGCTTGATGGCAGTCGCAGCAGTCAAAAGGATCCGCATCATAGTCTGGCAATATAGAGGAGATGATCCTACACCATGGACCAAGATTGCGGTGATTTCTCCGAATGAGTACAAGAAAAGATTTCCAATAGTTCACCTTGCCAAAGACGGAGGCCACTACATGCCACTGATCTCCGACTCTATGCAAAAGCCTGACTACAACCTCCTTGAGACTGGTTCTGCATGGTCTGCAAAAGGAATCCAGAACAGCATCAAGACTGAGACCAAGCAAATTTTTCGAGCCGGAGGAGAAGAAGAAGAAATGGATGGAAGAAGTACTCATGAACCTTCCATCACTGGAAATGGCACCACGCATGGACTCGAAGGTGGACAAAATGGACCCAAAGGCCTTCATTTGCGCACCCTTGAACTTGGAGGTACAGGAGATTGCGGATGGCGATCCATTGCCTTCCAGCTGGCCGTTCTCAATTCAAAGCCTGGCACTTTGAACAAGAATGTCATGCCCATGATCACCAACTTGAGCAGAATCCTCAGGAGCCAAGCACTTCAATTTCTTTGTGAAATGGATCGAGATTGGCAAGAGCAATGGGTTCCTGACGAGACATGGACTGTTTTGACAGAAGATGGACAACCTGCCAAAGATTTGCATACTTTTACAACAGACACCTTGCACCGTCCTAATAGGTGGATTTGTCACTATGGTTTGCAAGCTGTCGCTACGATCAAGCAGGTGCATTTGGTGATTTGGCAATTTAATGATGACATTGAGGAGCCATGGACTAGGATCGCTACGATCTCTCCGAATGATGAGGAGAAACACTATCCATATGTTCATCTTGCAAAGGATGGAGGACACTACATGCCTCTGATCCCAGACACGATCCAGATCCCTGGCCAAGAGCTGCGACCAAATGGCAGAACCTGGAAATCCAAAGAAATTCAGCGCAATACGAGCATCAGAGGTGGAGGAACCAGTGATAAATTTGAACCTGATTTCAACGCTGTCTCTGGTTTCCAGGAGACCATTGATGATCTCCTGAAGCCACCTGACCCCTGGACCACGCCATCGAAAGCTGCTGGCACACCTTTAAGCCCCAAAACTGCAAAGACGTTTGACGCTATGGAATTTCTTCGAACTCCTAGGACTCCTGCATCTCCTATGATTTCTTTGAAAGAGATCGGAAAGAACATTTGTGAGCACAAAGCCTTGAAGACTCACCAGTGGGAATGCCCTTTCTGTCAATATCGATGCGCTATTACAGGTCCATGCAAGAGAACACAAGATATCAGGACACATCTTGACAAATTCCATGCCGTTGAGACCGCCAAGATCAAGAAGAGAAACATAGAAGATGGATCCTCAGCAACAGGTCGACACGGCCTTGGGATGGCTAACTTGTTGAAGCCTATCCCATTCCGGAAGATCTCAAAGAAAGATGCCAAAATTATGTGCCCCTTTTGCGGTCTTGGCACTGAGGTACAGCCCAACAATGCTGCGCTCAGGAGGAAAACTTTGAAGCATCACTTGAAAATTTGCGCCAAAGCTCCAAAAGGCTGCACACTGAAAATCTTCCGTGCGGAAAGAATGAAGAAAGAAGGAGGAGTTTGTTTTGGAGATGACAAGCAGCACAGAAACAAGATGATCAAGGGAATTTGGAAAAAGGCTGACAATCGAGCCCAAGAGCTTGGACATGTCCCCATGAGACTCATTGAAAGCAATGGCCAAGCATGTGACGTGATTTGTAAAAGATGTTGGAGAGTGGCGTCACACTCAAGGACATGGAACAAGAAATGTGAAGGAGAGCAAGTACAAGAGAGATCCAGAATCCTCCCTTCAGTCAAACTCTGGAAGAAGTTCTTCAAGAAGTTTGGCAAAGAAAACTCTTCCTCGACATGGAGCTCAATGCCAAGCAACAAGGAAAGATCCAAAGAGCACTACATGAAAGCGACAAACGAAATGCGATCCTGAAGGAGAGAAGAAAGAAGCATGGCAACAAGAAGATTTCCAAAAAGGAGCACAAAAGATTGAGAATTGAAGGTTTGAGAAGCAAAGCTATCAAAGAAGCCAAGAGTCTTGGCCATGCCCCTGTGCGCCTGGACTTTCGGCATTCTTGGCAATCTGATGGATACACAAATCTCATTTGTAGGAAATGTTGGAGAGTCAGCCAGCATACCTCCTATTGGCGAAGCAATTGCGTGGGTCATCACACTCCCACCAGGTCCATCCTTCCATCTAGGGCTTGGTGGAAAACATGCATTGAGAAAATTGGAAAGGCGAAGCTATACAAGAGTTTGCAGCTCAACACCGAAGAGAAAGAACTCATCGAGGAGAACATCAAGGAGTACACCAAGCGAAAGAAGGAGTACTCCAAAGCTAGCTGTTGAAAGCTCCCTTCCCCCCAGCGCCTCAGAGGGGGGGGAACTAACACTACTGAGGCTGATGTGACCTTGAAGGGGAACTAACACTACTGACCCTGAAGGGTGATGGATGCTTGAGAGGTGGCACTTCATGCAGGAAAACAAAGAATAAGAGGAATCGCATTAAGGCATTGAGGAAAATTGCCTTTGCCAACGCGTCAGCTTCTTCTGATGAATCCAGTGCAAATCTATCACTACTTGAACCATCATGGATCAAGGAAGACAGTGAGGAGGATGAGAAAGTGACGCGTCAGACCAAAAGTGAGGATGAGGGGGCATCTTTGACTTGCACAAAATGTGGAACAGAGCATCAGCTTGAGCCTGGCCAATTTTTGGGCCTAAAACGACAAGGACTTGAGGAGGAAACATTTTGCTGCGAAATGTTTGGTAGGAACTGCATTATCGATTCTTCATCTGAGTCCGACTTTGAGAATTTTGGGAAGTCTTCTTTCGAGGACATGAACTGTTTGGCGACTGAGGGGGTTGGCAAACAGTTTTTACGTTGCGTTCCAAGCTACATGGAGGATTGGATCCAGGAGGCCAAAGACAGCAACTTGGAAGAATCCGACTTTGTACAGTGGCTTAAAGATTTTGAGGATGACAACCTGCACATCCATTTACATATCAATGAGGACACTTGGCTCACCACATCAGCGATTGAAGACACGTTTGCAGAAGCGGAAGTTGCAGAAGGAGACATCAGCATTGAGGAGCTATTGAGGCCTTGTGACAGTGAGGATGGTGAGCATATTTCGAGGACATCAGATGTGGAAGATGAGGAAGCGCAACCTTCCTTTGCCCTAACCTACGTCAAAAAAGAGGAGGAGAACAATTTGATGAAAGATGAAGAACCTTTCCCTTGCGTGCATGAGGAGAAGGAGGATGTTGTCATTTTCAAAAACATGAAACAAAGTGAAGAGCCAGAGAAGAAGGATGGGGGTCCTTTTGACCCCAGCAAGAATGAGGAGGAAATCGAAAAGAAGAGGGATGACGAGTCATTCACTTGCGTGCGTGAGGAGAAAGACAATGTCGTCTTTGATGAAAGCATAAAACAAAGAGAGGAGCCAGAGCAGAAGGACGGGGGTCCTTTTGACCCCAGCAAGAATGAGCAGAGTATTGAAAAGAAGGAGGATGATATTTTTTGAAGAGGGATGAGGAATCCTTCACTTGCGTGCGTGAGGAGAAGGACAACATTTTATTTGATGAAAGCATGAAACAAAGAGAGGAGCCAGAGAAGAAGGACGGGGGTCCTTTTGATCCCAGCAAGAATGAGCATAGTATTGAAAAGAAGGAGAAAGATATTTTGAAGAGGGATGAGGGATCCTTCACCTGCGTGCGTGAGAAGGACAAAGCTGCCTTTGATGAAAACATGAAACAAAGAGAGGAGCCAGCGAAGAAGGACGGGGGTCCTTTTGACCCCAGCAAGAATGAGCAGAATATTGAAAAGAAGGAAGAAAAGAATTTGACGAGGGATGAGGGATCCTTCACTTGCGTGCGTGAGGAGAAGGACAATGTTGTCTTTGACGAAAGCATGAAACAAAGAGAGGAGCCAGAGAAGAAGGACGGGGGTCCTTTTGACCCCAGTAAGAATCAACAGAATATTGAAAAGAAAGAAGGAAAGAATTTGAAGAGGGATAAGGAATCCTTCACTTGCGTGCGTGAGAAGGACAAAGCTGTCCTTGATGAAAGAACAAAACAAAGAGATGAGCCAGCGAAGAAGGACGGGGGTCCTTTTGACCCAGCAAGAATGAGCAGAGTATTGGAAAGAAGGAAGAAGAGATTTTGAAGAGGGATGAGGGATCCTTCACTTGCGTGCGTGAGGAGAAGGACAAGGTCGTCTTTGATGAAAGCATGAAACAAAGAGAGGAGCCAGAGAAGAAGGATGGGGGTCCTTTTGACCCCAGTAAGAATGAGCAGAATATCGAAAAGAAGGAAGAAAAGATTTTGAAGAGGGATGAGGGATCCTTCACCTGCGAGCGTGAGGAGAAGATTGAAGGAGACGAGGAAGCAGAGGGCATCATCGAAACCTTTTGCAACATCCTTGGAACTCCTGGCCAGCATTTGCATGAGCTCAGAGGTGCAGGAAGTTCTATTGAAGAGGACAAGAAGGAGGAAATTAGAGGTGGAGCAGGTGGCTCTAACGCCACCAAAAAGAAGCGAGATATTGGAGATTGTTTGGACAAGATTGCATCCATGCTCAAAGACAAAGCAAGCGCTGAAGAAGCAAAAGAACTTGAGGAGCTCATTAAGGAGGCCAAGGGACACCTTGGCAATACGAAAGCGCAAGGTCAGAGTTTCTATGGGAAGTCTCAAGCTGTGAGCAACTCTGAGGGAAAAGGAGGTGGCAAAGGGAAATCAAAGTCAAAAGGGAAATCTAAAAGTGAAGATCTTCCCCGATTTGATCTTTCGAGAAGGTGGCCAAAAGCACTGCAAACCACATGGCAATCTTTATATAAGTCTTTGGAGGAAGGTGAAACCCCAAAAGGTGAGATTGCCATCGTTAAGGATGTTCAGCACCTTAGACAGCCTCAAACACTTGCGCATGACCTCAAGATCAAGAAAGTCGCTCCTGCTGGTTGCAAAACGTGTGGGCAATGAAGACATTCCGGAGACTTGTCAAAGCCTCCTCTTGCCTTGGTTGGGGAATCTTGCTTTGATCGATGCTGTGGTTGGGAACCTCAACAAGCAGAAGCCCAACCTTGAGAAGGAGAAGATACATGAATGCAAAATGGTGACTGCAAAGCGTGATGATTTGGTGTCCTTGCGTTTGACTGCGCCCTGGAAATACATCAGTGAAAAGAACCAGCAGATCTTAAAGCAGAAACCAGAGTACTCAGCGCATCTGGTCTGTGACGACTTGAAAGAAGCCCGAACCAACAAATGGGAAAGCTCAGACCCTTTGCTGACAGGATACCTCTTGATTGACAAGCGGGAGGTTGGAAAAATTATGAGTTGCTCTGGCAGAAATGGAATTTTTGTAACAAGATTGTCACAAGATATCGTTGTCAAGTGCTGCACTTTGGGTTACGAAGCTGGATGATGAAAATGACCAAGATTATTTGAGAAGAACAGCTGAGGAGGCCAAAGGAGCACCGCTGACCTGGAGACGTGGTGATGGCAACGACCTTGGCTATCACTGTAAGGAAGAGGACATCACAGATAAATCCTGGGCAGTTTGGGGTGTTCCTGCATTCAACGGCCCTGGCATGGTTGAAGAGTGGCTTGGACAACAAGGATGGACTTTGAAAACAAGGCCACAGCCACCCCGTAGCAGAGGCAGTCCCTGGAAAATCTATGGACTATGCAATGAAAAGCAGAGCGCTTATGCATATCAAGTTGAGATTGATGGCCAGATCAGACGCTTATCGATTGTGCCTTGGAAAAGCAGCCGCAAACTGAAGGAAGAAACTTTCCAAGTTAGTGGCCCACGATGGTTTAGTGAGCACTTCCAGTATGAGGAGGTTGGTCCTACGCAAGTCCTTGAACCTACTCAGATTGACATGGAGGATGCAGCTGATGATGGAAACAAAATTACCTCTCCGCCAAAGAAGAAAGTCAAGCCTTCAAAGCTCAGAGGTGGAGAACCTGGACCTGAAGGACTAAACTTGCGCACATTGGAGGATGGAGGAAATGGCGACTGTGGATGGCGTTCAATTGCCTTTCAGCTTGCCGCTATCAATTCCAAATCGAGCAACCTTGCTGACAGTGTCATGTCCAAGATTTCGATCCTTGGCAAAGCTCTCAGAAGCCAAGCATTATTCCACCTTTGCGAAGTTGATTTGGAATGGAAGAAACATTGGGTCCCAGATGACGCTTGGAATCATCTCACAGAAGATGGACCACCTGCACAGGACTTGGAAACCTTTGCGAAGGATACCCTTCACCGTGACAACAGATGGATTTGCCACTATGGCCTCATGGCTGTCTCTGCTGTCAAGAAGGTCCATCTTATCATGTGGCAATACAAAGGTGATGAAAAGGAACCATGGTCAAAGATTGCTGTGATTTCTCCAAGCGACGAAAAGAAGCACCTTCCTATCATCCATCTTGCAAAGGATGGTGGACACTATATGCCTTTGATTTCCGACACCATGCAGAAGCCTGATTACAGCCTCCTTGAGAACAGTGCTGCTTGGACCTCAAAGGGAATTCAGAGCAAGTCCCCAGGAGAAAAGAAAGACATTTTCAGAGCAGGTGGAAAAGAAGACATTGACAATGGCAACACAAGCAACAGAGGTGGAATAGATGGGCCCAAAGGCATGCATCTCCGCACTCTTGATTTAGGCGGAGTTGGAGATTGTGCTTTCAATGCCAGGCAGGGAAAGCTCATCAATTGCGTTTTGCCAAAGATTGATTGCCTCGCCAAGATCCTTAGAAGCCAAGCAATGCACTTTCTTTGTGAAGTTGATCAAGATTGGAAAGAAAGCTGGGCGCCGGAGGATACCTGGTCTTTCTTGACTGAAGATGGACCTCCAGCTATTGATCTGCATACCTTCATGACGGAGACCTTGCACAGAGAAAACAGATGGATTTGCCGCTTTGGCCTCTTCGCTGCAGCAGAAATCAAGAAGGTCAACCTGATCATTTGGCAATACAACAACAATGATGAAGAACCATGGACAAAAATTGCTGTTTTTACGCCCAAGGAGACGAAACAATTCCCGTGCATCCACCTCGCGAAAGTTGGAAGCGACTATATGCCATTGATCTCTGACGAGATTGTGATCCCAGGCAATGAGTTGCAGACTAATGGACGCAACTGGAGACCCAAAAACTGGCAAAGGAGCAGTGATTTTACTGCTGATGTTAGAGGAGGTGGAAGCACTGCACAATGTGACAAAAGCAACCGAAATGAGAACAGACTCCATGATGAGAGCATTGACGATTTGCTTAAGCCACCGACTCCGTGGTCCACCCCTGAGAAGCAAGACCGAGGCACTCCAAAAAGCGTGAAAACATCACTGTCTCTCAACATCAATGAAGTCCTACGAACTCCAAGGACGCCTGCTACACCTATATGAGCAATGCCAAGAAGATTGAGAACAGTGACTGCAACGACACTGACCTTCCCAAGGTTTGCCACTGGTCTTGCCCTTTCTGTCAGTTTCAGTGCTATGCAGAAGATTCTGGAAAGCGTTCACAAGTTATCCGGTCCCACCTGGACAAGCTCCATTCAATTGAGACTAGAAAGGCCAAAGAGAACATCAGAGAAGGATCCTCCACTTCTGGGCGACATGGTCTTGGCATTGAAAAGTTGCTGAGACCAATCCAGTTCCAGAAGATCACCAAAGAGAAAGCAAGGATCATTTGTCCGTATTGCAAACTTGGTGCAGATACCAATCCTGGCAATGCTGCGCTTAGAAAGAAAACTTGGAAACATCACTTGAAGTCATGCACAAAAGCGCCAAAAGACTGCACCCTCAAGATGCTCTATGCGGCAAGAATGAAGCAAGAAGGGGGAATTTGCCTTGGTGATGGCAAGTCACACAGAAGGAAGATGATCAATGGTATTTGGAAAAAAGCAGACGATAAAGCCCATGACCTTGGTCACTCACCTTTTAGGCTTTTGGATGAAAACCAACAAGCTTGCGATGTTATCTGTGTGAAATGTTGGAGAGTCGCCTCACATTCGAGAACATGGAGCACAACATGCGAAGGAGGAAAACTGCAAGACAGATCTCGAATCCTCCCATCAGTGAGGCTCTGGAAAAAGTTCATCAAAAAGTTTGGCCAAAAGTTATTTGAGGATTTGGAGCTCAACATGCAACAGCGAGAGAAGATTCAAACTGCGATCCAGAAAAGTGATCAGAGGAAATTGAGCTTGAAGAAAAGACAGAGAAGGCAGGGCTCCAAGAAAGTTTCCAAGAAGGAGCACAAAAGACTCAGGCTTGCTGGCTTGAGGAACAAAGCGTTGAAAAGTGCCAAAGATTGCGGCCACGACCCTGTCAGATTGGATTTCCAACGGCTTTGGCAGTCTGGTGGCTGTTCCAACCTTATCTGTAGGAAGTGCTGGAGAATCAGCCAACATACCAAGCAATGGCGAAGCAAATGCATTGGTCACCACAGAGCAGCAAGATCCATCCTCCCATCACGCGCTTGGTGGAAGAATTGCATTGAAAAGATTGGCAGCGAGAAGCTCTTCAAGATCATGCAGTTGAATAGCAGTGAGAAGAAGCTGATTAAAGAGCATATCCTGGAGTACACAAAAAGGATTAATAAAGAATACACCAGCAAGACCTGTTGAAAACAGGTTGCCCCCCACTGTCTGCGGGGGGGTGCAGTGTTGGATGAAAGTGTGAAACAAAAGGTATGGACAATCAACACGGGCGGCATGCCTGGCCTATGGCGACTCTTTTTTCTTTTGGAAGCTTCAAAGAAGCAACACCGACCTGCGGTGATTCATGCTCAGGAGATTCGCTGTGGTTTGGAAGAATGGAAAGCTACATTAGGAAGAATTTCAACCTTGGGCTACACTGCATATGCTTCCTCCAATGTCTCAAATGGGACTAAGTGCAAGTGAGTCCTCTCACTGGTTTCTAACCATGTTCAATCTAGGATGTGCGATGAGTTTTGCAACAAGCGTGGCTATGCGGCTATTGCTCTTCAGGTTCAGAATATCCTCATGGTTAACAGCTATTGCCCCCCTATGCCAGGGGAGATCCACCAACATGCGATAGAGTTTGAGGAGCTCCTCATTAAACTTGACTGGCAGGGACCCATTTTACTTTGCGGCGATTGGAATCAGGAACCACATGAATGCCTTGTGGCAACCCTTGCCACAATGTACGGATGCTCCACTGCTGATTCATTGGAGACCTCTTCAAGGTGGCAAGGACACCGGCTCATCGATTTCTTTATTTCGAACATTTCCCAGCTTTGTTTTCGAGCGTTGGGGGCCCAGATTTCTGACCACAAAATCATGGAAGCAACTGTGCAACTGGAGCTTGCCTCTTACAATGTCCAGCGTTTCAAGAAGGGCTCCAACTTTGAGAAACCACTTTGGCTCACTGGGAAAGATTGGACATCACTCATCCAACAAGCATTCGACATCGAGAAGGCCACCAATTGGCAGAGAGCTTGTAAGTTGGCTGATGATGATACTCCCATCCAAAGTCAAATTGATGATCAAGACCACAAACAAGAGATAGTCGATATCACTTGGAGGCTTTTAATGTCCAAAGCTTTGACCACCTTCCAGACCGCCTTCAAGCTTGCTATCCTTTGTATCCCTGACCATTTCGAAAACACATGGGAAATTAAAAGAGTTGAGAAGTTGGCCAACAAAATCCAAGCTACTCGACTTTCTGTTGAGAAGCACTCCTGGGATCAGCAATCTCCACAATTCCGTACGTCCATGGCGAGGAGGAAGCTTAGGAACAAGTTGAATCTAGCTCATGAACTCTCCATTCTCCTGCGGAAAGGCAACATCTCCCACCAGTCTTACAGCTTGATGCGGAAGCTCTATGGAAAACACAATGACAACATCGATGACATCAACCTTCAGATGGTTTTGAATGACATGCAAACTTGGGAAACGCAAATCATGAAACTTGAAAACGAAGACAAAGAACTTGCGTGTAGGAGATGGAGGAGGAAGATTGTTGCTGACACTACGTACCGAGCAAACTGGATCAACAAGAAGAAGATCAGCTATTATCCTCAGGTTCAGCACCAGGGCAGAACTTCCACATCGAAACCTACTGCGGTGGAACTCATCAAAGAGTTTGACATGAATCTCAAGAACAATGTCCTGATGAATGGTGATCAAAGAAGACAAACAGTCCGAGAAATAGCTCACCATCTTCACAACTATCGAGATAGAGTCCAAGGCAGAGCTCCCAATTTAAATGACCTCCAACATGCAATTTCGAAAGCCAAAGGAGGTCCAGGCCTTGACCAATGGAACCATTTTGAGATCAAGTTGCTTGCGAAGATACCAGAGTTTTTGAATGAAATTGGCCAGAACTTCAAGCTTTGGGCAGACCTTGGCATTACTCCTTCAATTTTGGCGGAGGTCAAGGCCACTTACATTCCGAAGGCTAGCAAGATCCCAAAGGGTGCACATAAAGGGCCTTAGACCAATTACGGTCTTCAGTATCTGGTGGAGGGCTTTCTCTGCTATGTGGATCATTTCCCCTTTGATAGATGCACTTCAAGCTCAAATGCCAAAGGATATAATCTGCAGACGAAGTAAGGGCCCCGAAGTTCAGGCCTGTGTGGCTGACGCTCTTCTTCAGATTTGGAGGTTTGGAGCGACTTTGGACTTCAGCCATTGCTTTGACACTGTGGATATCAAGATGCTGAGAGATGGAGTCAGAGATGGAATCCCTGCATTAGGGCCTTGGATCACGGTTGTCTGTGATCATTGGTTGAAATGCCACAAATGGATTCACTATGACAAACACGTTGGCGATATTCTAGAAAATCAAACTGGCATTCCCCAAGGAGATCCTGCGTCTCCGCTTGCTCTTTCCATTTTGCTTTGGGTAGGACATGCAAGAGTGCAAGAACACCATCAGCCTGGTTCTCTCCATCAATGCATATGGATGGACGACAGAACTATGATTTGCGACAACAAACAACTGCTTAGGGACTATGAATAGATGGAGGCAATTTGCTGATGATTTTCATTTACTGGAGAACGAAGCAAAGACACAAACAGTTGCTCCGGGGGATTCAAAATCAATGGAGGTTCTCGGAGCCCTGATTGGAAATCCAAACAAGAGTACATTCAACAAAGTTGCCCCAAATAGAGATCGTTTTGAGAAGGCCATTCATGTCTCAAAGCGAGTTGGTTTGCTACCAAACAAAAGAATCAGACTGAATGATTTAGTAAGCCTTGCACGACCAGCAATGAGTTATGGCTGGATTGCTGGACGACCTTCTAAGACTATTTGCATGGAATATAACACAGCGATTTGGAAAGCTTTCGGTAGCATCTCTTTCTCTCCACCTTCTCTGCGCAGATTAATAGGCGGTGCACATTTGGAAGCTGACCCAACACTTTGGATCAAGCACGTGAAACTTCTTGCGTGTAGGAACGATGAACTCACCAGACTTGGCCACCATCACTAAATCAACATGTCTTGGAAGGTTTTGAGCAACATGGTTGGACTACGCGCCGTGGCGCTTGGTGTCATGAACAATGTGGTCACTTTCTTGAACAAGACATTCTTCACAGGAAAGAATGGAAGAAAATTGCACATAAGCTACGTGACTCCATTAGATGGTCTGCTTGGGAGGAGTTTAAAGAATCAGGACGGCATGAAATAACTGGACTGGAACTTCCACGAATGACTATTGACAGGATCAACTGGACAAGGAAATGGGCATCCAGCTCCTCTTCACGAAGGAGCTTTGCGATGGGAGCAGTCAAGAGTCCAAAAATGGCCTCAATTGCACATGGATGTAGCTCGAAGTGCTTGAAATGCGACGAAATGAATCCAGACTGGGATCATGGCTGGACTTGCCTTCTTGAAGTCCCCATCCCATGCGATACTATGTTCAGGCGATTCCTTTGCGGAACAGATAGGTCTGAGCAACTCCTTGCTGATGCTTTCATTGAGAATGTGGAGAAGTTCTATACGATTCTTTAACTGGAAACCTTGGCATTCATCTGGGCACCTTCTCTGCGGGGTTGACTGCTTGGTAGGTGTCAATAGCAAAAGGCATGCCCAGATTTGATCTTTCGAGAAGATGGCCCAAGGCTTTGCAAACCACTTGGCAATCACTTAGCAAATCGCTTGAAGAAGGAGAGACACCGAAAGGAGAAATTGCTATCGTCAAGAGCGTGCAACATCTTCGACAGCTTCAAGCGCTTGCCCACGACCTCAAGATCAACAAGTCCTTGCTTTTGGTTGCGAAACGCATTGGCAGTGATCCCATCCCTGAGACTTGCCAAAGCCTTCTCCTTCCATGGATGGGGAACCTTGCGATGATCGATGCAATTGTTGGGAATTTGAACAAACAAAAACCCAACTTGGAGAAGGAGAAGATTCATGAATGCAAAATGGAGATGGCAAAGCGTGATGATTTGGCTTCTTTGCGTTTGACTGCGCCCTGGAAGTTCATTTGCGAGAAGAATAAGCAGATCCTTTTACAGGAACCAGAGTATTCTGTGTGTCTCCTTTGCGATGATTTGAAGGAAGCCAGAACAAACAAGTGGGAAAGTTCAGACTCTGTCTTGACGGGATATCTTTTGGTCAACAAGAACGAAGTTGGGAAGATCATTGGATGTTCTGGAAGAAACGGGATTTTTGTTACCCGACTGTCGCAGGATATCATTGTCAAACCCTCCGCACTTTGGGTTTCAAGACTTGAAGGCGAAAGTGACCAAACCTATTTACAAAGAACAACAGAAGAAGCAAAAGGCGCACCTTTGACCTGGAGAAGAGGCGACGGCAATGACCTTGGATATCATTGCAAGGAGGAGGACATTACGGATAAATCTTGGGCAGTCTGGGGCGTTCCAGCTTTCAACGGCCCTGGAATGGTCGAAGATTGGCTTGGGCAGCAAGGTTGGACTTTGAGAACAAGGCCACAGCCACCTCGCTCTAGAGGCAGCCCCTGGAAGATTTTTGGACAGCGCAGTGAAAAGCAAAGTGCCTATGCGTATCAAGTTGAGGTTGAGGGCAACATTCGGCGTCTGTCCATCGTGCCTTGGAAAAGCAGCCGCAGACCAAAAGAGGAGACATTTCAAGTTAGCGGCCCCAGATGGTTCAGCGAGCACTTTCAGTCTGACAAGGTTGGCCCTACGCAGGTCCTTGAACCAATTCAGATGGATGCGAACATGGACGAGGAAGAAGCTGATGGAGATAAGATTGTCTCTCCGCCAAAAAAGAGAGTCAAGCCGTCCAAACTGAGAGGTGGCGAACAAGGACCAGATGGACTTGATCTCAGAACCCTCGAGCTTGGGGGCACAGGTGATTGCGGATGGCGTTCAATTGCCTTCCAATTAGCTGCAATCAATTCAAAATCTAGCAATTTGGCCGAGAATGTGATGTCGAAAATTGCGGTACTTGGCAAAGCTCTCAGAAGCCAAGCCCTTTTTCATCTCTGTGAAGTTGATTTGGAATGGCAGAAGCATTGGGCTCCTGACGACGCTTGGACACCACTCATTGAGGACGGGCCACCAGCAAAAGATTTGAAAACATTTGCAACTGAGACCCTGCACCGCGACAACAGATGGATCTGCCATTATGGCCTCATGGCAGTCTTGGCGGTCAAAAAAGTCCACATCATTATCTGGCAACACAAAGGTGATGAAAAGGAACCATGGTCAAAGATTGCTGTGATTTCACCAAATGACGAGAAGAAGAAATTGCCCATTATCCACCTTGCCAAAGATGGTGGACATTACATGCCTCTGATTTCTGACACCATGCAGAAGCCCGATTACAGCCTCTTGGAAAACAGCACTACTTGGTCTTCAAAGGGAATCCAAGGCAAATCTTCAGGCGAGAAGAAACAGATTTTCAGAGCTGGAGGAGGAGAAAGCAACAAGGGTGGAATCAATGGCCCTACCGGCATGAAACTACGCACATTGGAATTGGGAGGAACTGGAGACTGTGGATGGAGATCAATTGCCTTCTTGATCGCTGCCATCAATGTGAATCATGACAAACTTGTCAACAGCGTCTTGCCCAAGATCGAAAGTCTTGCAAACATTTTGAAAGGCCAGGCGCTTCATTTTCTTTGCGAAATTGATCACGATTGGAAGCAGAACTGGATGCCGGAGGATACCTGGACTGCTTTGACGGAAGATGGACCTCCAGCACAAAATTTGCAGGATTTCATCAATGAGACTTTGCATAGGGAAAACAGATGGATTTGCCGCTATGGCTTCATGGCAATTTGCGAGACCAAGAAGGTGAACCTGGTTATTTGGCAGTACCGGGGCAATGACAGAGAGTCTTGGACAAAAATTGCAACCTTTTCACCAAAGGAGACGAAGCAGTTCCCAACTATCCACCTTGCGAAAGTTGGAACCCATCTCATGCCGCTCATCCCTGATGAACTTCATGTTCCTGGCAATGATCTGCAAAGGAATGGAAGAACTTGGAAGCCGAGAAGACAGCAGAACATGAACAAGATTGCTGACTTCAGAGGAGGAGGGAACTTTGAGCAAAGGTCTACGATTGGCGATGTCGGTAATGAAATTTCTGAGGAAAACATTGAGGACGTGCTCAAATCACCAGATCCCTGGACCACTCCAAAGAAGAAAAGCTTCTACACTCCTGAAAGTGTGAAAACTATGCAATCCTTCAACATTCGGGATGCACTGCGTACGCCGGAAACACCTGCAACACCATGCAGCAATATGAACAAGACAGAGAACAAGAACAACTATGGTCTCAGTCTTTCGAAAGTGTGCCATTGGGCTTGCCCATTCTGTCAATGTCAGTGCTTCATTTCAAACCCTGCGAAAAGAACCCAGGACATCAGAACTCATCTTGACAAATTCCACGCAAGAGAGACGAAGAAAACAAAAGAGAGGAATATCGAGAAAGGCATTTCTGCATCTGGACGACATGGATTGGGCATTGCCGTCCTACTCGAACCTTTGCAACTTCGAAAGATGCCAAAGCAGAAGGCCAAGATCATTTGTCCTTTTTGCAAATTTGGGGCAGATGTCAACCCTGGCAGTGCAGCGCTTCGAAAGAAAACCTGGAAGCACCACTTGAAGTCTTGCACAAAAGCGCCAAAAGACTGCAACCTGAGGGTGCTCTACGCTGCGAGGATGAAACAAGAAGGTGGGATCTGCCTCGGCAATGGAGAAGCTCACCGGAAGAAGATGATCCAAGGTATTTGGAGGAGAGCTGACAACAAGGCAATTGGGCTTGGTCACTCTCCCCACCGACTCATGAACAGCAATGGACAAGCTTGTGATGTGATTTGCAAGAAATGCTGGAGAGTTGCGTCTCATTCGAAAACCTGGAACATTGCCTGCGGGGGGGAAAAGATGCAAGACAGACCAAGAACTCTTCCTTCTGTCAGGCTTTGGAAGAAGTTCATCAAGAAGTATGGCAAAGCAAAACTCTTCACTGACTTGGAGCTCAACACACATCAGCAGGAGAAGATCCAAGATCATGCACAAGAAGTTGAGGCTGGAAGGTTTGAGGAGCAAGGCAATCAAGAGTGCAAAAGTGGACACGAACCAGTGCGGCTTAGCTTCCAGCGTGCTTGGCAGGCACCAACCTGATCTGCAAGAAGTGTTGGAGAGTCAGCCAACATACAAAACAATGGAGAGACAATTGCGTTGGCCATCATAGATCAGTCAGATCTATCCTCCCTTCAAGGTCGTGGTGGAAAAATTGCGTTGAGAAGATTGGCAAGGAGAAATTGTTCAAAATCATGCAGCTCAACAAGACAGAGAAGAAGATTGTCAATGACAACATCGCTGAGTACGTCAAAAGAAGGAAACAGTATGCCAAAAGCTGTTGGGGGCACTGAATCTGTTGCAAAGGAAAGACAGAAAGTTTGGACAATCAACACGGGCGGCATGCCCGGCTTTTGGCGGCTCCTTTTTCTTTTGGAAGCTACAAAGAAGCAGCTCAGACCCTTTGTAGTTCATGCACAAGAGATTTGCTGCAGCCTTGAAGAGTGGAAAGCAACTTCAGGTAGAATTTCAACCCTTGGATATACTGCATATGCGTCTTCGACGGTTTTGCGTGGGGCCAAATGCAATGGAGTCCTAACAATGGTCTCGAATCATGTTCAATCACAGATGTGTGATGAATACTGCAACAAACGTGGCTATGCTGCAATTGCACTTAAAGTTCAAGATTTGCTCATGATCAACAGCTATTGCCCACCAACAGTTAGCGAGTTGCACCAGCATGCGATTGAGTTTGAGGAGATGCTCATTAGATTGGATTGGCAGGGTCCCATGTTATTTTGCGGTGACTGGAATCAGGAGCCATCTGATTGTTTGGTAGCCACTTTAGCTGTCATGTATGGTTGCTCCATTGCAGATTCTGACGAAAATTCTTCGCGCTGGAAAGGGCACCGGCTCATCGATTTCTTTATTTCGAATATTCCTCATTTGCGCTTCCGAGCACTTGATGCCAAGATCTCTGACCACAAGATTATGGAGACCACTGTCAAGCTGGAGTGCTGCTCCTACAATGTCCATCGTTTCAAGAAGGGTTTCAATTTTGAGAAGCCTCTCTGGCTCAATACCAAAGGATGGGAAGACCTTGTCCATCAGGCGTACAACATTGAGAAGGCCACCAATTGGCAACATGCTTGCAAATTAACTGATGACGACACCTCCATCCCGAGCCAAGTTGATGATTCTGATCAAGATCAGGAGATTGTAGACTTCACTTGGAAACTCACTATGTCAAAAGTTTTGACCACCTTTCAAACTGCTTACAAGTTGGCCATTCTTTGCATTCCGGAGAATTTTGACAATAAGTGGGAGATCATGAGGATTGAGAAGCTGGCGAATAAGGTACAATCTTCTAGGCTCTCTGTTGAGAAGTTTTCCTGGGATCAGCATTCACCCCAATTTCGAACATCTATGGCAAGGAGAAGGCTACGAAACAAGCTTAATTTGGCTCAGGAACTTGCAATCCTATTGCGAAAGGGGAAACATTCTCATGTTTCCTTTAGCATGATGCGCAAGCTATGCGGCAGAGACTTCATGGACTTTGACACTATCACACTGCCGAAAGTTTGTGATGATATACAAGAATGGGAAAAACACATCTTGAAGTTGGAGAACGAAGACAAAGAAATTGCGTTTAGGAGATGGAGGAGGAGAATAGTCTCTGACACAACCTACAGGGCAAATTGGATCAACAAAAAGAAGATCAGTTATTATCCTCAGGTGCAGCACCAAGACAAGACTTCCACCTCGAAACCTACTGCGGTAGACCTCATCCGGGAATTTGACATGAATCTCAAGCGTAGAGTTTGGATGAATGAAGACCAGAGACGTCAAAGAGTCAGGGAAATTGCTCACCATCTTCACAACTTTCAAGGCAATGTTCAAGGCAGAGCTCCCAACCTGAAAGACCTTCAACAAGCGATTTCAAAAGCCAAAGGTGGTCCTGGCCTCGACCAATGGAACTACTATGAGACCAAGACCCTTGCGAAGATCCCTGAGTTTTTGAGAGAAATTGGCCAAAACTTTAAACTCTGGATTGACCTTGGCATTACTCCTTCAATCCTTGCGGAGGTCAAGGTGACTTATATCCCCAAGGCGAACAAGATCTCTAAAGGCACAGTCAACATCAAAGGTCTAAGGCCAATCACTGTCTTCAGCATATGGTGGAGAACCTTTTCAGCGATGTGGATCATGTCACCTTTGATCGATGCGCTGCAAGCACAAATGCCGAAGGACATCATTTGCAGGCGAGGCAAAGGACCTGAAGTTCAGGCCTGTGTGGCTGACGCTCTACTGCAGCTATGGCAGCATGGAGCGACATTGGACTTTAGTCATTGCTTTGACACAGTGGACATCAAAATGCTGAGAGACGGTGTCAGGATTGGTATTCCCATTTTGAGCCCTTGGATCACGGTTGTCTGTGATCATTGGTTGAAATGCCACAAATGGATTCACTATGACAAACACGTTGGCGATATTCTAGAAAATCAAACTGGCATTCCCCAAGGAGATCCTGCGTCTCCACTTGCGCTTTCTCTTTTGCTATGGGTAGGCCATGCACGTGTACAAGAACACCATCAGCTTGGTCGACTCCATCAATGCATTTGGATGGATGATAGAACTATGATTTGTAACAATAAGCAACTGCTCAGAGATTCAATGGAACGTTGGGGACGCTTTGCTGAAGATTTTCATTTGCTGGAAAATGAGACAAAGACCCAGACTGTTGCTCCTGGCGAAGCAAAAGCTATGGAAGTTCTTGGTGCTTTGATTGGACAACCCAACAGGAGAACATTCAACAAAGTTAGCCCAAACAAAGAGCGTTTTGAGAAGGCTATCCATGTCTCTAGAAGAGTTGGTTTGCTGCCAAACAAGAAGATCAGAATGAATGATTTGGCTACCCTTGCACGTCCAACCATGAGTTATGGGTGGATTGCTGGTCGGCCTTCCAAAGGCATTTGCTCTGAGTACAACACTTAGCTTTGGAAAACCCGGCCATACCACATTTTCTCCACCTTCTTTGCGCAGATTGATCAGCGGTGCACATCTAGAAGCTGATCCAGTTTTGTGGATCAAACAAGTCAGGCTCTTGTCTAACAGGAATGCTGAGCTTACAAGACTGGGACATAGTTTGGATCAGTTTGAGACTGCACTCGGTCGCAACGTTTTAGAAGGTTTTGAACAACATGGATGGACAAAACGCCGTGGAACTTGGCGCCACGAACACTGTGGCCATTTCCTTGAGAGTGACATCTTGCACCGTAAAGAATGGAAGAAGATTGCACACAAATTGCGTGACTCCGTTAGATGGCCAGCTTGGGAGGAATTCAAAGTATCAGGACGGCATGAAATAGCTGGCTTACAACTTCCACAGATGACTATTGAAAGGATCAACATGACTAGGAAGTGGGCATCTACAAAACCTTCACGCTGTTGCTTTGCTATGGGCGCTGTGAAGAGTCCAAAGATGGCCGCTTTGGCGCATGGCTGTACATCCAAGTGCTTGAAATGTGAGACAACCGATCCTGACTGGGATCACGGATGGACTTGCTTGCTGCAGGTCCCTGTCCCATGCGACACCATGCTCAGAAGGTTCCTTTGGGGGACAAACAAATCTGAGCAACTTCTTGCTGATTCTTTCATTGCGCATGTGGAGGAGTTCTACATGATACTTTAGAGGAAATCTTGGCATTCATCTGGGCATCATTTCTGTGGGAATGACTGCTTGGTAGGTGTCAACGGCAAAAGGCATACCAACTTCAAGATCATCACTTTGGATCACATGAAGAAGATGAAAAACAACGCCATTGTGTGCAACATCGGCAACCAGGGCCGTTTCTGGGTCTTCGACCCGGGGCTCAACCACAGGCACCCCCACATGGTGGTTGCGGGCTCACATTGCCCTTTGGTCAGAGCGAAGTTCTGTGGCACACATGCTGACTTCAGGCCGAGGTACATCACCCTCGCGACGACCCCGTCGCAGGAAACATGCCACGACAACACCACTGGGGTCCGGATTGGTGAGGCAAGCCATCCCGGACCCGCTGCAGCCAAAGCCACGGCACGACGGCGACAGCAGAAACAGCAGCAGAACAACCTGGGACAGATCATCAACCTTCTGCTCCCGCTACTCACACAACTCCTGCAAGTTTTGGATACAGGCAGAGCGACAGACTCTTCATCGACACCCAGCCTCACTACGGTGCTGGGAACCCTCTTGGGACACAACAATGCACAGAGCCAGGACACACCTGGCAAACCAGCATCGCACAGACCCCGCAAACGTCGGGGGACCATCTACCAGGAAACCAGGCAACACACCGGCGGACCAACCACCACATCCACTGCGGCCCCTAAGGGGGGTCAACCAGTACAACAGTACAGCCAGCCGCAGCAGCACGGCGAATCCAGCTCAACGACCAGGAATGGCCATCATTCAAGGACGGCAAAGGTAAGACCGCCCCTGGCCAACAGAAAGGCAAAGGGAGCACACCAGGCCCACAGGGCACACACGGCCCACACAACCCACCAGCAGCACAACCAGACGGCAGCAAGCCCGAGGAGTGGACCACCATCACTCGTCGGCGACCAAACCTTGACGCGTGGGCCCTCCGACCCAAAGACTGGAGCGACCCCACTCTCCACTACGACACATTGGCAACCGCTCTACAGAAGCACTCTGGGGACCAACCCTTTCGAGCAGTCATTCACTGCAGCGACCATGAACAAGGACAAGCAGCAGCAGCCATGCTCGCAAACATCAAGCAACGAGCTGTCTGGATCCTTTGGCGACAAGCAGACGGCACAACAAGCATCCCTGGGCAATGCGGCAACAAGCCGTTACTACAAAAAGTGGCCAGCATCAAGATTGTTGATGATCCACTTGGCAGCCCTCACCTACTACGCTGCACGCCCAAGGCCATCCAGACCACAACCACACACACGGAGATTCTCCGCATCACCTTTGACGAGCAATACATTAGCAAGAAACTGCAGACCACAGCGCGAGAGCGCCCCCGCAAAGCACTTGGCGATTGGGCGTCCACATTGCCAGCCCACATCGCCAACTCCATCCACGACACATGGGGATGGAAGCAAGAACACACTGGCCCCAACCGAGCGATCACAGGGCTCATCCGGGTGCAAGGCACCTTCGGCAGCAAGGATGCCCCTGATTACATTCTCGGCCGCAGCGGCCAACAAGGCATCTTTACAGCACCCATTCACTGGCACAACCCCCTCCCCAACATCAAAGTTGAAGACACACATGAAGACTACATCCAACGACTCCTCGAGCGGGGTCACCAATGGGGCCTTGCACGGGGCCCACGCGGATTGGGGGCACGCATCGAAGCAGAGGCCTCCACCCAGCACACTCGCACATGGCAACTTGATCGCACACCCCGGGAATGGACACAACATACCGTCCAAGAACTCCTTCAAGCCAACCCAGCCTTTGAGCACACACACATTATCAAGAAGCAAGTCAGAGGCCCCACTGCCACATGGTGGTTCCAAGCCACCACCCAAAAGGAACTTGACTTGCACCCCATCTTCGCCACACTTGACAACAAAAATCTTGAACTCTGGGCACGGCTCGCCCCACCTACCAGACGCACTGGGTCCACAAAGGCCTGGCCAATCAAAGACCCATCAGTCCTCCAATGGACGCATGATCGCACAAGCTTGTCCATCGGCACTGGTGCCACTAAAATGGAGGAAGCTCAGCCACAGAATGGCAATCGCAGCCCCCGCGGCCAACCACAAAAGCGACAATGCATCCCCATCCGTGATATTCCAAAAGGCTTCCTAAAGGAGGAGGTGCCTGGGGACCTGGCTTGCCTGTTCCATTGTCTCGGCAAAGCATTCTCCACACCAAAAAACGAGATCTTGGCCATTCAAGCACGGGCCGAGGTGGTGGCCCACCTCAACAAGCACAAGGAAACCTACGAACCCCTTTGAGACGGGCTCCAACCCGACAACAGCAAAGGCACCACATTCACAGCATACTTGGAGGAGATGCAAAAACCGACCACCTGGGGCGGCTGGCTGGAACTCACGGCCGCCGCCAGGCATTGGAACACCAGAATCATCATCGTCCCCGAGACCCTGGCAGACGACGTCATGGTCTTCCACGACAGCCGCCGAGCAGAGCACACCACCATCCTTTGGTACACCGGCAAACACTACGACCTCCTCATCCCCACCAACGGCATCCCGGACCATATCCTACAACAGGCCAAGCCACAACGGGGACTCCGAGGCGGAGCCAACTCTACACACACATGCTGGACAAGCAAGCCATCACATGCAGGCCACACAGTCTTCACCAGCGACAGCAGTCGCGGCACACCTGCAGCTACCACCACTTCACAGCCACCCACTGCAGCAAACCACGGGCCACAGCACCCACAGCAGCAGCCGTCGCACCCACGACGGCGACAACCACCACCACAACGCCAACACATGGCACGAGGGTGGCGCGCACAACTGCGCCACCCACACACACACAACACACACGAGGGCCACACCATTCCAGGTTCGGGGACCACAACCGCCTCGTCTGGAAATGTCCCTTGTGCCCCTATGAAACAGCACATGCCATCACAGAGCAAACCAGCAAAGCACACAGAGCCAGCCTACTACGTGCCATTTGGTCCCGCAAGAGCAATCACATTGCCCACTGCCACCCAGACCAGCGTCAGCAGCTCACACACGCGAACGGGTCTGACAACAAGCAACCCGTCATCGCACGCCTTGCCAAACAACAACCTGGCTGGCATTGCAACAAATGCACGGCAGGCATCCCACAAGCCCAGCTCTCCCAACTGTCCTACAAGCGACTTCGACAGGCACAATGGGAACACGCCCGGGACAAGCATGGCGTCCCTGACAGAGCCACATGGGCAAAGCAACAGCACAGCCGCAGCAACAAAACCCTGGCAAACCGCAACAAACACGTCACCCGGCGACGAGCAGCAGGATTGGCAGCCACACTAGTCCAAGTCAACACCAACCCTGGCGGACACCAACTGCACAGCTTCTTCTTCCCCTTCTGGAGCCACACCCGCAACACCCACACCACTTGCAGAGCATGGGTGTGCCAGCGATGTGGCCAGCAGGCCCTCAACAAGCGCAAAGCTCTCCACACACTCACAAACAAGCGGTGCGCCGGCCACATGCCAGCCAACGGCGTCCAGCGACGTCGCAAAGTCATCCAACGCCTCCGCAAGCTCGCGCGGGCTCCGCCCCGTGACAGTAGGCACCCGGCAACAACACTGCGGCATCTCTACAGCATGGCGGCAGCAACCCTCGAGGACAACCTGCAGCACCTGCAGCACACCGGCAATCAACGCCAATGACAGCCCCACAGCAGCAACACACAATCAAACTTGGGACGCTCAATGTCCAGCACCTTGGCCACACATGGGAGGAAGTCATCCACCTTGCCCACACGCACCACATCGACTGCCTGGCCATCCAGGAAGCCACCCTACACAACACAAGCATTTGCGGCTACACAAAGGCAGCACAAGCACATGGCTACACACTGCATTGCAGCAACATCAACGACAACCATGCAGCAACGGCCATACTTACCCGCATACCGTGCACCAAATGGGAACCTCCCCACACTCTACCTTTCGAGGTCCCTGATCCCAACCGGACACAATTCATCCAACTCCACCGGCACGGACAACGCCCTCTGTTCCTGGCCAACATCTATGCACACCAGTCCAACCACCAACAGCGGGATCAACTTATCCACAACACAACACAACACAGCTTCTACGGCACATCGGTGAGGACTTCATCGTCATGGGCGACTTCAACACCACTTGCGACGAGGGCGCCACGGCCAACCTCGTTGCCAATGGCATCGCGCATGACGCCAATGGGTTCTTCACCGACTGGCAACCCACTCGCCACCCAGGCCAACGATGCATTGACTACGCTCTGGTGAGCCCACGTGTCCACCCACAAACCAAACAGCAACACCCTGGCCCCAGGGACCATGACTTGATCACTTACACATTCCCAGTCGGCCCGTCACCACCCGGTTATCGCCGACCACAGCTACGAGGCATCAACCATGAGCATACCATCACACCTCAACAATTCCAGGACCGGTGGAACCAACAACAGTTCCAACAACACCTGGACAACCACGACACCACCGCAGCGTGGACCATGCTCAGTGACGTCGCTGAAGACCTCCTGAGCGCAGACAACAGCCATGGCCTACGCCGATCCACACTCTGGCAACCCATACAACACACACAGCCAGCCAAACATACTTTGTCTAAGCAAACTTCAAGCAACGGCGTCTTCTACGTACATTGCGCACAGCGCGGGAGCTGCAGCGTCACCCACGCTCAGACACACAGGCGGCGCTGCAACGGCGTATACTCAGCCTCCAGCACCTCTACCCAAACCTTACCTACAACACGTTGGATGAACTCATCCACACTTTGGAAGCACACATCCACGAGGAGGCTGAACAACACACAAGCAGTCGCATCCAGCGATGGATGACCGACATGCACGACAACCCAAGCAAACAGAGGCATTGGGTGCGTCAACCGGCCGCGCCCGCCATCACCCCTCCAGCTACCAGCCATACCCAGCATGCCATCCATCCACAACAACATTTGGAAGAGCAGACTTCCATCTGGATGAACATATGGAATCGCCCACACCCTGGTGATCCCGCCGGCACACTCCACACGCCTTGGTTGCAGGCTAAGCAACAACACACACAACTACTGCAGTCATGGCTCCCACCAACCACCCACACAAGTCTTACGCTCCACATCACCACCAAACAACTCCTGCAAGCAGCTCGACGCAGCCGCGGCAAGGCGGTCGGGGGAGACGGTTGGCAGTCTGAACACTTCCTAGCCCTCCCCCTGTCTGGTGGGACTGTTTTAGAGACTTGTGGCACGCCACCCTGCAAACAGCCAGCATACCCCCGGTGCGGGCAATGGCCCTCTGGACACAAAACTGGGCGGCTCCTGAACTGTGCGGTGGTCTACCCGGTCGAGATGGTATTGCGTTACATGTTCGTCTCTTCCACGACCTCATGGAGCACCACGACGACGATTACATCCTCTTGTCCCAGGACCTCAGCAAGGCCTTTGATACAGTTCACATCATGCAAGCGCTCACCGCACTTTCACACTACGGAGCTCCCGACCCCCTTTGTCAGACCATTTTGGCTTTCTATCGAGGATGTCGTCGTCTTTTCCTCTACAACGGAGACATGACTCCAAAATGGTACACCACAACCCACGGCATTTTACAAGGGTGCCCGTTCAGCCCACTGCTCTTGGCCACTCTCATGAACATTTGGCATCACGGCATGCACACAGTAGCAGTACCAGCCAGCACCCTTCACACGGGTATTTATGTTGATGACAGAAACATCTGGATGCATGGCCCACGAGCACGTGAGCTTCTACCCCGGGTTATTGCCCAATCCAGAATCATTGACGCTACCCTTGGATTCCATGAAAACACGTCCAAGACCCAACTTGCCACTGCAGACACACGTCTCCTTCCGATCCTGGATGCCCTCACCCGTGACAACTTCCCACCAGGTGGCACCACCAGCAAAGTTTTGGGACTGGTCTACAACCTTCACAGCACAGAGGTCACTACACCCACTGAAGCGGTGGACAAGTTCATTCACCGGGCCAAACGCATCCAACAAGCCACTCGGTTTTTCCACCACCGACGAAGACTGCTTCGGAGCACGGCTATACCTTGCATCACTTGGGCAGGACCACTTGCTTTCCTCACACCAATACAACAACGGCAGGTCCGCCTTCATGCCATTCATGCTCTCCAAGGCTGGATCCCACAGACAGCCTCTCGACACAACATTTGGACAGCAAAACTCCACCCACATGACGACCCGGCATACTGCTTACTCGAAGCCAACTTGAGACTACCTATTTGGTACAGCCGGTTGCAAATCACCACCCATCCTTGGCTACACCACATTCGGCAATGGCTTCAACAACCACAACACCTACAACACATCCCGGCATTGCGCAACACACTCCACACACTACAGTGGAGTTGGCATCAGCACAACCACACACTATGCAAAACTGATGTGAGCGGGCGCAGCCGCACACTCCGTCTCGGTTGGGACGGCAATATACCACTACAACAATGGCTACAACACCATTGGACCTACAGACTCTTCCGGGCAGAAGAACGAGTGTGGGCAACACGCCGACGCAATGATCCGAGGGTGGCATCAGGTTTGTCCCTCCCTACCCCACCAGCCAACCATTTGCCAAACATGACAGCACACAAGACAGCAGCACAACTGCCATACAATCCAACCAACACACCGGAACGACAAGTCTATATGGCAACAGGAACTTCGACTTGGCATACTGGCAAGAGACACAATATTGCTCCCCCGCCGTGTCTTTGTCACTTGCAGGCACCAAGCATGCCCCACTTGCTGTGGAAATGCACGGCACTGCAAGCACAATGCCGAAACATGGCACCCAGACCCCCTCAGAACACAAGCGAGGAGCGACTTCTGGCAGCAGTCACACCACCAGACCCCAGACCACTTCAGCCCACCAATCAAGCAATCCAAGCACCACATGAATTGCAATCTCTTCTTCAACAACAGGTCCACCAGGCAGTTGGACCTGGTCAACCTTTAGTGATTGCCACTGATGGAGGAGCTAAGCATGGCATCGCAACCTGGGCAGTTGCAGTCGATGCTGGTACTTGTGCCCGGCCTCTACATGGAGAGGACCACACGGTAATGATGGCGGAACTCACCGCCATTTGGTGTGTCATCATCACCCTCATACACATTGCAGAACAACCACGATTTCATGGCGATCTTCAGGTGATTTTAGCAGTGGACTCACAATCCGCAATTGACTTCTTGACCAGAATATCTGTTCCCACACAACACTTTCATTTGTGGCATGGTTTTCAACGACATCGGAGTCGGGCATTGGAACGTGGTCTACGTATCGTGTTTCAGTGGACCCCGGCTCACAACAAACATCCTGAATGGCAACCAGCACATGGTTGCCCCAAAAACTTGCGACACTTGAATCATCACGCAGACAGTGCCGCTAGTGCTATGTTGCAGAGGGAGCTTGCTTGCCTTCAACCTTGGCTTGATGATGTGACTCGAGCCTCTCATTGGTCGTCAGCTGCGCTTCAATGGGCAGCCTGTGTGGCTGCGATTTGGGATGGGCATTGTGCCACTTTGGCCAATCTACGCCCCCGTTAGTTTCACCTTGTGATCCACTGATTCTAGGTGTCCGTCAGCCTGTTTCAGTTCAATTTCATCATCATCATCATCATCATCATCATCATTGTGTGCAACATCGGCCACTTTGACAACGAGATTGCCATGGAGGACTTGGAGACTTTCCCTGGCATCAAGGTTGAGAACATCAAGCCACAGGTGGACCGCTTTGTGTTCCCTGATGGCCACGGTGTGATTGTCTTGGCATCTGGCCGACTGGTGAACCTTGGCTGCGCCACCGGCCATCCATCTTTCGTGATGTCCTGCTCCTTCACCAACCAGGTGTTGGCTCAGCTGGATATCTTGGAGAACTGCACCAAGAACAAGAAGTACAAGAACGATGTGTACCTGCTGCCCAAGCAGTTGGATGAGAAGGTGGCAGCTCTCCACTTGCCATCTCTGGGTGCAAACCTGACAAAGCTCTCCAAGGAGCAGGCCGACTACATCGGCGTCGGGGTGGATGGAACCTTCAAGCAGGACACCTACCGTTACTAAGATGCTAGGATTTTGCTAGTTGCACGGGGAATACGCCAGTTTTTCTCGAGTTTCCCTTTGTAGCAAAGATTGCCTTTGGCGGCAAAGTGTTTGGCCAGTTCATCCACGGATCCCAAGGGACCTTTAGCTACATAGGAAGTCAGCGGATCGTGTCATTTGGGCAGAACAACATGGGTGCAAAAAAGAGCAGTCAACTTTGAACTTCATTCCTCCTTCGAGAACAAAGTGGCTTTGTTGACTTTGCAGATTTCAGGTTTGTTTGTGCTCTCCAAGTGATTCTCTCCCATTCAGTGCAGCGAGAATGAAGACAGCACTTATGGGTCACCGAGTTTTTTTATTCACGTCGCTTCGCGACGGCAACCGCCCGCACCGCATCGTATATCGAGTGAACGGTCCACACTGTTAATGATGTCAGCCATTGTTCTCTTCTACTGCCATTGTTCTCTTCTATTGCCGTCGCTCCGCGACAAGAACTTCTGTGCGGCCGCCACGGTTTGAACGATGTTGTTCTCACACCTTCGCGACCGCTCGTAACTGCCAATGATGTCGGCCATTGAGACCAAAAACATCCGAAAGTACTGATTGTCGGAAAAAAAACGCGAAGAATTTGATAGCCATGTATAGCGGACCAACGCAGTTCAAAAAAGAACGAAAAACATGAAAAAACGGCGAAATTGCTGTTATTTACAGTGTTTTTGCGCGGTGAGAAGCAGAAACCACTGCAAATACCATGGTTTTTGAGGGTCAGGCCAAAAACACTGTAATTTACAGTGTTTTTTTAACCAACGTCAAAAAACACTGGTATTTACGATGTTTTCATTCACACCGTAACATAAAACAGCGTAATTTACGAGGTTTTTGGAAGGTTTGAAGCTAGCCGTCAAGCATGCAGAAAACAGAAAAACACTGTAAAAACCAGTGTTTCTGCTATCACAAAACGACGAAAATCAGTCCGAAAACGGGTCCAAAAACTCAAAAATCCGCCTCCGGGCCAGGCCACCTGCGGAACCGCAAAAAAAGATGTTGCAAACCAAAAAATTGAGGTCAAAAAGTTGAAAAACACGGGGGTTTTTCACTTTTCGCTTGCCGATTTTGGACGGGCGCGTTCACGAACAGGTGTCTTCCGTACTGTTTTTTACAGTGTTTTTTGAAGGCGAGCGTCACGACCTATCAAAAACAGGAGGTTTTGGCCGAAAAATGCCCCCCCCCCCCCAGGTAAACCTGTAACCTTTTACGAGTGCCATCCGGACGATCACGCCCCAGCACCTTCGGTGCGGGCGGATTTTTGGGAAACATATTATATAATGCATATTAGGACAAATTAACAAGGGACTAAGTGGTGTTCACATAGACGCAGAAAATTGATGAAAATTGTGTGTGAGGAGCCTCTAAAGTGCCTGAGTCACTGAGGCTTGGCCGTAGCATTTCATGACGTTGAGATGTGGACGAAGGCATCATAGGCCTGAAACTCAATCGATGTCCCAGCGAACAATAGCTGTGAGCGAGTGGCTATACTTGGTTTATTTTTGTTTTTCATTTTGAAACAATTTCAAATGATTTTTATTGCATGCTGAAGTTTCTCAACAGAAACATGATGCACGATACATAAGGGATTCAGCTTGCCATGATTTGACATGTGTTCACAGTTCGCAGTCCACAGCACTTGGAAGGATGAGTTGAAATGATTTGGCCTGACTCCATGTGCTATTGATTTGTGCAGACACTGCGATCCTTGGTCGCCCTAGCATTTTGCTCAAGCTGGTAACTCGAAGCCCCAAAACTTAAAAGCAGAAATCATGGCGGACTCCAAAGTCAAGGACATGGGCCTGGCCGAGTTTGGCCGCAAGGAGCTGACTCTTGCTGAGCATGAGATGCCAGGTCTCATGGCAGCCAGGAAGGAGTACGGACCTGGACAGCCTTTCAAGGGCTTGAACATCAACGGCTCCCTCCACATGACCATCCAGACCGGCGTCCTCATTGAGACTTTGGCTGCCTTGGGTGCCAAGGTGCGTTGGTGCTCGTGCAACATCTTCAGCACTCAGGATCATGCTGCCGCTGCCATTGCCAAGGCCAACACTGCCACTGTCTTTGCATGGAAGGGTGAGACCTTGCAAGAGTACTGGTGGTGCACTGAGCAGATGATGACAGTGCCAGGTGCGGATGGATGCGATCAGCTTGTGGATGACGGAGGTGATGCCACCCTGTTGGTTCACAAGGGCAAGGAGTTGGAGGAGAAGTTTGCCAAGGACGGCAGCCTGCCAGATCCAGCCAGTACCACCAACGCCGAGTTCAAGTGTGTCTTGCAGGTGTTGAGGGACTCCATCCAGGCGGACAAGACCAAGTACACACGAATGGCTGCCAAGTGCAAGGGTGTTAGCGAGGAGACTACCACTGGTGTGCACCGCCTTCGTGAGATGGCAGCCAAGGGCGAGCTGCTCTTCCCTGCCATCAACGTGAACGACTGCGTGACCAAGTCCAAGTTCGACAACGTCTATGGTTGCCGACACTCTCTGCCAGACAGCATCATGCGCGCCACCGATGTGATGATTGGTGGCAAGCGCGCCCTTGTGGCAGGCTACGGAGATGTCGGAAAGGGCTGCGCCTTCGCCATGAGGGGTGCTGGTGCCAGAGTCTTAATCACGGAAATCGATCCCATCTGCGCTTTGCAGGCGTGCATGGAGGGTTTCCAGGTGGTTACCATTGAGGAATGCGTGGGTGAGGTGGACATTTTCACTTCCGCCACTGGCAACTTCAAGATCATCACTTTGGATCACATGAAGAAGATGAAGAACAACGCCATTGTGTGCAACATCGGCCACTTTGACAACGAGATTGCCATGGAGGACTTGGAGAATTTCCCTGGCATCAAGGTTGAGAACATCAAGCCACAGGTGGACCGCTTTGTGTTCCCTGATGGCCACGGTGTGATTGTCTTGGCATCTGGCCGACTGGTGAACCTTGGCTGCGCCACCGGCCATCCATCTTTCGTGATGTCCTGCTCCTTCACCAACCAGGTGTTGGCTCAGCTGGATATCTTGGAGAACTGCACCAAGAACAAGAAGTACAAGAACGATGTGTACCTGCTGCCCAAGCAGTTGGATGAGAAGGTGGCAGCTCTCCACTTGCCATCTCTGGGTGCAAACCTGACAAAGCTCTCCAAGGAGCAGGCCGACTACATCGGCGTCGGGGTGGATGGTCCTTTCAAGCAGGACACCTACCGTTACTAAGATGCTAGGATTTTGCTAGTTGCACGGGGAATACGCCAGCTTTTCTCGAGTTTCCCTTTGTAGCAAAGATTGCCTTTGGCGGCAAAGTGTTTGGCCAGTTCATCCACGGATCCCAAGGGACCTTTAGCTACATAGGAAGTCAGCGGATTGTGTCATTTGCGCAGAACAACATGCGTGCAAAAAAGAGCAGTCAACTTTGAACTTCATTCTTCCTTCGAGAACAAAGTGACTTTGTTGACTGTGCAGATTTCAGGTTTGTTCGTGCTCTCCAAGTGATTCTCTCCCATTCAGTTCTTCATGCTTAAACAATTTTATATGAAATTATTGCATGGTGCAGTTTTTTTCAGCAGGATGAGTTGAAATGATTTGGCCTGACTCGATGTGCATGGATTTGTGCGGACACTGCGATCCTTGGTCGCCCTAGCATTTTGCTCAAGCTGGTAACTCGAAGCCCCAAAACTTAAAAGCAGAAATCATGGCGGACTCCAAAGTCAAGGACATGGGCCTGGCCGAGTTTGGCCGCAAGGAGCTGACTCTTGCTGAGCATGAGATGCCAGGTCTCATGGCAGCCAGGAAGGAGTACGGACCTGGACAGCCTTTCAAGGGCTTGAACATCAACGGCTCCCTCCACATGACCATCCAGACCGGCGTCCTCATTGAGACTTTGGCTGCCTTGGGTGCCAAGGTGCGTTGGTGCTCGTGCAACATCTTCAGCACTCAGGATCATGCTGCCGCTGCCATTGCCAAGGCCAACACTGCCACTGTCTTTGCATGGAAGGGTGAGACCTTGCAAGAGTACTGGTGGTGCACTGAGCAGATGATGACAGTGCCAGGTGCGGATGGATGCGATCAGCTTGTGGATGACGGAGGTGATGCCACCCTGTTGGTTCACAAGGGCAAGGAGTTGGAGGAGAAGTTTGCCAAGGACGGCAGCCTGCCAGATCCAGCCAGCACCACCAACGCCGAGTTCAAGTGTGTCTTGCAGGTGTTGAGGGACTCCATCCAGGCGGACAAGACCAAGTACACACGAATGGCTGCCAAGTGCAAGGGTGTTAGCGAGGAGACTACCACTGGTGTGCACCGCCTTCGTGAGATGGCAGCCAAGGGCGAGCTGCTCTTCCCTGCCATTAACGTGAACGACTGCGTGACCAAGTCCAAGTTCGACAACGTCTATGGTTGCCGACACTCTCTGCCAGACAGCATCATGCGCGCCACCGATGTGATGATTGGTGGCAAGCGCGCCCTTGTGGCAGGCTACGGAGATGTCGGAAAGGGCTGTGCCTTCGCCATGAGGGGTGCTGGTGCCAGAGTCTTAATCACGGAAATCGATCCCATCTGCGCTTTGCAGGCGTGCATGGAGGGTTTCCAGGTGGTTACCATTGAGGAGTGCGTGGGTGAGGTGGACATTTTCACTTCCGCCACTGGCAACTTCAAGATCATCACTTTGGATCACATGAAGAAGATGAAGAACAACGCCATTGTGTGCAACATCGGCCACTTTGACAACGAGATTGCCATGGAGGACTTGGAGAATTTCCCTGGCATCAAGGTTGAGAACATCAAGCCACAGGTGGACCGCTTTGTGTTCCCTGATGGCCACGGTGTGATTGTCTTGGCATCTGGCCGACTGGTGAACCTTGGCTGCGCCACCGGCCATCCATCTTTCGTGATGTCCTGCTCCTTCACCAACCAGGTGTTGGCTCAGCTGGATATCTTGGAGAACTGCACCAAGAACAAGAAGTACAAGAACGATGTGTACCTGCTGCCCAAGCAGTTGGATGAGAAGGTGGCAGCTCTCCACTTGCCATCTCTGGGTGCAAACCTGACAAAGCTCTCCAAGGAGCAGGCCGACTACATCGGCGTCGGGGTGGATGGTCCTTTCAAGCAGGACACCTACCGTTACTAAGATGCTAGGATTTTGCTAGTTGCACGGGGAATACGCCAGCTTTTCTCGAGTTTCCCTTTGTAGCAAAGATTGCCTTTGGCGGCAAAGTGTTTGGCCAGTTCATCCACGGATCCCAAGGGACCTTTAGCTACATAGGAAGTCAGCGGATTGTGTCATTTGCGCAGAACAACATGCGTGCAAAAAGAGCAGTCAACCTTGAACCTTGCTTCGTTTCTTGAGAGCACATTGACTTAGCAGATTTCAGTTTTTTAATTGTCCCCAAGAGATTCTCTCCCGACAGTGCAGTGAGACTGGAGACAGCGGTTATGGGTCACCAAGTTGTTTTCTTTTTTCAATTTTGGTAACCATATTCGGACAAACTTACAAGGGACAAAAGTGGTGTTCACATAGACACAGCAAATTATGCTTGTGAGGAGCCTCAAAGCAAGTGCTTCCAATTTTGAACGCGATTTGAAGTGCCCGAGTCACTGAGGCTTGGCCGTAGCATTTCATGACGTGATGTGGACAAGGGCACCATAGGCCCCAAACTCAATCGATGTCGCAGCGAACAAGACTTGTGAGGGAGAGACTATACCGGGCTTATGATGCTTATGTTTTTCATGCTGCTTAAGCAATGTCATATGAATTTATTGTAATTTATGGCATGCTGCATTTGTTTGGCAGCATGAGTTGATTTGATTTGGCTTGACTCGATGTACTATTGATTTGTGCAAACCCTGCGGTCCTTGCACTCCTTTTCTGGTCCCTAGCATTACGCTCAAGCTGGCAACTAGACGCCCCAAATCTATCCAACTCTTACGAACAGAAATCATGGCGGACTCCAAAGTCAAGGACATGGGCCTGGCCGAGTTTGGCCGCAAGGAGCTGACTCTTGCTGAGCATGAGATGCCAGGTCTCATGGCAGCCAGGAAGGAGTACGGACCTGGACAGCCTTTCAAGGGATTGAACATCAACGGCTCCCTCCACATGACCATCCAGACCGGTGTCCTCATTGAGACTTTGGCTGCCTTGGGTGCCAAGGTGCGTTGGTGCTCATGCAACATCTTCAGCACTCAGGATCATGCTGCCGCTGCCATTGCCAAGGCCAACACTGCCACTGTCTTTGCATGGAAGGGTGAGACCTTGCAAGAGTACTGGTGGTGCACTGAGCAGATGATGACAGTGCCAGGTGCGGATGGATGCGATCAGCTTGTGGATGACGGAGGTGATGCCACCCTGTTGGTTCACAAGGGCAAGGAGTTGGAGGAGAAGTTTGCCAAGGACGGCAGCCTGCCAGATCCAGCCAGTACCACCAACGCCGAGTTCAAGTGTGTCTTGCAGGTGTTGAGGGACTCCATCCAGGCGGACAAGACCAAGTACACACGAATGGCTGCCAAGTGCAAGGGTGTTAGCGAGGAGACTACCACTGGTGTGCACCGCCTTCGTGAGATGGCAGCCAAGGGCGAGCTGCTCTTCCCTGCCATCAACGTGAACGACTGCGTGACCAAGTCCAAGTTCGACAACGTCTATGGTTGCCGACACTCTCTGCCAGACAGCATCATGCGCGCCACCGATGTGATGATTGGTGGCAAGCGCGCCCTTGTGGCAGGCTACGGAGATGTCGGAAAGGGCTGCGCCTTCGCCATGAGGGGTGCTGGTGCCCGCGTATTGATCACTGAGATCGATCCTATCTGCGCTCTGCAGGCTTGCATGGAGGGTTTTGAGGCAGGAGAGCAAAAAGATGCCAAACGCCTTTAGAAATTAAACCCTAGAAACGTCAGACTGTTTTAACATGGTTTAACCTGTTTACCGGGATCCCCGCAAAAACATGCAAAAACTGTCTAACCGTTTAAAATGTTTAGACTTGTTCTGCCGATGTTTCCCAAAATCTCCACTGTTTGGGACAATCTGTGGCAATTTGAGACACCGCTGCCATGGCACCGAAATGTAGAAGGAATGTTGAAACATGGATCGGGTGGAATTGGACAGCCCGCCCTTAGTCAGGGGTATAAATGATCAACAAACAATTATAGAGGTGGTATATGGTGGTATAGTCGCCTATAATTACCATCAACAGAGGTATCGTCTAAATATATTTTGTTTAAGCATGTTTAAGGTGCCGGGCATTTGAGGGGGCCCTCGCTGTTGTCACTTTTCAAACATTACACAAAAAACAACATGATAGACGAGGGGTGGTGGGGGGGGTGGGGTGGGGTGGGATAATAGCGTCATTTGCTGTACGTTCTCATGCACTTGCACACATATGTCATGCTACGCTGCTGTACGTTCTCATGCACTTGCACACATATGTCATGCTACGCTGCTGTTCGTTCTCATGCACTTGCACACATACGTCATGCTACGCTACTGTACGTTCTCATGCATTTGCGCACATACGTCATGCTACGCTGCTGTACGTTCTCATGCACTTGCACACATACGTCATGCTACGCTGCTGTACGTTCTCATGCACTTGCACACATATGTCATGCTACGCTGCTGTTCGTTCTCATGCACTTGCACACATACGTCATGCTACGCTACTGTACGTTCTCATGCATTTGCGCACATACGTCATGCTACGCTGCTGTACGTTCTCATGCACTTGCACACATATGTCATGCTACGCTGCTGTACGTTCTCATGCATTTGCGCACATATGTCATGCTACGCTGCTGTACGTTCTCATGCATTTGCGCACATACGTCATGCTACGCTGCTGTACGTTCTCATGCACTTGCGCACATACGTCATGCTACGCTGCTGTACGTTCTCATGCACTTGCACACATACGTCATGCTACGATATGCTACGCTGCTGTACGTTCTCATGCACTTGCACACATACGTCATGCTACGCTGCTGTACGTTCTCATGCACTTGCCTGTACAGATACTTGTGATGGTGATGATGATGGTGATGATGATTATGATGATGATGATGATTATTATTATGATGATGATGATGATGCTGATGATGTGATGATGATGATGATGGTGATGAAAATGCGACTGATGCTAAAGTTTTGTTTTTCAGCGTTTTGTGGTCCCCCCTGTAAAATGTTTGAAAAGTGACAACAGCGAGGGCCCCCTCAAATGCCCGGCACCATGTTTAAGCATTGTTTAAAAATTGTTCAGACATTGGATTCGTCAAAACGGTTTAATCAAGGAAGTGAAAAAATGATGAAACCTGAGGTGGTTGTCCGAGGTCAATTTTCCGAGATGCATGCATGCAAACGTGCAGGTGGTTACCATTGAGGAGTGCGTGGGTGAGGTGGACATTTTCACTTCCGCCACTGGCAACTTCAAGATCATCACTTTGGATCACATGAAGAAGATGAAGAACAACGCCATTGTGTGCAACATCGGCCACTTTGACAACGAGATTGCCATGGAGGACTTGGAGAATTTCCCTGGCATCAAGGTTGAGAACATCAAGCCACAGGTGGACCGCTTTGTGTTCCCTGATGGCCACGGTGTGATTGTCTTGGCATCTGGCCGACTGGTGAACCTTGGCTGCGCCACCGGCCATCCATCTTTCGTGATGTCCTGCTCCTTCACCAACCAGGTGTTGGCTCAGCTGGATATCTTGGAGAACTGCACCAAGAACAAGAAGTACAAGAACGATGTGTACCTGCTGCCCAAGCAGTTGGATGAGAAGGTGGCAGCTCTCCACTTGCCATCTCTGGGTGCAAACCTGACAAAGCTCTCCAAGGAGCAGGCCGACTACATCGGCGTCGGGGTGGATGGTCCTTTCAAGCAGGACACCTACCGTTACTAAGATGCTAGGATTTTGCTAGTTGCACGGGGAATACGCCAGCTTTTCTCGAGTTTCCCTTTGTAGCAAAGATTGCCTTTGGCGGCAAAGTGTTTGGCCAGTTCATCCACGGATCCCAAGGGACCTTTAGCTACATAGGAAGTCAGCGGATTGTGTCATTTGCGCAGAACAACATGCGTGCAAAAAGAGCAGTCAACCTTGAACCTTGCTTCGTTTCTTGAGAGCACATTGACTTAGCAGATTTCAGTTTTTTAATTGTCCCCAAGAGATTCTCTCCCGACAGTGCAGTGAGACTGGAGACAGCGGTTATGGGTCACCAAGTTGTTTTCTTTTTTCAATTTTGGTAACCATATTCGGACAAACTTACAAGGGACAAAAGTGGTGTTCACATAGACACAGCAAATTATGCTTGTGAGGAGCCTCAAAGCAAGTGCTTCCAATTTTGAACGCGATTTGAAGTGCCCGAGTCACTGAGGCTTGGCCGTAGCATTTCATGACGTGATGTGGACGAAGGCACCATAGGCCCCAAACTCAATCGATGTCGCAGCGAACAAGACTTGTGAGGGAGAGACTATACCGGGCTTATGATGCTTATGTTTTTCATGCTGCTTAAGCAATGTCATATGAATTTATTGTAATTTATGGCATGCTGCATTTGTTTGGCAGCATGAGTTGATTTGATTTGGCTTGACTCGATGTACTATTGATTTGTGCAAACCCTGCGGTCCTTGCACTCCTTTTCTGGTCCCTAGCATTACGCTCAAGCTGGCAACTAGACGCCCCAAATCTATCCAACTCTTACGAACAGAAATCATGGCGGACTCCAAAGTCAAGGACATGGGCCTGGCCGAGTTTGGCCGCAAGGAGCTGACTCTTGCTGAGCATGAGATGCCAGGTCTCATGGCAGCCAGGAAGGAGTACGGACCTGGACAGCCTTTCAAGGGATTGAACATCAACGGCTCCCTCCACATGACCATCCAGACCGGTGTCCTCATTGAGACTTTGGCTGCCTTGGGTGCCAAGGTGCGTTGGTGCTCATGCAACATCTTCAGCACTCAGGATCATGCTGCCGCTGCCATTGCCAAGGCCAACACTGCCACTGTCTTTGCATGGAAGGGTGAGACCTTGCAAGAGTACTGGTGGTGCACTGAGCAGATGATGACAGTGCCAGGTGCGGATGGATGCGATCAGCTTGTGGATGACGGAGGTGATGCCACCCTGCTGGTTCACAAGGGCAAGGAGTTGGAGGAGAAGTTTGCCAAGGACGGCAGCCTGCCAGATCCAGCCAGCACCACCAACGCCGAGTTCAAGTGTGTCTTGCAGGTGTTGAGGGACTCCATCCAGGCGGACAAGACCAAGTACACACGAATGGCTGCCAAGTGCAAGGGTGTTAGCGAGGAGACTACCACTGGTGTGCACCGCCTTCGTGAGATGGCAGCCAAGGGCGAGCTGCTCTTCCCTGCCATCAACGTGAACGACTGCGTGACCAAGTCCAAGTTCGACAACGTCTATGGTTGCCGACACTCTCTGCCAGACAGCATCATGCGCGCCACCGATGTGATGATTGGTGGCAAGCGCGCCCTTGTGGCAGGCTACGGAGATGTCGGAAAGGGCTGCGCCTTCGCCATGAGGGGTGCTGGTGCCCGCGTATTGATCACTGAGATCGATCCTATCTGCGCTCTGCAGGCTTGCATGGAGGGTTTTGAGGCAGGAGAGCAAAAAGATGCCAAACGCCTTTAGAAATTAAACCCTAGAAACGTCAGACTGTTTTAACATGTTTTAACCTGTTTACCGGGATCCCCGCAAAAACATGCAAAAACTGTCTAACCGTTTAAAATGTTTAGACTTGTTCTGCCGATGTTTCCCAAAATCTCCACTGTTTGGGACAATCTGTGGCAATTTGAGACACCGCTGCCATGGCACCGAAATGTAGAAGGAATGTTGAAACATGGATCGGGTGGAATTGGACAGCCCGCCCTTAGTCAGGGGTATAAATGATCAACAAACAATTATAGAGGTGGTATATGGTGGTATAGTCGCCTATAATTACCATCAACAGAGGTATCGTCTAAATATATTTTGTTTAAGCATGTTTAAGCATTGTTTAAAAATTGCTCAGACATTGGATTCGTCAAAACGGTTTAATCAAGGAAGTGAAAAAAAAGATGAAACCTGAGGTGGTTGTCCGAGGTCAATTTTCCGAGATGCATGCATGCAAACGTGCAGGTGGTTACCATTGAGGAGTGCGTGGGTGAGGTGGACATTTTCACTTCCGCCACTGGCAACTTCAAGATCAGTGGGCTTGAGCAGCGCCTCCACGTGGCGCCCACGGGCTTCCTTTTGGAAGTACAGAGCTTGCAAGGAGAGTCCACATGTTCTCTGATGAATTGGCCCAACTTTGCCGAGATTGTCATAACTCCCAAGTATTTGCACTTTGTTCCGAATGACCTGATCATTGCGTCTCATGACATTGGACAGTTTGACATCCTTAATGTAGACAAAGACATTGGACAGTTTGACATCCTTAATGTGGACATGTTCGACAGCTGCTTGTTGAGGGATTCAAGCACAGCGGTCATGACCCTGAAGGATGAGGGGATTTTGCATCGCTTGAGAGGTGGCACATCTAGCAGAAAGACCAAGAACAAGAGGAATCGCATAAAAGCATTGAGGAAAATTGCTTGTGCCAAGACGCCGACATCATCAGAGACCTCCAGTGTCAATCTCTCCCTTTTGGAGCCGTCTTGGATCAATGAAGAGGGGAGCGACAAGGAGGATGAAGTGAAAGATGGGGATGTGGCAACTTTAGTTTGCCACAAATGCAAAACGGAACATCAGCTTGAGCCTTGTCAGTTTTCTGACTTGGAAAAGGAAGGACTTGATGTGTCCAAATTTTGCTGTGAGACATTCAATCGCTCCTGCAAGAGCGAGACATCATCTGAGTCCGACTTTGAAAATTTTGAAAAATCGTCTTCCGACGGCGATGGTAGCTTTGCGACTAAGGGGGTTGACAAAGCAATTTCTTTTACGCCAAACTTCATTGAGAATTGGATCCAGGAAGCCAAAGACTGCGACTGGGATGAGCCTGTTTTTGTACAGTGGCTCAAAGACTTTGAAGAACTCAATGACAATTTGCACATCAACCAGCAGATCCCGGAAGTTTCATGGCTTTCCACTTCCAGGATTGATGACACATATGCTGACAATTTGGGAATAGAAGAAAGCATTAGCATCGAGGAGCTCTTAAAGCCTTGCGAAAGTGATGGTGATGGAGAAGGGAAAGCGACTGAGACCGAGTATTTCCAACTTAGCATTGCGGTAGGCGACAGCGGCTCTGGAGATGAGGAGTCCTATTTTCCTAGCATGATCGTTGCCACAGAGAAGAAGGACGAGGAGGCATTTTCTCCTAGCAAGATTGAGGTCACAGAGAAGAAGGTTGAGGAGACAATTTTTCCTTGCGAGAATGAGGCTGCTGAAAAGACGGAGGAGCAGACATCCTTTTCATGCAAGATTGAGGATACTGAGAAGAAAGATGAGGAGACATTTTTTCCATGCGGGACTGAGGCCATAGAGAAGAAGGACGAGGAGGCATTTTCTCCTAACAAGATTGAGGTCACAGAGAAGAAAGAAGTTGAGCCATTTTCCCAAAACATCATCAAGGTCACAGAGAAGAAGGATGGGGAGACATTTTCTCCCAGCAAGATCGAAGTCACCGAAAAGAAAGAAGATGAGCCATTTTCCCAAAACATGATCAACGTCACAGAGAAGAAGGATGGGGAGACATTTTCTCCCAACATGATTGAGGTCATCGAAAAGAAAGACGTGGAGCCACTGTCTTTTAGCACAATTGAGGCTGCAGAAAAGAAGGACGAGGAGCCACCTTTTCCTTGCGTGATGATTGATATTGAGAAGGAAGTTGAGGAGCCATTTTCCCAGAACATGATCAAGGTCACAGAGAAGAAGGATGGGGAGACATTTTCTCCCAGCAAGATCGAAGTCACCGAAAAGAAAGAAGAAGAGCCATTTTCCCAAAACATGATCAACGTCACAGAGAAGAAGGATGGGGAGACATTTTCTCCCAACAAGATAGAGGCCATCGAAAAGAAAGATGTTGAGCCACTGCCTTTTAGCACGATTGAGACTGCAGAAAAGAAGGACGAGGAGCCACCTTTTCCTTGCGTGATGATTGGTATTGCGAAGAAAGTTGAGGAGCCATTTTCCCAGAACATGATCGAGGTCATAGAGAAGAAGGATGGGGAGACATTCTCTCCCAGCAAGATCGAGGTCATTGAAAAGAAAGAAGAGGAGCCATTTTCCCAAAACATGATCAACGTCACAGAGAAGAAGGATGGGGAGACATTTTCTCCCAACAAGATTGAGGTCATCGAAAAGAAAGACGTGGAGCCACTGTCTTTTAGCACAATTGAGGCTGCAGAAAAGAGGGACGAGGAGCCACCTTTTCCTTGCGTGATGATTGATATTGAGAAGGAAGTTGAGGAGCCATTTTCCCAGAACATGATCAAGGTCACAGAGAAGAAGGATGGGGAGACATTTTCTCCCAGCAAGATCGAAGTCACCGAAAAGAAAGAAGAGGAGCCATTTTCCCAAAACATGATCAACGTCACAGAGAAGAAGGATGGGGAGACATTTTCTCCCAACAAGATTGAGGCCATCGAAAAGAAAGATGTTGAGCCACTGCCTTTTAGCACGATTGAGACTGCAGAAAAGAAGGACGAGGAGCCACCTTTTCCTTGCGTGATGATTGGTATTGCGAAGAAAGTTGAGGAGCCATTTTCCCAGAACATGATCGAGGTCATAGAGAAGAAGGATGGGGAGACATTCTCTCCCAGCAAGATCGAGGTCATTGAAAAGGAAGAAGAGGAGCCATTTTCCCAAAACATAATCAACGTCACAGAGAAGAAGGATGGGGAGACTTTTTCTCCCAACAAGATTGAGGTCATCGAAAAGAAAGACGTGGAGTCACTGTCTTTTAGCACGATTGAGGTTGCAGAAAAGAAGGACGAGGAGCCACCTTTTCCTTGCGTGATGATTGGTATTGAGAAGAAAGTTGAGGAGTCATTTTGCAAAGACAAGATCGAGGTCACAGAGAAGAAGGATGAGGAGGCTTTTTCTCCTAGCAAGCTTGAGGTCACAGAAAAGAAAGATGTGGAGCCATTTTCCCAAAACATGTCCAACGTCAAAGAGAAGAAGGATGGGGAGGCTTTTTCTCCCAGCAAGATTGAGGTCATCGAAAAGAAAGATATGGAGGTTTTGCCTTTTAGCAAAATTGAGGCTGCGGAGAAGAAAAACGAGGAGCCACCTTTTCCTTGCGTGTTTGAAGCTATTGAGAAGGAAGATGAGGGGGCGCCTCTTTGTCGCGTGATTGAGGCCACAGAGAAGAAGGATGGGGAGACTTTTTCTCCCTGCAAGATGGAGATCATCGAAAAGAAGAATGAGGAGCCACCTTTTCCTTGCGTGATTGAGGCTGCTGAGAAGAAAGATGCGGGTTCTTTTCTTTGCGAGTGCGAAGACACAGAAAAGAAGGATGAGGATTTATCTTTGTCCTGTTTGGAAAAGAACGCTTCAGAAAAGAAGGATGAGGGGATATCTTCCCCTGGCAAGCAAGAGGAAAGCGCTGAGGATATCATTGAGATGTTCTGCAGTATCTATAGCAGCGCAAATGCACAGCTTTCTGAACTCAGAGGAGCTGGCAACAATGAGGAAGCTAATGATTTCAGAGGAGGCGCAGGAGGATCCAACGCCACAAAGAAGAAAAGAGACATTGGGGATTGCCTAGACATGATTGCTTCTATCCTCAAATACAAGACCAACGTGGAGGAAGCGCAGGAGCTTGAAGAATTGATCAAAGAAGCCAAAGGACACCTTGGAAGTCAAAAGCAAGGACAATGTTTCTATGGAAAAATCCGAGCTGACAGCAACAATGAAGAAGGCAAAGGAGGAAGCAAAGGAAAATCCAAGACGAAAGGAAAAACAAAGAAGGAGGATGAGCTTCCCCGCTTTGATCTTTCGAGAAGATGGCCAAAGACACAGCAGACCACATGGCAATCCTTGCATAAGTCGTTGGAAGAAGGAGAAGTTCCAAAAGGTGAGATTGCAATTGTCAAAAGCGTCCAACAACTGCGACAATTACAAACGCTTGCACAAGACCTTAAGATCAACAAGTCAATGCTGCTGGTTGCCAAAAGAATTGGCACTGATGACATCCCGGATTCCTGCCAAAGCCTTCTTCTCCCCTGGATGGGGAACTTGGCCATGATCGATGCGGTTGTTGGTAATCTCAACAGACAAAAGCCCAATTTGGAGAAAGAGAAGATCAACGAGCGCAAGATGGAAACTGCCAAGCGCGATGACCTTGTCTCTTTGCGTTTGACAGCTCCATGGAAGTATATCTCCGAGAAGAATAAGCAGATCTTGCAGCAGAAACCTGAATACTCAGCCAGACTTTTGGACGACAGCTTGAAAGAGGCGAGGACCAACAGATGGGAAAGCTCAGAATCCCTCCTCACTGGATACCTCATGATCAATAAGCAGGATGTTGGAAAGATGATGAATTGCTCTGGAAAAAATGGTATCTTTGTGACGCGTCTTTCGCAGGACATCGTTGTCAAACCTGCTGCCTTGTGGATCACCAGATTGAACGATGAAAGCCATCATGATTACCTTCAGAGAACCATCCAGGAAGCGAATGGCGCTCCTTTGACTTGGAGACGTGGAGATGGCAATGATTTGGGGTACCACTGCAAGGAGGAGGACATCACCGACAAGACTTGGGCGGTGTGGGGCATTCCCCCTTATAATGGTCCTGGAATGGTTGAAGATTGGTTAGAGCAACAAGGTTGGAAGCTTAAAACCAGACCTCTTCCTCCGCGTGGAAGAGGAAGCCCATGGAAAATTATGGACAATGCAATGAAAAGCAAAGCGCCTATGCCTACCAGGCCGAGATTGATGGCCATATCAGACGCCTATCAATTGTCCGATGGAAGTCCAGCAGAAAGCCAAAAGAAGAGACCTTTCAGGTTAGCGGCCCTAGGTGGTTCAGTGAACACTTTGCATATGAGAAGGTTGGCCCTACCCAGGTTTTGGAACCCACACAGATCGATGCCAATATGGATGAAGAAGTTGAGGAGGCCAACAAAACCACCTCACCACCAAAGAAGAAGGCGAAACCATCAAAACTCAGAGGAGGTGAGCTTGGACCAGAAGGGCTGAACTTGCGCACTTTGGAGCTCGGTGGCACTGGAGATTGTGGGTGGCGAGCCATTGCCTTCCAACTTGCAGCCATCAATACAAAATCATGCAACCTCGCTGACAATGTTATGTCCAAGATCACAATCCTTGGAAAAGCCCTCAGAAGCCAAGCACTTTTTCACCTCTGCGAAGTTGATAAAGAGTGGCAGAACCACTGGGCACCAGATGATGCTTGGACCCACCTTACTGAAGATGGACCTCCCGCGAAAGACATCAAGACCTTTGCGACAGACACCATACACAGAGACAATAGATGGATTTGCCACTACGGTTTGATGGCGGTTTCTGCAGTGAAGAAAGTTCACCTTGTCATTTGGCAATACAAGGGAGAAGACAGCGAGCCTTGGTCGAAGATTGCGGTCATCTCACCCAATGATGAAAAGAAAAGGCTGCCTATCATTCACCTTGCAAAAGATGGTGGACACTACATGCCGCTGATTTCAGACACTTTGCAGAAGCCTGACTATAGCCTGCTTGACGGTTCCGCTTGGACTTCAAAGGGTATTCAGAGCAAGATTAAGAACGAAACAAGAGAAATCTTTAGAGCTGGAGGAGAAATTGAGATTGGAGGAGAAGACCATCCACGTTCTCCTGTCCCTGATGAAGATCTCCCATTTGAGCTGAAAGATGGAACTGATGGATCAAGTGGCTTGAATCTACGTGCGTTGGAGCTTGGGGGCACTGGAGATTGCGGATGGAGATCCATCGCCTTTTTGATTGCTGCTTTCAATACATGTCAGGACAATTTGGTCAACAAAGTGATTCCCAATATTGCTTTTCTTGGAAAGACCCTGAAGCGACAAGCTCTTAGATTTCTTTGCGAAGAAAACCTCGAATGGCAAGAACATTGGGTTCCTGATGACTCCTGGACTGTTCTTACCGAAGATGGCCCGCCAGCCGAGGATGTGCACACCTTTGCAACTGAGACTCTCCACCGTGAAAACAGGTGGATCTGCCACTATGGTTTGATTGCGGTTGCTGAGATCAAGAAGATCCACTTGGTCATTTGGCAGTACAATGGAAATGCGGAAGAACCTTGGACAAAGATTGCTGTGATTTCCCCCAAAGATGACTGGAGACAATTTCCTTCAATCCACCTTGCGAAAGATGGTGGCCACTACATGCCTTTGATTCCTGACTCGATCGAGATCCCTGGCAACAACTTGCGTGCAAATGGTAGAGTTTGGAGAGCCAAAAGTTTGTCAAGTAGAACAATGAAAGATTTTGGTTTCAGAGGTGGGACCAATGCAATCACTGACTCAAAGAGCAAAGCAGATCCCAGCGTTTTTGATGATTTCATGGACTTGCTGAAGTCACCAACGCCTTGGAGCACACCAAAGAAGACAGTGGATACTCCGAAGAGTTCGAAGTCTTTGAGGACACCCAATATCCAGGAGATCCTTAGAACTCCAAGGACACCAGCAACACCAATGAGCTCCTCGAATGCTGCTGAGAACACTGCAAACGAGCCGACCTCATCAAAGACCTTGCGCTGGGCATGCCCTTTTTGTCAATTTCAGTGCTGCGTTATCGATCCGTCCAAAAGAACTCAGGATATCAGAACCCATCTTGACAAGTTCCATGCGGTTGAGGTCAAGAAGGCTAAAGACAAGAACATCAGAGACGGCACTTCAGCTTCTGGTCGTCATGGTTTGGGAATTGCCACACTCTTGAAGCCGATTCCTTTTTTGAAAGTTTCGAAGGAGGAGGCCAAAATGCGCTGCCCTTATTGCAAGCTTGGCACCACCATGCAGCCAAGCAACACAGCTCTTAGGAAAAAGACCTTGAAGCATCACTTGAAGAATTGCACGAAGGCCCCCAAAGATTGCACTCTCAGAATGTTCTATGCGGCCAGAATGAAAAACGAAGGAGGAATCTGCCTTGGAGATAGCAAAGCACACCGAGAGAAAATGCTGTGCGGCATTTGGAATAAAGCAGATGGAAAAGCGAAAGCCTTTGGACATGAACCTCACAGAATTTTCGATGACAAAGGCCATGCTTGCGATGTCTTTTGCAAGAAGTGTTGGAGAATTTCTTCTCACTCAAGAACTTGGAATCAGCCCTGCGAAGGAGAGGAGGCAAGGGACAGACCCAGAATCCTCCCTTCAGTGCAATTTTGGCAAAAGTACACCAAGAAGTTTGGAGAAAGCAAGTTTTTTGACATTCTTGGGCTCTGCCACCCACAACAGGAAAGAATCCGTGTTGCTTTGTTGGAAAGCAAGAGGAGAAAGACACTTCTGCAGCGAAAGATCAAGAAGCGAGGAAACAAGAAGACTTCAAAGCTTGAGCACAAGAGACTTCGACTTGAAGGTCTCAGAAACAAGGCATTGGTTGATGCGAAGAGCTTTGGTCATGCCCCTGTGCGCCTGGCCTTTCAGCGCTCTTGGCAATCGAAAGGTTGCACAAACATTATCTGCAGAAAGTGCTGGAGAGTGAGCCAACACACGTCTCACTGGAGAAACTTTTGCATTGGCCATCACAAATCTGCGAGATCCATCCTTCCGTCCAGGGCTTGGTGGATGAACTCTACTGCAAAGATTGGACATCAGAAGCTATACAAGATCATGCGCCTCAACAAGAAAGAGCAAAAATTGGTTGAAGAGAACATCAAGGAGTACATCAAAAGAAAGAAAGAAGGCTCCAAGAAGGAATGTTGAAAACCTCCTCCCCTCCACTGCCTCCGGGGGGGAACAGTTGCAAAGGAGGCTGCACAGCAGAAAGTTTGGACTATCAACACTGGCGGTTTGCCTGGTTTTTGGAGACTCCTTTTCCTTATTGAAGCTACAAAGAAACAACAACGTCCCATCGTTGTCCATGCGCAGGAGATTTACTGCAATGTGGAAGAATGGAAAGCCACCCTTGGTAGGATTTCTTTTCTTGGCTACACTGCCTATGCATCTGCAACGGTCATCCATGGAGCCAAGTGCAATGGCGTGCTGACACTTGTTTCCAACCAAGTTCATTCCAGAATGTTTGACGAGTTCTACAACAATCGTGGTTTTGCTGCTATCGCTATTCAGGTTCAAGACATTCTCATGATCAACAGCTACTGCCCTCCGGTTGCCTGCGAGATTCATCAACATGCCATTGAATTTGAGGATTTACTGGTCAGGCTGGACTGGCAAGGCCCACTTTTACTTTGCGGCGACTGGAATCAAGAACCCCATGAATGTTTGATTGCTGCTCTTGCATCTATGTTCGGGTGCGTCACTGTGGATATTTGCGAAGACTCATCTAGATGGCAAGGTAGAAGGCTCATCGATTTCTATATTTCAAACATACCTCATTTGCGCTCTCATGCTCTGGATGCGAAGATTTCTGACCATAAGATCATTGAGACCATGGCTGAATTGGAGCTTTGCAATTTCCAAGTTCAACGTTTCAAGAAGGGTGCCAACTTTGATAAGCCTAGCTGGATTGGAGCTAGGAAGTGGGAGCAACTTTTACTTCAAGCGTTTGACATTGAGAAAGCCACCAACTGGCAGCGTGCTTGCCTCCTCACGGACGATGGCGCCCCCATTCCAAGCCTGATTGACGATGAGGACCATGACCAGGAAATTGTTGACTACACATGGAGATTGACTCAATCAAAAGGTTTGACCATTTTTCAAACTGCATACAAATTGGCTCTTCTTTGTATTCCGGACGGCTTTGGCGATATTTGGGAAATTAGAAGAGTTGAGAAACTTGCGAATAAGATCCAAAAGTCTCGCCTCAAAGTCGAGAAGCACTCCTGGGATCAACATTCACCACAGTTCCGCACTCCCATGGCTAGAAGGAGAACAAGAAACAAGCTGAATCTTGCACATGAGCTCTTGGTTTTATTACGAAAAGGAAAACATAGCCATGTCTCTTTCAACATGATGAGGAAGCTCTATGGCAAAAACTTTATGGACCTCGAAATCAATCAGCAGAAAGTCTCCGATGATATTCAACTTTGGGAAAAACAACTGCACAAGCTTGAAAATGAAGACAGAGAACGTGCGTATGGGAGATGGAGGAGGAAGATTGCCTCTGACTACTCCTACAGGGCCAACTGGATCAACAAGAAGAAAATCAGCTATTACCCACAGGTCCAGAATGATCACAGAACCTCAACTTCGAAGCCAACCGCTGTTGACCTCATTCAAGAGTTTGACAAGAACCTCAAAAGCACTGTTGCAATGACTCCGCAACAGAGACAATGCAGAGCTCAGGAAATTGCTCAGTTTCTCAGTCAATATCAAGGTAGAGTTCATGGCAGAGAACCTAATTTGGATGACCTGCGCAAGGCCATCAAGAATGCGAAAGGTGGTCCAGGCCTCGACCAATGGAGCTCCTATGAGATCAAGCTTTTGGCAAAAAACCCAGAGTTTCTCAGGGAAATTGGTCGCAACTTCAAACAATGGATTGACCTAGGAGTCACTCCCACATCACTTGCGGAGTTCAAGGTCACCTACATTCCAAAGGCCAACAAGGTTTCCAAGGGCGTGATCAATATCAAAGGTCTTAGGCCAATCACTGTCTTCAGCGTATGGTGGAGGATTTTCTCTGCCATGTGGATCACTTCTCCAATTTTGGATTCATTGCAAGCACAAATGCCTAGTGACATCATTTGTAGACGTAGCAAAGGTCCTGAAGTCCAGGCCTGTGTGGCTGACGCTCTGCTTGGTATTTGGAAGCATGGAGCGACTTTGGATTTTAGTCATTGCTTTGACACGGTGGACATCATGATGTTGAGAGATGGCGTCAAAGATGGCATCCAGGCTCTCAGCCCCTGGATCAATGTTGTTTGCAATCATTGGATGAAGTGTTCGAAATGGATCCACTATGACAAACATGTTGGCGAAGCCCTTGACAATCAGATAGGCATACCACAAGGCGATCCTGCTTCTCCACTTGCTCTTTCCATTTTGCTTTGGGTCGGATATGGCCGTGTGCAGGATCAACATCAACCAGGACGTTTACATCAATGCATATGGATGGATGACAGAACCATGATTTGTGATAGTCGCAATTTGCTTGATGACTCCATGAACCGCTGGAAACAATTTGCAGAAGACTTTCACCTTTTGGAGAATGCCTCAAAAACACAAGCAGTATTTCCGGGAGGTGCCAAATCTATGGAAGTACTGGGAGCTCTGATAGGCCAGCCTAACAAGAGAACTTTCAACAAGGTTTCTCCGAACAAAGACCGTTTTGAAAAAGCCATCCATGTGACCAAGCGTGTTGGCCTCCTGCCTAACAAGAAAATACGTTTGAATGACTTGACATGCCTTGCCAGGCCTGCAATGTGTTATGGATGGGTCGCTGGCTTTCCATCCAAAACAGCTTGTTCCGATTACAATTTGGCAATTTGGAGAGCCCTTGGTAGCCTTTCCTTTTCACCACCTTCTCTGCGTAGGTTGATTTGCGGTGCTCACTAGGAAGCCCATCCAACTTTGTGGATCAAGCAGGTCAAACTTTTGGTAAACCGTAATGCCGAACTTCAAAGGCTCGGCCATGACCCTTCACAATGTGAGACCTCACTCAACCATTTTGTTTTGGAGGGTTTCAACAGCTATGGATGGACAAAGAGAAGAACCTCATGGCGACATGAACAATGTGGACATTTCTTAGAGCAGGACATTCTGCTTGCGAAAGAATGGAAAAGAATTGCACATCAATTGCGAGATTCCGTCAGATGGGCCTCATGGAAGGAATTCTGTGAGTCAGGGCGCCACGAAATTGCAGATTTAGAGCTGCCTTACATGACCATTGACAGAATCAACATGACAAGGAAATGGGCTGCAGCCTCTGCCTCGCGGAGGAGCTTTGCAATTCGGGCCGTCAAAAGCCCAAAAATGGCTCACCTGGCTCATGGATGGATGCAACACCAAATGCCTGAAATGTGGGGAAATCAATCCCGATTGGGATCATGGATGGACTTGCCTCTTGCAGGTTCCCATTCCCAGCGATGCAATGTTCCGCCGTTTCCTTTGGGGAACTTCACGTGCAGAACAAAACCTTGCTGATGCCTTCATTGAGCAGTTGGAGGCGAACTACCAAACCATCTAATGGAGATCTTTGGCATTCTTCTAGGCTCCAACTTTGTGGGGTTGATAGCTTGGTCGGTGTCAGTCGCAAAAGGCATACCAACTTCAAGATCATCACTTTGGATCACATGAAGAAGATGAAGAACAACGAGCAGCACCTGGAAGAACAAGCCTCCAACTGGACCCACATTTGGAATCGCCCACACCCTGGCGATGCGGCCGGCACACTCCACACACCTTGGCAGCCAGCAAAGCACCACCACACCCAGCTATTGCAACCGTGGCTCCCGCCGCCCAACACTACGCAACCAACTTTACAAGTCACCACCAAACAGCTTATACAAGCAGCTCGTCGCAGTCGAGGGAAGGCGGCCGGCGGCGATGGTTGGCAATCAGAGCACTTTTTGGCCCTTCCCAACACCTGGTGGGACTGTTTTCGAGACTTGTGGCACACCATCCTCGACACAGCCCACATCCCTCCATCATGGTTACAAACTTTGGTGGTCCTCCTCCCAAAGCCAACCGGCGGAACCAGACCAATCAGCATCACCGGCATTGCTTGGCGAATTGCTGCGTCAGCAACAGTACGGGCCCTAGCACCCTGGACCCACGACTGGGCAGCTCCTGCATTGTGCGGCGGGCTCCCAGGCAGGGATGGCATTGCCTTGCACGTTCGCCTGTTTCATGACCTTTTGGAGCACCATGACGAGGATTTCATCGTTCTCTCCCAAGACCTCAGCAAGGCTTTCGATACAGTCCACATCATGCAAGCGCTCACAGCACTTTCACACTATGGGGCCCCCGATTCCCTTTGTCAAACCATCTTGGCTTTCTATCAAGGCTGTCGACGGCTTTTCCTCTACAACGGCACTATGTCGCCAACATGGCAGGCAACAACCCACGGCATCTTACAAGGGTGCCCCTTCAGCCCCTTGCTACTGGCCACTCTCATGAACATTTGGCACCATGGCATACACACGTTAACAGCACCAGCCACCACAGTCCACACTGGCATCTACGTTGACGACCGCAACATATGGATGCATGGACCAAGCACACGTGAACTTCTCCCACAGATCCTTGCCCGATCTCGTGCAATCGACGACATTCTTGGCTTCCAGGAAAACACTTCCAAGACCCAACTCGCCACACCAAATGAGCAACTCCTTCCCGTTCTGGACTCTCTCACACCCAACAACTTCCCCCCGGCTGGCGCCACCAGCACACTTTTGGGCTTGGTCTACAACCTCCGCACCAAGGAGGTCACTACACCAACCGCAACCACGGACAAATTTATCCATCGAGCAAAACGCATCCAGCAAGCAACTCGGTTCTTCCACCACCGGAGACGGCTTCTCCGCACAACAGCCATTCCTTGCCTCACATGGGCCGGCCCACTTGCCTTTTTCACACCAACACAACAGCGGCAGCTTCGGCTCCATGCACTACACGCTCTTCAAGGCTGGATACCACAAACAGCTTCTCGACACAACATTTGGACATCCAAACTTCAACCACACGACGACCCGGCATACTGCCTTCACGAAGCACACTTGCGGCTACCAACCTGGTACAGCCGATTACAAATCACAACCCATCCATGGCTACAACACATTCGCCACTGCCTCCAGCAGCCACAGCATTTACGCAACATACCGGCATTGCAAAACACTCTCCACACACCACTAGTGGAAGTGGCATCAGCACAACCACACCCTATGCAAAACAGACAACAGCGGACGCACCCGCACACTTCGACTTGGCTGGGATGGCAACACGCCACTACAACAATGGCTTTCCCACCATTGGGCCCACAAACTTTTCCGAACGGAGGAACGTGTTTGGAAACCACGGAGGCGCAATGACCCTGGGATGGCATCCGGCTTGACCCTCCCCACCCCACCACCACACCACATGCCAGACATGACAGCACACAAAACGGCAGCGCAACTGCCATACACGCCAACCAACACGCCGGAACGACAAGTATACATGGCAACAGGCACTTCAACATGGCACACTGGCAAGCGTCACAACATCACCCCACCACGGTGTTTGTGTCGGTTAGAGGCCCCAAGCATGCCTCATTTGCTTTGGAAATGCACGGCGCTACAAACACAACGCCGACAACTAGCACCCAGACCTCCTCAGAACACCAGTGAGGAGCGACTACTGGCAGCGGTCACACCCCCAGACCCCAGACCACTACACCCAACCAACCAAGCAATCCAAGCACCACACGATTTGAGACCCCTTCTTGAACAACAGTTCAATCAGGCAGTGCTTTGTGGACAACCGCTGGTCATTGCCACTGATGGCGGAGCGAAACATGGACTAGCTACCTGGGCAGTTGCTGTCGATACCGGCACTTTCGCCCGACCTCTACGTGGCGAAGACAACACGGCAATGATGGCAGAACTTACCGCCATCTGGTGCGTCCTCATCACCATAATTCTTGTTGTTGAGCAATCACAAGCTCAGTGTGATCTCCAGGTGATCTTGGCAGTTGATTGTCAATCCGCCATTGATTTCTTGGACAGAGTGTCTGTCCCAACACAACATTTTCATTTGTGGCATGGATTTCAACAACACCGGCGCCGGGCAATGGAGCGTGGTCTACGCATCCTTTTCCAGTGGACCCCTGCCCACAACAAACATACCGAATGGAGACCGACCTATGGTTGTCCGACACATTTGCGCCATTTAAACCATCAAGCTGACAGAGCAGCTGCTGCAGCCTTGCAGCGGGAACTCATTTGTCTTCAACCGTGGCTTGATACTGTGGCTCGGGCTCTGCAATGGAGTTCAGCTGCGCTTAAATGGGCAGCCCGTGTGGCTGCAATTTGGGATGGACATTGTGCCACTTTGGCCAACATCAGCTCCATTTAGTTCTCGTGCCTCACTGACTCTAGGTGTTTGTCAGCCTGCTTCAGTTAAATTGCATCATCATCATCATCATTGTGTGCAACATCGGCCACTTTGACAACGAGATTGCCATGGAGGACTTGGAGAATTTCCCTGGCATCAAGGTTGAGAACATCAAGCCACAGGTGGACCGCTTTGTGTTCCCTGATGGCCACGGTGTGATTGTCTTGGCATCTGGCCGACTGGTGAACCTTGGCTGCGCCACCGGCCATCCATCTTTCGTGATGTCCTGCTCCTTCACCAACCAGGTGTTGGCTCAGCTGGATATCTTGGAGAACTGCACCAAGAACAAGAAGTACAAGAACGATGTGTACCTGCTGCCCAAGCAGTTGGATGAGAAGGTGGCAGCTCTCCACTTGCCATCTCTGGGTGCAAACCTGACAAAGCTCTCCAAGGAGCAGGCCGACTACATCGGCGTCGGGGTGGATGGTCCTTTCAAGCAGGACACCTACCGTTACTAAGATGCTAGGATTTTGCTAGTTGCACGGGGAATACGCCAGCTTTTCTCGAGTTTCCCTTTGTAGCAAAGATTGCCTTTGGCGGCAAAGTGTTTGGCCAGTTCATCCACGGATCCCAAGGGACCTTTAGCTACATAGGAAGTCAGCAGAGTGCGAACTTGTGTGAAATGACGGAGGAGAGCTTGCGGCTGCTTGCGGCACAGCGTATAGTGCGATACGGTCCCTACGGACGTAAAATGCATGAAACATGAACATGTCTCGCCCTGTTTTGCTCTCTGGTTCCTGCTTGGGGACTGTTGCAGGGGACCGCTGCCAGGCAGCTTCTGTGACTTCGACCAGATGACGGTATTGTGAGGGTGCTTTCAACATAGTTCATGATTGGTAGATTCCCCACCCTTCAATCCGAAGAAAACCCTTGGCAGAATTGATCAACCATCTGGAGGAATTGAGGAACTGGCAGCATTCAACTGAAATTGTGCTGATACTGAATTTCGGGGAACTGAGTTTATTGCATGCCAATGGACAACTAGTCGGCAAGTAGATTTAAGTAGATGCTTGTTGTATTGGTGCGTCACTCACTAGAGTTGGTGATGACCTGCAGACCTTTTACAGCCTTTTCCGCCTTAATGATTCTCAGCTCCCAGCCATTCTTGAAATCAAGAACCTGCTGCCAAAGAGACAGTGTCTTGCGAAGCGTGGAGCGTTGCTGTCATTTGTGAGGTGGTCATCATTGGAGCAAAAGTGCGAGACCATTCTATTCCATCCATCGGTTGATGATGGTTAATGAGTATATCATTGTATATCAATATCACATATCCGAGCGATGCAAAGAAATGAAGGCTTCCTTGCTGTTTGGAGTTGAAGCTGTAAGTTCCCTCCTCCTGGAGTAGAATAGCTTGCCAAAATGAAATTGGCTCTCATTTGACTGCATGGCATGTCTCTGCAGTTCGGTGTTTGAACATGTAATTTGATCTACCAATGGCCAATGGCAACAACCTTTAATTTAGCCATCTGAGGAATTAGTGATGCTGTCCGAGAGGGTCAGAGAAGGACATCCATCGCAGAGGTTGAGGCAACTTGGTGACCGTTTACAGGTACTGCATGAGTGAATCAAAGCAGTTGGTGAGACTTGTACGATACCTGTACTGTTTATATATGAATGTATATATATATATGGGATATGAACAGATGTGTAGACTGTAGACTATCACATGTGTTCCTTTGATTTTTCCTTCTTGTGCACTCGGATGCACTTGGTGGTTTGTTCGGTCGTTCCTTCAGGCAGTGCATGTCGCCCACTCCGGTACCTTGGCTTCCATGGCTCGACAGTTCCTAGGATATCCCTGAAGGATGCCCGCAGCACTGGTCAGCACTGTCTCCTACAGTCCCAGGAAGTGCCAAGAGCGAGACAGGTGTCAAGAGCAGTGAGACAAAGCTGGGATCTCGGACTCTCTTGTCAGAAAAGGGAGCAACAAATTTCATAAATTCATGTGTTGGCTACGATGATCACGAACATGTGGGTGATGGAAAATGATTAAATGCTTACATGGAGCAAATTAGCTCCCCTTTTCACATTTTTCACATGCTCACCATAAAACCCAGCAGGATTGCTGCATGTGCCATTGCTTCAAATGAATGACATGTTTTTTGTCTCTGGAACATTCTGGAACTATTTAAGCAAAACTTACTCGCGCAGAAACAAGAGAGAGAGAGAGAGAGAGCTGAAAGCCCAGATTCCGAACATGCATCTTTTTTTGATTGATGAGTGGCCCTGATTTTGCGAAACATTACACACACTGACATACACATAATATACGGACAATATCATCAATATACACGTAAGATCATTATAGTATGTCTGAATATATGTATATATGTATATATATATGTATATATATATATGTATATATATATATATATGTATATATATATGTATATATATATATGTATGTATATATATATGTATATATATATATGTATGTATATATATGTATATATATGTATATATATATATATCATATTGATATGTTTTACATTATAGACAAATATAAAAACACACATACACACATATAATAATTACATAATATGATATATGTATACAGTATCCATGTTTTATTTCGCAGACCGAGCTTCCTTGAGGTCTCTGACATCTGCGGAGGAATTTCGATTGTTCCCTACCATGAAGCTTGATAGGCTGAAGGACTATGGTCAGCGGCTGGGGATATAGTCGTTGCCTCGTTACTTGTAAGCCAGCTGAGAACACATGAGGCCTCGACTGTCAGTATTCGCTTGTACTAGCCAAAAAGACATGGCCAGCATCTGATGTCAGGCAATGCGCAGTCTATATGACTTTGTAGCAGAATAAGTTCCATTTTTGCTTTTTACATGATGTTATTCGGAGTCCATAGGGAGACTGGGTACTGAACCGCTTCTTTGCCTCACGAATTTCCAGAAATCCAGGTGTGCACTAGATGTCTTTACATGCATTTGAGAGACATGCAGTTGAGAAGTCTCTTTCAGCAGGTTGCTGAAATGAAACGGGTTTAGTGAGGCTGTGATTGCAAGGATGCAAGCAGCAAAGTTATGTCTTTGGTCGCAGAAGGAGCTGATGCGTTGTACGATGCAGCACTAGGAATGACGGATATTCTCTGGAATACAGACTGTTTTGCACATAAATGGAGTCTTTAGACTCAACATATTTCAAAATGATGAACCTACTAGAGAATCTGAAACAGGCAGGTGTGTTTTGGCATGTTTTAGCTATAATTATACCACATCAGATAGCCTTCTGTTGGGCTTTAGGTAGAGCAGGCTTAGAATACTCCTGCACTAGGATGTTACATCCTGAAAATCGAAGTGTTGTTTCCATGGATTGAAAGATTTCACGATGAGATCTGGAATGGAGAGGAGAGGATCTTCCGGGATCTTCCGTTTTTTTTTCTGTTTTGCTAATCCCCAAGGAGCTCGGGCAGCAGCTGAGTCGGTGGCGTCTGATACGCAGGATCTTGATTTGGCATAGAGGATTTCTGGGAGGCCGCCCTCGGCCCATGCATCACACATTGTAGAAAACTGCTGGGAAACACACTAATATGAAGAAATGGACCATGTGGACTAATGTGGACTAATGTGGACTAGGAATGCTTTTTCATTCTTTTCATTCTTTTTCTACCTTTTTTTGTTTCACGTGTCTCACAAAAGGTGATAGTTGTTTCACGGAGTCCAGATAGTCCACGTTTTTGTCACCAAGGCCCTCAGCAGTGCAAAAGCCGCCACAGAGTCAGACAAAAAAGGCCAAGTCCCTGAGTCGCGAGGGCCGAGTTCAGCAGTCGCTTGAACATTGAGTTACTTCAACTATCTTCAAGTTACTTCAAGTTTGTGTTTTTTTCGTATGTTTGAAGCAGAACTCTTTCAGAACTATTTTTGAGAATGGATGGCTTATAAAATTCGATATTGTCTATTGTAAGAAAAGGTATAATGGAGCACTAAGTCGCACCAAACCGAGTTCGGCATTGGATTGGTAGCAATCTGGGCGGCGGCCTATGGATCCTATGGCCTTAGATCCGGTCAGGTGCAAAAGGCTGCCCCTTCAGCCCTCTCCTTGTTGGGCCAGATGCGGCAGGCACTCTGCGACAGTCCGGTGATGCCGAAGTGTCTTGGGTACTGTAGAAGACAGAGCAGAGATCAGAATCACCAGTATGTTGATGCATGCCTTATGTATGGTTGAGATGAAAGAGATTTTGAAGCGATAGCAAAGGATCAAGGCTGATCAACGACAGATGTGAGCATGAATCGGGAAATGAATTGGGAGCTGACTTGATCTTCAAACGATGCTGTGTTTGGGAGGCAAAGATGTCAGTGTTGCAGAGGAGCAATATCTCTGGGATCGAATGCATTTCTGATCCCATGCTTCCAGTGCCATTCCATTGCCATTCCATTGACATGGGTCAGTGTCCTTACTCTGTCGCAGCATTCTTGTCCTCCTCTGATTTCACACGCCGGTGTTGCAAGGACCGACGCAAGCCATGCTACAAAGGCTGGTCAGGAAAGACAGAGGCCGATGCTTGACCCAACAATTCTCTTTTTTCTCACCTGAACGTTGCTTTTTCATTTTTAATTGCTCATATACATTTAATTACATTTATAAAATGTTATATATATATACACATCACTATATGTAGAAACGACCTCGTTTGTAAAGAAGAAGTTGCCAAAACATTTATTTAAATGGCAGCATTTGGCTCAGCTGCATCTGATGAGGGCTGGGAGCACCGTTGCTCCCGGGCACTGCGGTTGCAACCTGTGCCTTGTGGTTGGGAGAGTGCTCTCAATTTGCCATTGCGGCGATTTGGGGGCAGCTCCCGTGGCTTTTGCCACTGACAGACTTCGTGTTCTGTACAGTGAGCTGTTGGATATCTGCGCTCGGGGTCCTGTGCTACAGAACCTCGTTCAACCTCCACCTGTGGCAGCGGGTGGTGGTTTGAGGCCCCCAGCACCCCCGGTGAGGGTGCCTGCTGAGGGAGTACATTCTCCCGAGGATCCCGGCGCTGGAGGCGCTGCGGAAAAGAAAGAGACCCAGCCGGAGACAAACGAAGAGCGACGCGCTACACCTCTTGCCAAAGCAGCCCCTCCAGTCATCCCAGCTCCTGCCGTCTTAACGCCACCTCCGCCACTGAGCACTCCGGCGGCGCCACCTCTTGCCCCAAAAGGACCTGAAAAAGAAGAGCCCGAAGGATTGGTCTCGAAAGTCGGTGGAGCAGCCCCACCTAGGGAGTCACCTGCTCCCGTGAAGGCCCGGCCGGCCTAGAGGAGTCAGACGAGTACACGTACGAGACCATCGATCCGGAGGAAGGAGTTGAGAAGGAGCCTGAAGAGAGAGAGATCAGTGGTGGAGGAGACACCGCAGAAAGGGTCGCTGAAGACAAGAGGCTGCCAGCTGAGAGCAGCCGCAAAAGGGACAAATCGAGAAGCCGTCGCCGAGAGAGACGCAAGACCGAAGAAGGGCGAGAGGAGAATAGAGAGAAGAAGAGGAGATCAAGGTCGAGGAGAAGGGAGCGAAGAGCCTCCCGGGATCGTAGGGAGAGGTCACCCTCGGCGAGGGCAAGCCGAGGAGCAGAGAGACCTCGCTCTCCCGTGGGACCCCCCCCGTGGGCTGACAAGGGGGCGGGGAAGGGTGAGATCCGAAAGAAGTCAAAAGGAAAGGTCCGTGAACAGAGGTGGCAGGATATACAAACCTACGGTCCAAACAGGCGCCGTAAGAGGAGAAGAGAGCAAGGGCATACTCGGTGATGCCCCCCAAGAGGCCAGCAGCAGCTGCTGCGAAAGTTCGAAGTGCCCTTCGACGACCAGCAGCGGCGGAAGGCGAACGCAAAGGGGAGGAGTCAGTCCCTCCCGGGGAAAGATTCAAGAAAGGGGAGACAGTAGAGTTGGAGCAGCTCCCCATTGGCGCCCTGCACGTGGGTGATCTGTTGGTTTTTGAGGATTGCAGCTATTTTGGAGGACCGTGCAAGTGCGCGGGCCGCTTCCGAGAACTATGCCAAGCCGAAGGAGGAAGTCGCCTCAAGATTCACTTCACCGGGACGACTCACCCGGATCTATTAGCATATGCGACCGGGATCCCCGACAGAAGTGGAGAGGTCCATATATGCCCGTCAGGGTGTGTGGGAGAACCACATTCTCCCGGTTTGGTTCATTCGAAGCTGGTGAAGTTGATCCAGAAAGCCAAGGAGGGAAAAGTAGATTGGGAGCTCAACCTGGAGACAGAGACAGTGGACGAATTGGAAGGGCTGCGAAAGAAAAAAGCGGAATTAGAAGCCGCCCTAGCCGAGAAAGAGAAACAGGAGGAGAGGAGCAAGGGAGACAAGCGCTCCCGGTCAAAGAAAAGAAAGAGGCGGAGATCCAAGAGGCGGCGAGAGGAGGATTCAACCAGTGCCAGAGAGGGGAGAGAGAAGAAAGAGAAGTCACAAAAACCAAAGAGACGCTATGGGGGACGCACCGTCGCGCGGAAGGACCTCGAGGCAGTGTATGGGGGCACGGGGCTCGACCCCAGGAGCCGGGTGAGGCGTCGTGTCATGCGATATGCCCGGCGCAAGACTCGCAAGAAAGCCTCCAGTTCCTCGACCAGCGAAGAGACGTCCTCCAGCGGGAAGTCAAGGAGTTCGGAGGAGGCCATGGACATGTTGAAGGACATGAACAAGATCCGCAACCTCCACAGGCATGGCCCGGGGGTGCTCACTTCGATGGGGATCGCCAGAATGAAAGAGACGGTGATCGAGTTGGAAGGCATCTGGAAGGAAGAGGACAATTCCTTACCCCCCGTGGCCATGAAATATGTCCGCAGCACTCTGGTGAAGAGTATGAGTGGAGGCGCCCTCAAAGAGGCGATGACGTTGGGGACCGTCCTCGACTTGATGATGATGGGTCGCATCAGCGAAGCCGCAGATGTGGCAATGCAGCGTCTCAAGGCCATAGAGAAAGTGGCTCAGGGAAGCTCATGGAGTTCGACGGAGAAACTGGAGCTTGTGGGCTCCGCGAACCCACAGATCTCCACCAGAGGAGAGTTGACCGCAGCGGCCAAGGAAGCCAAGCTGGATCAACAGAGCAAGGGCCCAGTGTCACCCTACAAGGGAAAAGGGATGACACAAGAAGGAAAAGGCAAGAAAGGCAAAGGCGACGAAAAAGGAAAGGGCAAGAAAGGATCAGAGAGCGACCGAGCAGGAAAAGAGAAGAGAGAAAAGTGATGAAAGAGGCAAAAAAGATGGCTGTGAAGAGAGGGCTGGGAGATATAAGCTCCCGTTTCAAGAAGCAGAAGGAATGTGGAGCCGAAGAGGTGAGAGAGCTGGGTAGCGCGTTAGTGGGAGAACAAAATCTCCCGAGGGCATTTTGTCCTGCTTTGGAAGGAGCTGCCACTCATTCCGAGGCGAAAGCTGTACAGAATTCTGACCTCTTTCCGAGAGAGGAAAATGAAAGCGTTATTTTCAGTGCGAGTGGGGGTTTTTCAGAAGTGGTTGGGTGGCTGGATAGCAGGTTGGATTCTTTCTTTTTTGAGCGGTGTAGGGCCCAGCCCACGGGCAGGGTTTTTCCTTTGCCCATGTCTGACCTGATTTTAAAGGCCACTTTCCCTACTGATCCCCCTCGAACTTTGTCGTGTCTTAGGATGTTGGTCTTGTCTCTTAACTCCCTTAATGGGGAGGGTTTGTTCGCTGAGGAACGTGTTTCACCTTTTCAGAAGAAGGTCCTAGGGTTTTTGATGGAGAACTGTAGAAGGGTTTCAATCTGGACGATTGAGCAGGCACCTGCTGACTGGGCTTCTTTCTTCAGTACCAAATCTGTGGATTATAGAGGCGAAGAAATACTTATGGCCCAGCCAATTGAATGGGAGAACATCTCTCCCGCATTGCCGGATGAAGTAGGAGCAGTAGAATTGTCTCAAGTGGTGGAGCTGGGGAGCAAACACTATGTGGAGAGGTTCACTGATTATTTAGTGCCAGCTGATGATCAAGTGTATACCAAGCCTCCCAAGGTTCATGTCCCCGAGGGATCATGGGATAAAGTTTGCGAAGGTCTACTGCGCCTGGGAGTTTGTCAAGTCATCCCAGAATCACAGGTGCACCATGTCCAGGGAAAACCATTACTGAACGGACTCTTTGGAGTGAGCAAACATGAGTTCTGCCAAGGATATGAGGTGAGGAGGTTAATCATGAATTTGATACCCCTCAACCGGATTTGCAAGGACATCTCGGGAGACGTTGCTACATTGCCCTCTTGGGCCAACATGTCAGCCCTGCAACTTTCTCCTCATGAGGACTTGGTAGTGTCCTCTGAGGATGTGAGGTGTTTTTTCTATATATATTCCGGGTACCCCCATCTTGGCGTCCTTTTCTTGCCTTCAACAAGGCGGTTCCTACCCGGTTCTGCAATGGCAATGATGAAAAGCACTACTTATGTAGCTCGGTCTTGCCCATGGGGTTCAAAAATTCGGTGTCACTGGCTCAACAGGTGCACCGGGTGGTGGTACGGAGAAGCCTGACACGAGTACCTTGCACTCTGGGTGGTGAGTCGGAGATCCGAAAGGATAGACCTTTTCCCTCTTGTGGTCACTTGTATCGAGTATATCTCGATAACTTTGATGAGCTAAGAAAGGTTAACAAGGGCCTTGCGGAGGCAATCGAGGGGAAGGTCTCTCCACTATGTGTGGGGCTTCGAGAGGAATATCTCCAACAGTCTATTCCTCGTCATCCCAGGAAGAGTGTTCAGCAAGCCCGAGTAGCAGAGGTTCAAGGCGCCATAGTCGATGGGGTCGAGGGATTGGCATACCCTAAACCGGAAAAGGTTTTGAAGTATTGCCAATTGGCTTGCCAGCTGCTTCACCGAGGGCGCTGTACTCAGCGACAAGCCCAGGTGGTAGGAGGGGGCTTCGTCTACTTGGCGATGTTTAGGAGGCCTCTGTTGGGAAGCCTTAATGCCCTGTGGAAGTTTATTGTCTCCTTTGATGGCTTGCCCCCGGTCGTTCAACAAGGGATTCCTCTTAATGTCAAGGAAGAGCTCAGCCGCTTCATTGGGCTTAGCCCATTGGCCGTGGTCAACTTCCGTTCTTCTTTGTCACCTTGCGTCACGGCCAGTGATGCTTCAGAATATGGGGGAGGAGTTACTTTCTCCCGTGGCCTTACTGAGGCTGGCGGTTTTGCCGCTCAGTGTCATATTCGTGGAGACCTGGTGGAGCCCTTGGAAGTAGAAAGTGTTTTAACCATCGGTTTGTTTGATGGCATATCAGCTCTTCGCGTAGCAGTTGACTGCCTTGGTTGGAACATCCTCGGTCATGTCTCAGTAGAGTCCGACCCTTCGTGTCGGCGCGTGGTGGAAAGCCGTTTTCCTACCACTTCCTTTGTGAATGATATTCAGCTAGTGGATGAGGAGATGGTACGGACCTGGGCTTGCAGCTATAGCCAGACAACACTGGTCTTGATTGGGTCAGGGGCCCCGTGTCAGGGAGTTAGTGGGCTTAACTCCCGTAGAAAAGGTGCTCTCAGGGATGAAAGAAGCTGTCTGTTTCAGCATGTGCCCCGGATTCGCCAAATGGTCCGTAAAGCTTTTCCATGGGCTCGGGTAGCTAGCTTTTCAGAGAACGTCTACTCAATGGATGCTCAAGACCGGGCCATCATGACCGAAGCTTTTGAAGAAACTCCATGGCTGGTGGATGCCCAAGATGTCTCCCTTGCTCGACGGCCCCGGTTGTACTGGTTTGATTGGGAGCTGGTCACCCAAGAAGGTGTCACATTGGAGCACTCCCGAGAGCAAGGTAATGAGGCATTTCATCGGGCCAGGCTACGAGCCTTAGTGGATGAACGTAAATATTTGGAGCCAGGGTGGGAGAAAAATGGAAGAGATGCTCTCCCGACTTTTACCACATCGAGATGTCGACATTATGAAGGGCACCGTCCGGCTGGCAAAGACCAGTGTCCTCCCCATGAACTTCAGAGGTGGGCAGCTGATGCCTTCCGGTACCCGCCCTATCAGTACCGAGACTCCAATTGTCTTGTCAATGCCAAGGGAGATATCAGGGTGCCCAGTATCCAAGAGCGAGAGTGTATCATGGGCTTCCCAAAGGATTATACCTTGCAGGCCATGAAGAAGGCTCTACATGGGAGCCAAGATCATCTTTCCACTAGGCTCACGATGATCGGCAACTCGTGGAACGTCACGGTGGTGGCGTGGCTTCTGAATCATCTTGGGTACTTGCTTGGTTTCCATCCATTGCGAACGCCCCAGGATATGGTGGAGCGTACTGCTCCCGGGTGCTCTTTGGAGCTCCAAACCTTCCTCCAGCGGCCACCGATGGGACGTCTTCCCACAAGCGCGTCCGAAGCAGGGGATCTGCGCTTGGTCCAAAAGCTGACTACCCTGGTCAGCCTAAAGGGAGAGGATTTACTGTTGCAGGCAGGCTCAGAGGATTTGGTAAGGTACCACAGGCTACGAGCCAGTGTACCTGCGAGGCTTTGGAAATGGGCGGTTGCTGCAGCCTGGCGGTGGCAAGGTCAAAAGGAGCACATCAATGTGTTAGAGATGCGCGCAGTCCTGAACGCCATTCGGTGGCGTTTAGAACGGCGGGGGCAGATCAAAATAAAGTTTGTCCACATGGTTGACTCCATGGTGTGTCTCCACTCCTTGGCCCGCGGGCGATCTAGTAGTTTGAAACTACGCCGAACTTTACTGCGTGTGAATTCCCTGCTCCTTGCAACTGGTTCTCAAGTCGTGTGGAGTTATGTCCACACGGGACAGAACCCTGCGGATGGCCCTAGCCGCCATCCCAGGAGAAGGAAATGGAAAAATGCCCAAAAGGCATCTTGAGGGCAAAACTAAGGAGCAGCGGATTAAAGCACGCAGAGAATTGGGATCGCTAAAGAGCCTCACCGTCCAGCCCACTACCAGAGCCCGCTATGACAAAGCCTTGCAGCGTTTCTTCAAATTTTTGGAAGATGAAAACCTCACCTTGCCCAAGCAAAAAGCTCAGATGGATCCTCTCATTAGTGACTACGTAGAGTTTCTATGGTCTTCTGGAGAAGGACGTGCCTTAGCTGCTGACACAGTAGCAGGCTTACAGGACACCCAGCCACAATTGCGTGGTTATCTTCAAGGAACTTGGCGTTTATTAAGGACCTGGAATGCTTCAGAGATTCCTAATCGCGCCCCGCCTATGCCAATAGAAGTTCTGGATGCTATGGTAGGCCATGCCTTGTTCCATAACAGGCCTCTGTTCGCCCTTAGCTTACTCCTGGGGTTTTATGGGCTTCTGCGGACTGGCGAAATCCTGGGTTTGTCCAAGAAGCATTTGGCGGTTGCCTCCCGTGATACCGCAGTTTTGGTGTCTCTAGGACTCACCAAGGGAGGCAAACGACAGGGCGCAGCCGAAAGTGTCAAAGTCGCAGTTGAAGATGTAATTCGACGGTGTAAGCAGTGGCTTGATGCCCCTGTTAGCCCCCAAAATCTCACGGAAGCCCCTCACGTATGGAGGAAAACTTTCTCTGATACCCTAGAATCTTTAGGTTTCACCTCTTTGGAGCTTCGTCCGTATTCGCTCCGCCGGGGCGGAGCAACTTTTCAATTTCGTCAAGAGGGGTCTTTTGACCGGTTGATGGTGCATGGGCGCTGGCAAGCCTTACGCACCACAAGGCTTTACATAAATGAAGGAATGGCTATCCTTGCGGAACTAGCCATACCCTGGACAGGCCTTTCTCGTACTCTCCGCCGGCAATATTTAACCTCTCTGAAACATCCCTTGCCAATGCTTGAGCCTTTGCCTAAAGGCAGGGCAGGGGGCGTTGGAAGGCGAATCAGGAAGACTGCAAAAAAGGCTGAAAATCAGCCTAAAAAACCTCGTGGAGGAAAAAACGTTTTTCGCCAGGGGTAGGACCTATGTCATTTCCTGGGTTTGGCCGGGTGCATAGGCTACCCACGTGCTTTGGCTGGGGCTTGCCCGTGGTTTGGCCGGGAAGTCCTGGGGGCACTAGGGGATGGGCCCCTCGAACTCCCTTTGGAAGGGTGGAATTTTCCTGTTCTTGTCCGATGTCTTTTTAAAGTTTTGACCAAATCGGTCCTGCACCGCTTTAAAAAATGTGAGCGACTGAGTCTTTGTAGAAACGACCTCGTTTGTAAAGAAGAAGTTGCCAAAACATTTATTTAAATGGCAGCATTTGGCTCAGCTCCACTCCCTCCCCACCCTTACTTTTTCTTCTTTCTTTTAACTGGGAGAAGGCGAATCAGGAAGACTGCAAAAAAGGCTGAAAATCAGCCTAAAAAACCTCGTGGAGGAAAAAACGTTTTTCGCCAGGGGTAGGACCTATGTCATTTCCTGGGTTTGGCCGGGTGCATAGGCTACCCACGTGCTTTGGCTGGGGCTTGCCCGTGGTTTGGCCGGGAAGTCCTGGGGGCACTAGGGGATGGGCCCCTCGAACTCCCTTTGGAAGGGTGGAATTTTCCTGTTCTTGTCCGATGTCTTTTTAAAGTTTTGACCAAATCGGTCCTGCACCGCTTTAAAAAATGTGAGCGACTGAGTCTTTATATATATATGTATATGTATACACTATACAATAGGGGCACATTATATTGTATACATACATACACAATCGTTTGGATCCAGGTGCTGCATATTGCTACCTTGGAATGGTGCATCAATCAGCCTCCAACTCTCTGGTGCCCGGTTGCGGTGTTCTCACATTTCAAGTCATTCAAGTCATTTAGATCAGCTGGCTGTATTTTGCAGGGAAGAATCTAAAGACTTGCAGCAGCAGCAGCCAGAGAGGCTCCAACCCTATCCCATGAACTGAACAGACCAGTTGCCAGAGGGTATTGCACGTGCTTGCCAGATCCGGCGCATGCAACACGGTGGGATGATATCTCCATCATTGAATCATCCGTTGTCCACGGCGATTCTGTAGCAGTCCGGACCCAAATGAAGTAGACCCGCCAGTGTCAGTTGCATGCCAGGTTGCACTCAAAGTCAGTTGCCTATGATGAGGCTGGGCAGATGTTCAGCAGGTCATGAGAAGGTGACTGAACATGGATGATTTGGACCCTCCAATTCGCTCGAAGCAGCTAGGTATCAGAAAAAGAAAGCGTGCATGCCAAGTCTTTACGCTTCCAATTTCATTCAGGGTTCTCAAACCGCATCTGTTTCTGCTGGATCCCAGACATGCCATGATAGGCAGTGGCTGAGGAGGAAGCAAAGCGAAGACGTGAGGACAGCAGACTCCAAGTGGGAAAGGAGCTTCAAAAAATGAACATTCTGCAGATTTCTGCAGGCTTTTGAAATTCGTACTTAGAAAGTGGCAGCAAGATTGCCTCAGTCCAACTCTTCTCTTTCTCTTGTCAAGCATGATTTGGCCGGAGTGGTTTTTTTTATGTTTTTTTCACCGGATTTCCATTAAAGGGGCGAGACAGAATGATGCACATAATGCAAACCATCAGGGATTGTGACACGCCGATCCACGCCGGACGGAGGAAGAAGCCCGAGAAGAGCACGCGAAGATGGAGGACTGGGGGGACGAAAAACATGGATTGGACAAATGGCCACAAGAGCTGTACATGAATTTGGTAACTAGATGATGCTAGAATGTGATTAGATGTAGCTCGTTTCAGTTAGAGCTTATATTTATTACATAATTCACTTAATCCAGTTCTGGAAAGTATTGGTTTAAACTCCATGCTTCGCAGTGCTTTGATGCCTTGAATAGGGTAGAGAATTTCTACACCGGTTGGACACACATACTCAAATGCACACATTGGTATGTACCATTTTGTACCTACACAATCCTACACATACATTATTTGTCCAAGTATACATCCACAATCATGCATATATGAATGTGAAGGATATGGACATCGATGACACCGAGCTGCATACTCTTGTATATACATCGATTCAATATGATTCAATATGATTCAATAGTCGCAGCCTGGAGAGTACTGCAGTTCCGCAGGATCTTATGGATGAAGTGCGCAACAGAAGGCCTTGGCATATCTTGGCATATGGCATTGCGCCCCTCACTGATGTCGACAGGGCATGACAGGGTTTGGGGATGCCACACAGATCCTGTAGAATCCATGTTTAGTACTCTGTTTATTGGAATTTGTATGTATTTTGTGTGTATATGTATATATGTATAATATATATATAATGTTCTGTGTACTAGTAGGTGTTTGTATGTATTTGTGATGTGCCGCCCTAAAGGATGCAGTTGTACGATTTGGCGACCTAGATGTTGTATGATGTTGTTGGAATTCCCCATCTTCACCAAACCCTGGAGTAAGAGATGTAGCTCTAACCGTCCATCACCTTGACAATGCAGCCGCGCCCATCAGGTCTTGGTGACCAAGGGAAGCAGTGTGCTGAGCAGCTCATCCTGAGGAATCTCATGCGATCGATGTGGGTTGCTTAAAAACAGACAAGCGCACAGTAAGACATTATACAATCTATATAATGTGACATTTGGCTGTTGATGCTGTAGGAGCTTCTGAAAAAGTGTGAATCGCAACAGTGTTACAGACACATGCAGCATTCAGCAGAAAGGTAGATGCATTTGAAGCAAAAACTGCTGTTTGAGCAGCCCAGATCATACATATCCTTGTGCCTCTCATTGCTCGCTGGATGGGTACAGAAAAGCCGCTGCATTACGTTCACTTGGTTCAGTGAACGCCATGATTTGCGCTGTGCCGCTGTGAAGTGACGTCCATCAGAACTCGAAAGATGGCCTAAATCAGTTTACAGCAGGCCAAGCTCCCAAAGCTCCTAAGGGAGGCATTGGAAAGCCATGAAACCCAATGAAATACATTGAAATACCATGAAATACTGTCAGAGAATGTCAGATGCCAGTTGCACAAAAGGGCCTGTGCTTTCCAACTCGCACTCTTCCAATCTTTCTGGGAGGATTGTTGAGATGGGGCACATATCACATATATTATTCTATGTATGTATGTGTGTATATATATATATTATATACATACAGATAATATTGAAGTCTGGGCCACTCTTTCGGATTAATGATGAAGATGGCTAGGAAGGTCAGTGTCAGTATAGTGAGGGATTGAACCTTGAACAAACCATCTCCGGCAACGGTCTCAAGCACCGCAGCATCAGACGGAACTGAACTGAACAGCAGTGCAGCATTGGGTATTGTTAACATATGTTCACATTGTTTGATTTTGGGCGTCCGAAACAAATGCGCAACCAGACAAACCGGATCAAATCTTGCAAGTGGATCAACCCATTGAAGGCAGCCTTGTGGTAAGAGAACACCAATTGAAAAAGCAATGCTGTGACCTTTTGCAATAGAGGAGATTGTACGCCACTTGGGTAATCCTTGACTTATCCCCACCAAGCCTGTTTTGAGATGTGTACATACACCATTTCTTTTTTTTTCGTAGCACAAAACTTTTTTGCGTGCCATGGAGCCGGGAAACGATCGCAGGCAGATGATAAGTAATGTTTCAGCTCCCGTACATTCTTTGGTACCAGTGGCCCGTCGAAGGTTTTGGGACAGGTCACATGGAGTGGAGAATTTCAAGAAACCAGACTGCCGCACTTACTGACACTGTGTGTCAAGGTAGCCAAGGCATGACGACAGAGGGTTTTCAACACCCACACCGTTGAAGTCTCACGTGCTGCATTTGCACCACTTGGAAGTGAGTTGCACAGCTGCCAGGCCAAGTGATTTGCAAACGGCTGGCCGCTTGTTGATGAGTTCCAGGGGTTCGGGAGCCCAGGCTGTCTCGTGTTGATTCCCTGGAAGGACTCCACTTGTCCAATGCATCCCTTCCGCTGCTCCCCCAAGCAAAACTGGCCCGCAAGATGGAGCGGGCAGCAAGGAATCCCTCAACCTGCTCTTCTGATGACCTGTCCTTTCTGCAATCATTTGATGAAAAATAGGTCTTCGGGTTCTGTCGCCATAGATCCAGTCACTTCTGCTAATGTAGAAACTTGGAGTTTCGGCCAACGACGCTTTGACATGTTCTGAGGTGGCAGTGGTGACCAGGAGGTGATCAGTGCACCCTGAAGTAAGTTGCTGGAAGGGCTTGATATTGATTAGGGATGATTGGGGCAAGTTTTCTTCTTACAGTTGGCCTGCCAGCAGAAGCTTGGACAGCCCCACAGAGATCTTCAATCTTCTCTTATGGTGCACTCCCAGTCGAAGCTGTTTCATCACTTGATGTGTGTATTAGCATGCCGGAGCATGCCTGATTCCTACCACTCCCTCCAGCTTGCCTTCATGCTGTACAGTTTGGGATCTACAGAGGCGTTCGAGCTTTTTGACCCAAGCAGGCACTACACAGGACACTCTCGATGCCGAGTTTCCCAAGTACTGGTCGCCGTTAGAGCCTCAAAGGCACAGGTGTGGCTTCTGATTGTAACCATGCAAAAACATGCAGACTCGTTAGTGGTCTGAGTGTACGATTCTACGATAATGAAGTTCACTGTGCGTGGTCTTGTAGACCAAGTGACATTGGTTACTGTTCTCATCTGTTCTCATTTGTTACTTGCATGACTTGTACGTATCTAGCTTTCTGTTCGCACTTGACTCCCCGTATTTTTGTGCGCAACCGTAAGCCGAGACAACGGCTGTATGGCTCTTAATCCTTTCGTTCATTCAGAACGGTTCTCACCAGATGGACTGTGACGTTCGGCTATGATGATATGACCCACAAATATCCACAATCTGCATGGGTACAACTATGCACGACTTGATTCCTAAAGCTTGATTGATGATTGATAGCCTGGTTGAATCACAATTCATCAATCTTCATACTCCCGATACTCCCGATCCATCCAATCCCGAGGCCACGAGTTTGCCCTCCGTGAGAGATTGGATGACTTGCAGGCAGGGTCATGCTTTGACGGCTAGGCGGATCGTCTACACGTTCTACGACCCACTCGTCCGCCAAGACTACTTGTAGCACTCCCCAAAGGGTATGAAGGGGTAAGTGTTTCTATCCATCTATCTATCTACCTACCTACCTACCTCTCTGTCTGTCTGTCTGTCTTTCTATCTATCTATCTATCTACCTATCTATCTATCTATCTATAGATCGATCGATCGATCTATCGATCTATCTATTTGTTTATCTTTAATTACACTGTAGATGTTTCTAGAAAACAATCATCCTGGGATAGGTTGGGATTGTCCTGGATATGTTCCACCTAGATTTTTCAGTGGCAGTTTCCACTCGTGATTTCCGGGTCTTCAGATTCGTTATGTTGCCGCCGCCAGGTGTGTTCCTTCCCAAAAGACGTCCAGCTGGACACAGGCGCTTTCTGTAACGCACGTAATGCACTGGTACCAATTCCACGTTCAGGTATGTTTGGGCATTTCAAGCTTATAGGTCCATTATAGGTGTGAGATGTCATGGGAAGAATCGCATTTTAACATGTTTGCGCTCGTAATGATGCAAGTTTCAACATACTCTCCCGAAGCACACTGAACATCCATAGCCATTTGGAAGGTGCAAGTGGCATGAAGAACAGGACTCCATAGAATACTGAACGTAGCAAAAACTGTGCATACACTGCTTTTGCCTAGGACATGCTGTCCAGACTTCAGACACAGTGCATTGTATGTTTTTGCGCAGAATTTGAAGACCGACTACGATGTTTGGAGTCTCTCTTCAAAAAAGGCACAGCCATAGGCTTAGCTGAGCAGCTTGAGTCATCAGCATAGTTGACTGAATCTAGTCACTACCTCTGAGCAGCTGTTGGCACTCAGAGCAGCGCAAGTTGGTCCCCAAAAATCGCGGGATACCAGCTTTGCAGTTCTGAAACTTTACCAAGGCTCCCTTTCTCTACACTTCGCCTCCCAGTACTGGTGGGCAGACGCTCTCAGTTGCCAACCCACACCCGCGTCAACAAATGCCAGGTATTGAGATGATGGGACACTCTTGGTCCAAAGCAACACAGAAGATGTTTCGCTGCGATATGGCTGGAGAACTCCAGATTTGTTTCGCATCGCATCTTCATTTGAGGTGTCAGGAATTTGTGCTGAATTTCATGAATCCTGCATGTTTCATATTCCAAGTGTATAGATTTCTATAGATTATAGATCAGCGCTCCAAATTCCAACCTAAACCTTGGACAAACCGTTAACTCAATGATAAACCATTGATAAACCAATTCAATCCAATTCATATATAGTTTTAGTAGTGGATTCTTGTGGATTCTTCAACTCTCTGAAGGAATTCCAATCAGCTGTCTCCCAGATCTTGCTTTTCCAACTGAGGCGTGCCACTGGCCGGCTCAGTACATCAAGAGGCACTCAGTTTAAATCGAGCGGAATGCTTGAAGAACCTGTTTTTTTTGGTTTTCAGCACGGACAGAGACATCCAATGCCTCTCAATTTCTAAAACCAAGTAGTCAGATGTAGTAAGATGTTGTGGTCTCACTTGTTCTGGACAATGAGAGTAGCATTTGATGCCTGGCAAGGAACAAACAGGGGAAATGGAAACTGAAGGAGGCAAGACAAGATAAGAAGGGGAACATGTAGAAGCAACTCTAGGAAGTGTATTGTAAATGTTTTGATGTTTACTTGCCTCTTGCTTGTTCAATGCTCACTCCTATGTGACGCAGATGGACCTATCAAACACATCTCAATACTCCGACCAAAGCATTTGGATGAATTTGGCAAGGCTCTCTGGTATCTCGCTGCTCTACTGGCTGGGTGTCCCAAGAATTTCAACGAATGTCCAAGCGTTCAAATGCAGATCATCCATGTTGAGCATTGTTGAGCATTGAGCATAATTTCTATGGGTTCGAGACGGTTCCAGGGTGTGCAAATGTTTTGAAATCTTGCAAGTTGTGATGCATCCAGCAGTTTCATCCTCCAACATGTGGTGAGGAAACTGGTTCATTCCGCAACCAGTTTCAATCTGCAGCACCCGATGCTTGCGGTTAGTGGGCAGCGAACAACTTTGAATACCGGGTTATATGATTTGTGTATGCGCAATGCTTTTCTTGCCTATATAATAAAGTGGCTCTTCACGTGAAACCGAGCAAAGCCGGAGGTCGGTTGATCAATACGCCACTGGCTACACCTGCGCTGGGCCGGTAGGATTTGAAAGTGGGTTCAAGAGACCATTCTCATCCATTCTCTGGAAATGATATTTGTGAAGAAGGGTGGAGCGTGTGCAAAAGACCGCTGGAACGCAAAATAACAGCATAGAACGACAGTTAAATTGGTTCGAACCCACACAAGGACACTTTGGGAGGCATTGTGTCTGAAACAAAGAGCAATGGGTTTGAAGCTCTGGTGGGGATCGAAAATCGTCTGCACTGCCAGTGGCATTTGCCCATTTTGACTTTCAAGCTCCGCATTGTGCAAGATGCACGACGATGCTGGAGTTCCGACGCGGAGTATCTCGCTCTGAGACAGAAAGGGATCGTCTGATCACTGCCGTTTCTTTGCCGCTTTTCCACTACCTATCTCATACTCATATCTCTCCACCTATCAGATTCGCATACGTTCATCCTATATCATGCAACGAACATGCATTTTTATAATTTGCCATGTCTCTCTTATCCAGAATATTTCCACATTCGACATCAAGTTTCATGTTGGTTCTTTACTACTTCAACATTGCCAAACTGCTAATTATCTTTTGTTTTTGATGTGTTGGCATGTTTTTACTTTTGCATTCATTTATAGCTGAGATTAGCTGAGTGCTGGTGCACTCTGTGACATCTCTGTAGCAAACGCACGCGCGCACGCACACGCACACATCCATGTGGATGAATATATCATAGTCAAAGTCCGTAAAGTCCGCCGTACTTCTAGGTTTGTGGTACATTGCCTGATGTTGACTGCAATCCCAACGCGATTGAGGACCTATTTCTCCGCAGCTTTTCTACTCCTTGCCTTGAAACAAGAACTCAAGGGCTCCCGAATTGCACAGCCCAAGATGTGAGAAACAGCAGGCCGAGCCCAACAACCAATGCTGGTACTTGATTATCAGTATAGTCCAATAGTATTCCAATAGTCAGATTGGTCAATTCACAGATGGAGTCGTATAGCTGGCTCACTTGATAAGGCAACCCACTCCAGCCCACCCTGTAACGACATGTGACCTCAATACACAGGCCCCCCCTTCTCAGACAGAAATGAGTTTTCATGGCCAGAGATTCCCCACTGGAGAAGGTTGAAGTTTTCTAAGGGGTCATCCCCCCAGACAATTGTTACAGTAACTGTTACACCATGTTACACCCCACCTGCCGTTCTTAGCGACCTCCCATGAGCACTGACTTTGCTGGCGGATTACCAGCAACCTGGTCAGGGCCCTGTTTCAAGCTACACTGGGATTCAAACCTATTCAGGATAGTTTCATACGTAGTATTTCAATGTATTTCATACGCTGTGCTCTTCAAGGGCATGGACGGCATGGAGATTCTCATGAAACATATATATTAGTTTCTCCCACAACTTGAGACGCAGCTGGCTTGTAAGGCCATGGTGGTTGCCAGCAAGGAGACTTCGCTGGCAGGAGAGCGATGGCACACAAAAACCGTCCAGAAGTGAGTGCACCAACCGATGACGGGAACGAAATCTCCACTGATCAACACAGTCGACTCCACTTCAGTAAACTAATTCTATCTAATTCTGTTGACTCAGCAGATACGCGGATGACTTTGTGTCATGCAAGCTGGGGGCTCCAGCTATCACATCTATCACTTGCAGCGACCAGTATGATTCGTTGAAACAATTTGAAACATATGTTAACAACTGTTAACATATTAACCATGCTTAAAGCATCAAAGAACACTTATGCAGTTCACCAGCAATCCACCAGCAATTCACCAGCCATTGACCAGCGGGATCAGGAGCTGCCGTCTCTGCACAGGCCCCGGGATTCGGTGGAAGGGGATATCACATGGAATTCACATGGAATTCACATTGATTTCACAATATGTTCAATTCAAATTGGAAGACCCTTCGAAAGGCAGATGTCCACATTCATCCACATTCTAGATGGTGTTGAATACTGTTGAATGCAAGCGCCTTTTACGCAACGCATTTATATATACCATGTTATACCACAACATGGGTGCAAGATGCTCAGGCTAATGTGAGATGCAGAGTGAATTCTTCAGTAAATCAGCTCTTTCCATTTTCCTGCACTGTCTGAACGTCAAAAGTCTAAGGTATTTTATTATCATTTCAGATCTTCTTGACCCTGGAGAGGTTTTTTTGTGTGCATGGTCGGTGGATTTCAATACAATCATTTTTTGGCGGTTGACAATTCATACTTCCTGATTCCCGGGGAAGGTGCAACCAAAGTGCCAAAGGACTCTCCTTCTTGAATCTGGGTGGTCCAAATTGGTTATGGATGCTTTACTATCACAAAATGATACAAAATGGCTTTTAATTTTAGCCATACCCAGACCCGCATTCCTGCAGGCTGCCAGGAGCCCCACCAGCTGAGTTCAGGGAGCATGAAGGGGCTATGAATGGCTATGAGGGTTAGAAAGTTCCCATGATCAATCTGGTGATGATATGGAGAGAAAACTGCGGTTGTCACCACATACTGATTCTACCTCTCCAGAAGGAGAATAGCTATTTGTTTGAAATGTCATGCGGAAAGCGGCAAGGGAGGCAAGGCATCGGCAAAGCCACGCAGGAGCGCAGATGACTCGTGTCCCACTTTCGGCTCGGTTCCACAGAGGGAAGGGAGCCTGCAGCCAGCAGGACTCAAATGCAATGACGCGTCCACCCAATCACCCAGAGAACATGTGACGGGTATCATTCAGGGCAAAACGTTTTTCGCTTTCCTTTTTCTTTCTGTAAGTGGTTTGCGGCAAATTTATTAGATAAGACGAGACATTCAAGATCGCAGTTGAAAATGCACTTGAGGTTTGGATACATGTGTGACGCAGTTGAGACTCACAAGTAAGAGACTGGCCGTCTTGATTAATGTTTGTGAGGCACGCCTTCAAAGTCGCTGGGTACCCAGCCGCTGCAATGTTTGAAGCTTTTCTTGATGATGTGTATATTGGGGAATTTTAGCATGCACAGCACCTACTTATGGCTGTGGCATGCTGTGGCATGCTGTGGCATGCTGTGGCATTAAACAACAAAGTTTAGTGCAACTGTTGTTTTGTTGCAAACTGGAAAATCATGTTGCCTTAGGTAAATGGTAACGTATGATGCAATGCAATGTAGTTTCGCCATAGTGCATTATGAGATGAAGTAGCGAGTGCATTCCAAGGTCGTGCCTTTCTCCCTTTGCCATGTCGTTCCATCCCATGTTATGTGTGGTTCAATGTCAAACACTGTTTATATAGTAATATTACATACAGCAGACAGTAGATACATACAGATACTTCCAGATACTTCTGGATACTTGCTGATACTTATACGTAGATACTTACATATACATGTATATATATATATACATTCATTGAATACATTTCAACTACATATTTGATGATATCATATTTGTATAGTATTTATCTACATGATGCGAAATGAAATCTGGCTCTTTGTTCCCAGATGCAGTTACACGGATTATTCTTACCTCATGGCATCATGCAACGTTCTACAAGACACATCCGAGGCCAACCATGGCATGGCAGGAAAATACAGAGGATTCAGGTCCGCCAGTGGTCGAGCCAGACCAAAGGAAGAGTTCTGGAGTTCCAGAGAAATGAAATATAATGATACATAATATATATATATACGTATATATATATGATATATATATATGATATGAGATATATATATATATGATATGAGATATATATATATGATATATATATATATAATATATATATATATGATATATATATGTAGAAAGTAGATATAATGTTATATATATATGATATATTCATGTGTAAAATGCTATATTATTCAGTGAATCTATTCTCAGATCATCAAGAAACTGGAGGTTGATTGTTATGTCTTCAATAGTTTGCTTCACGTGCGCACCAGATCCGACAGCCCTGGGCTTGCAAAGAATGCAGGTCCTTCTGTGGTGAGTCAGTGTGATCCTCGGTTCGACAGCACGCCCCATTTAAAAAAAAAGGAACCAACGACACATGCAATATGGATCTGGGACTCTGAGTGGACCCTGATCCATTTGGCCTTGCAGTTCTGGGAGCCGTTGGGCCGTTGAGGAAAAACGCGGCTGAGGTCTCGATCGGGGACCTCTCCCAAGAGCCCTGAGATACCTGGTGAGCCGGAGAGATGTGTTGGAGTTGGAGTTGGTGTAACAAGCTGTTTCAATAGCTTTGCACTCCTTGGACCCATCATTTTTTTGTGGGGAGCCAGTTGGATGATGCCTGATTTGCATGAGGCAATTCTCTATTCATCAGGTTGCTACTGTTCTGTTTCTTTTAGTCATGCTCTCGTTTGGTAGGCTGATGGCATTGACATGCAATAGATAATACCAGATTGAGAGAACTAGCAGATCCGGAATCCATTGCCGTAGCTGAAGGGATCCGTATCAGACACTGTCCCACTTCCCCTTGAAATCTCTTGGTTTCCATTTTCTGCGCCATTCAGACTCGGAGAGCATGGCTGCAGCCAATGCAGCTGCGACGGACCTCACAGGTGGCCGTCGAGCTCCACACACTGCAGCAACTAAGTAATTGTATGAAAACATTGACTTTGGGTTGCAGGTGGTTTTTACTCTGTAGCAAAATTGAACTGAAGTCTTGATGTAGATTATGTGTTATGTTCATTGATTGTCGTCCAGCTTCACAATGCTGATGCATGAAGATGCCTTGTTCCTCCTTGTTCTATCGGCAAGAGTCACATGAATGCATAGTGGCGCTCCTCCGCTGCACCACCCACCTTCAGGGCCCCTTGGGCACCCTTAAACTGCGCTTGCAGAGACTTTCTGAATGTGGGAAGACTCTACTTTTACCCACTGCAGCAAATCTCCAAACTGGGAGAGACTCACTTGAGGACCAGCAGAGTTGACATGCATCCACTGGAAGGTTGCTTCAGTTGCTTCCACATGCTGCCACTTTTCTTGGGCAAGCCAGCCTGGCACCGCGGAAGTGATGCCAGTTCCAAGTAAGCTACAGTGATAGCCAAAGCTCAAAATATCTCAAAATGCTATTTCTTGCTTCCGCATGACACTAAAACCAGCTGACTAGCTTGGGTTCATCAAGTCCTTCTGGTAAGTGTTCAAGCTTCTAGTCAA